AATATTACGGTCTTTCAAAATAACTGAACTCCACTCAGAATCGATTTCGTTTGTAATAATATATCGTTGTGTTCGGAGTAAATTCTTGTCTGTATCCTACCTTTCCATCTTCTCACCTTTAACAATAGGACACCCGATCAAGTATCTTTCTCTACGATATCAGCCCTTTTTTTTTTTTCCATTTTTGATTTCTAAAATAATGGTAGCCATTTGTTTGGATTTAAAATACACCAAACGTATTCGATTTGAACTTAAAACTAATTGTTTATTAACATCAAACTCGTTTAACGTATTTAGTGGAGTCTGGGTAGGTCAGTAAACTCATGCCGGAGCGATTATTTAGAATTTTTCGCGAGGTGAATCTTCTCGCAAAGCTTTCGAGTGGCGGATCTGGTAAACGAAAGTTGAATAATTTAACACGTCGGGAAAACGAGAGGAGAAAACCCACCAATGGGTATAGTTCCGCACGCGGTCGTTTTAGGTTAGGCCGGTTACTGGTTATTTATGGTTTTCGAAATCGTTGAACAACAACAGCAGCAGCCGGCAGCTGCACAGTCGGTGCGCGCGTAATTAAGAGAAATTCACTACTGCCTGCACGACTATTATACCGGGGAAAACCCTCGAATTGCGGAAAGGCGGTTTTTGAAACTTGCAACAACACACGCACGTACTTCGGACGTACTTAATGGAAGTGTATATAGGCCGCGTGCGTCTGTGTGTGCGTGCGTGTGTATGCGGTTCCGACATGGTTTTACTCGGACCTCGCACACACACGGAATGTTTTACGGTCTTTGAAACGCGAACTCGTATTACACACACACACACACACACACACACACACAATCCAGATACGAACACTTCGCTAAATAATACAACTATACCGCGGTATATTCAAGCTAATGACCACGCCGCTATTAACTAAATATTACAATATTATTATACCGTTTTACACGTATTATAGATATTTCTATAATAAGGGTGTTACAACATATAAATGCACGCGAGACCGGAGAGCCCTGGTCCGCAACCACGTCGCCGCGGTGCGTCGTGCGTTACAATAATATGCGTCTAAACGGGCCGGTTGCTCGACGCGGCCTGTAATAATATTAAGCTTTCGCGGGCGTTCGGCGACCGTCGCGGTACGCAATAACATAATAACATAATATTGTCCCGTATGTTCCTGCACTAAAATTATACTCGTTACCATACATTATATGTTGCACCGTAATCTCGAACACGGTTAAACCCTCATTTTGCCGGAACGTGGACAGCCCTTACTCCTAGTCAAACGGAAAAAGCCGACATCGAAGCCTTTAAATAATTTTCGTTCGGGGCAACGGCGGATCGAAACGTTGCTATTTCGAGTGAGCGAAACCGCGCATAACAATGATACCTAATATCCTTATATTTTACCACAATACAAGAAAAAATCACGCTACGGCGTTTGGAGGAGGGGGAGGGGGAATTACTCTATTGCGCCTCCCCCGCTGGTACCGGAGCAGAGCTTTACGGACTGCGATAAGGTCCCTCGTATAATATAGATGCACAGAAGTCGGTATGGAACGTGCTTAGGATAATTGGACGTTTTACAAGGTGTATCGCTTATTGGGTAACGGCAATAATCGAAGGAAGAATTGATGGGAAAGCGGGGTAAAGAACAACATAGGATGCCACCGTTTATACAGCAAATCGCCGAAGACATTGAACACATTTACTTGAATAATTTCCATGAGATATGAGTGCACTGTAAAAGTATAAAACAATTTTTAGACGTAATAATAACTGAACTATCATTGTAAATAATAACTGTATACCGTCGATTTTAGAACCGCAACCACGGTAAATTTATGTAGCAAAATGTATGCGACAATGCATGAATAACTCGAGTCTCGAATTTCATGAAACGCCCCACGGAAGAAGATAAACAGCACTGGAAACGATCACCGGTAAGGTGGCCAGAAAACTAAACGCATAATACGTAGCTCGTAAGGGAAACAAAAAGTATTCGTACGTATACAAAACATTTGTATACATGTCCGTATACAAATACAAAACCGTACGGAAAAAAAGCGGTTTCTCCGTACAGAAACCAATCGTACGTCGAACAGAATACGCCCCTACAACAGAACCTTTGTATGGATTGAGTGAACAATATTCCATTGAAAATATACTTCATTTGTTCGAGACGGACGACTTGTATAGCCATAAAGGTGAATAATTAATGTAATACGAAGTAACGGATATTTACGATACCGGGATATCTCAATCTGACGTTAAAAAACCAGCGGGTAAACTATTTTTAAGTATAGTGATTCCCGAGGAAATTATACTTTCAGCGACCGAAATCAAATCAAATTCATATTTTAGGATACGACTGAAGGAGGGACCGGAAAAGGAGTTACCTACGTCGTTACGAAACTCGAGAATTGTAAATAACTTTAAAATTACAGATATTATAAAAGTGTAATAAAGAAACCTATAGTTTACCTTATTGTGATTCTTATAAAACACTAATATTGTTATTAAGGCGCAACAACACAATACATTTCTTACTGAAAAACTATGAGGGATGTACCAAATTGTCGAATCCAATATACATTATTTTCAACAAATATCATTATACTATTTTGTCCCGAACTGTTTAGCCCCCCATAAGATTGAAAAACCTATCAAAAATAGTGAGCCCCAATGAAATGTTAAAAACCCGGCGTCTATAGTACCGAATGCAAAATTAATATGAACTTGATGAAAAATAATACCCCACCAAACTTATTAGAATGAAACTCGTCAAATTGGAATGAAAACGATAGATAAATATGAAAACGACGTAAAATGTTTTTACTAATCTGCAAGTATTATGCACATGCAATAGTTTTAACTTAACTTTCCAATCGTAAAATATTCCTGAAATTCTAATAACAACGTGTCAATTACCTATACCGAAGCAACATAAAACTATATTTTATAGGAAATTAAATTAAATTTCTTTCTGTAGTTATACATAATTTATGACTAAAAGATAATAAAAATATTTGTTTAAAAAGTAAAACCTACCCGTATCGTATTTCATATTTCAAATAATAAAACGTTTTTTTTTTTTTTTTTGTTCACAAATATATAATATTTATTTTATTATCAACGCATATTAATATTTTTTTATTAAATTCGACATTTTTTTTCTTTATAGTGTATATTTTATTTGCGTTGCATTATTAAAAAGACAAAAATAAACGTATTATTTAACGTGGTAATATGAAAAATAAAAAAAAAACCAACATCGTGGTACAGTAAATAATACATTCCTACGCAAAGAATCTAAAACAAAGAGTTCATATTTTCAAGAGAAAATGTTAAATCGCTACAGATCTTGTATATTCAAGTTTTAGGTTACAAAACTTACATAGTTTCCTATACCGATCAAAGTAAATTAACACCTGAATGAGTTCTTGGAATTACTCTATAATTTTTGAGAAAATTATACGTTAAATCATTACCGCTTTTGACATATTAAACTTAACATCTTATAACTTTTCCAATAACAAATATTTCATAATATAACGGTACGACAGAGGCGTCTTCAGTTCAACTCCACGGGAAGGGGGCGAATATGTTTTGTTTAACAGTGTTACAATAACCAATAGGGATTATAAATTTAAATTCTCGGCTTAAATCGAATATTTATTGTAAGAGTCTGACACATTGCTGTAAAACTTCGCGCTCTTTAAAACGTTACTGAATCCTTAACGAGTTGCGAACCTTATGTAAAGTTCAGTTTTTATCGATTTTAACCGACGCGAATGTTTATGTTTTCCTATCGGGAGAACAGAAAAGTTTTCGAAAAACAAAAATAACGAATATTTCTCGTTTAACGGCCAGAGAAAATTACTTTGAAAAAATCAATACATCCTCACACACAGGAGGACCGAAAATGTTTATGCCCGTGTATGACAATTTATCCCTAAAGAGTCTCCTGATGAAAAACGTTCGCACGCGAATCGAATAAATCGCGAAATTGACGACTTTTCGAAATTGGCCCTTCCGGTAACGCGCGTAATAATTTTCGACAAACAAATCCAATATCGAACATTCATCTGCCGATGTTTTCTACCCGTTGCATACCTAGTAACTTTTTTTTTGTCGTATGTTTTTCAACATAAACTATCGCTAAAACCGGTCGACTTAAATTCCGGTACGCGTCGTCGAGCGTAATTATTACTAGGGTCGGATATTTATGCGCTAAAAAATTACCAATATGCACTAGAAATCATAAAATATACACGTTTAGCTGAAAAACACCGAAATATGCGCAAAAAAATATATTTTACCTTCAGTATTTAATTTGTATTAGTAGTTTTTTTTTAATAGGTTGTTATTTTTATTTAATATTTTTTTTTAATATTACATATTGCTTTACAACAAAAACGTTACACTGTAATACAATGGTTTTTTGTAATTTGTTCCAATTTTATGCTTTTTTGCTTTATAGTTCGTTATTAGTTTAAATCGTTTTCAAAAAAAAATCGTAAAATGTACTGAATTGTGCATTTGAAATCCATAAAATATGCGAAGCAAAAATAATATTATTCGATTCGGCGGAACGCGAATCAAATTCGTCTCCGGGTCAACGTTAAATTCGCCGGGACGATAACGTTATAATGTCCTGTAATCGCAGCGCTTTCCGCGTGTACACCGTACACCTAGTTAACAATTATATTACGTTGGCGACGCGACAGTAGAAAAACCGTTACGGTCGCGCGGGTCGCGGTGTGATACCCACGAAATAAATGTATGTATCGCCCAGTATGCACACGCATTATTATTGTAAACGCGAACGAAATGTCTTGCGAACAATGCGCGTGCGCCGCGATACGATTAGCTGTACGCGAACAAAGGACGAAACGAACAATTGTATCTTATCTTTACGGGTATGCTATTTTTATTTTTTTTTTCTTGTCGGATTTTCGCTCCAAAAACGACCGTCCCGTCGTACGCGGCGATCAGTTTGTGAACGGACGCCACTCGAATCCGACCGGTACGATAATATAATTGCAGTGTAATAATAATAATAATAAAAAAAAAAGTAAAAATAATAATAATACCTTATATCTAATAGCGTCCAGAGATCATTATGATTCGGGCGAAATACCTGCGGGCCGTTTGCATTTTATCCGTAGCCGTAGCCCAGCCGCCGCCGGTAAGATTACGAATATCGAAAACGATTTACCCGCAACACGGCAGTTGTTATTATTATTGTTATTATCATCGTCGTTGTTGTTGTATATGATATTTTCCATTGCGTTTCTTATTGTTGGTGTTATTACGCTCGTATTATCGTAATTTTCCCATTCAACAGCGGTTCACTCTACAGCGAGGGGATTGGAGGGGGGGGGTGGTGATGCAGTACCCATATATAATAACAATAATAATAATACGATATTATAGCCGCACAATATTGTACATCCCTCCGAACGCGTACAGGTACTGGTATTGTACAGGTTACCCGCCTTCGTGGAAATTCCTCAAAAGACGGTTTCACCGGTATCAACAGGTACGATTTTATAACCGATCCATTTTATTATTATTAAGGACGCAACGATATAATAATATACCTGCCCTTTATTGTCGTCGACATCCAGCATTTCCAGTATTTTTACATTTTTTTTTTTTTCCCCCCCGAAATAGTTACCGGTCAATACACAATAAATTATACTTAAACTGACACGAAATATCTCTGTAATTCAATAAACACGCGACCGTTTTCAATTCCAAAAATGCATGCCTACACACCTACGTTTAGTCTCTGCGTGTAGCTGTATATAATAATATACACGAGACCGTATTGGTTGTTATACGTTTTTCATTGGTAACATTTTGTTTGCGATTACAATGACTTTCACGTTTCACAATATTACATAAAATACCGCGACAACAACAAAATCATCAGTCATCTGGTCTTATGAACCGAAAACCGAGGATGTCCGAAACTAATACGGTCTGTAAAATTCGTATTTTTATTTCAACTATTTCCGTCGTTAAAAGCAATAAAAATCTATATTGAAAATACCTTGTATTATGTACAAACAAAATTAACTTTGTTAAAAACAAAAAAAAAACATGTTTTTCAAATAAATGATCATCGTAAGCGTAACAGTTTAGCAATCGTCAGATTTGATGTATAATTTTAATTTAAAACAAACCTGTGATCATTTTAACGTTAACTCTTCGTAATGACGATGAAAGTGCATTAAATGTATTAAAACATATTTGTTTTAAAAAAAAAAAATTTTTGGTTACTGAGTGTAACAAAGAATGTATTGGTTTTAGAAAAATGTTTGTTTTAATTTTTATTTGTTGACTTTATAAAGCTTATAAGCTTCAGTTATCGGTAATTATTTTTACAGTAAACATATTCAGCATGTGCATACATATTTTTCTAAAAACCGATCAATACTATACAGTATTAAATTTTAAGATTTTGAAAGATCATATTGATAACAAAACATTATGTACTATGAATATATTTATTGTAGTATCCAAGAAAATTATGGATGAGACGACGTTTTACTTGTCCCATCTGGCGACTCGCCACTGCCTCCTCTGTCTGTCTTAACTGTACTCAAGTTTAAACCGCTCGTAACACTTAACAATACAATACTCCCACCTCTTATAGTGGTCATTTTCGTGTTTGGTTGTTTTCGATTTCAGTCCCTTGATCGTTGCTTTCTTCGGGCATGCTCTGTTCATTTCAAAAGAGATCTTTGAATTGACCAAAAATTATTCTTTCAAGAACGGCGCTTTTCTTCCGGTTTTTCGAAAAACTACGCTTCTGAGCCAGAAACAACACCACCGGGCGTATTAACGTCATGTATATGTCTGAACTTTCAAATGCATTAGTATTTATTTATCGATAGAGTTTGTCGTAAAAATATAAATATGCTCTTGTTTAAAAGTTTAGCTTTTAAAAACCTAAATAACGCAAGTACGTGTGCCTATAGTTTTCAAATTCGAACTATGAAAATAACCCTTATCGTGAAAACGTTTATTCGCGGTAGTTACATGGCCATCATTATATAGATTTAAAACAGATTAACCGTGGTTATGGGTAAGTATATTATACGTATAATCGAGGGGGTTATTGTTTATACTGCGTTAACAGTTCACCACTGCTGCAGTGCCGCAAGATTCAAAATGGAACTCTGCCAAAAGTCAAAATGGTCTCGGGAAATTCGCTTGTATTATATAATACACACATTCACGATTTAAATCTTGTGATTCCGACCAAACTCGAACCTTTAATCGCATTTCATTCGAAAACAATCTCACGGATTTTGGACTTTGCAGTTGCCGCAGTAGATAGTTGAATAGTTCTCCAACCCGGGGAATTATAATAATATTATGTCCTGTATGAATTTAAACTTGGTAAAAATTTTGTAAATCATTTCCAGAAAAATCGAAAATGTCATAATTATTTTGACGGAAAATCGTATGAAATTTTTTTTTTTATATTTTTGTTTGTTCGCACTCAGCATTTTTCATTTTTCTATAATATTTTACTGCTATACGGTAATACGTATCGTTCTCGAAAGATGTTGCATTTATTATAATGCTCGTATATTCTCGACCGTTTTGCATATCCGATGTTTTGTAATAATATTTTAACTTTATACGTTCGCGTAATCCGAGAAAGACAACAATGGTTAATAAGTATAATAACTCCTCGTGTGCTGTCGCGTGACCTGACTAGGTACCTATTAATTCGTAAAAATGAACTTTATAAATTTGAAATTATAATATTAATATACCTATATAGTAATTGACAGTGGCGTAGCTAGACATTAAATTTTGAGAAGGTTGAAATTATCTAACAATATAAATCACTTTATTGATGATATTTTTGATAATAATAATGTTGGTGTCTCTAATAAATATCTTAAATAAAATACACTTTTATAAACGCAAATTATTAACTGATTAATATTAACTTATATTTACTTAATAATATTAACTTAGTAGGGTTCAGGACTTATATCACTTTAAAACATGATAATAAGCGCTAAAATATGCAATGAAATTTTTTTAGGTGGGCGTTTTTATATTGTGTTCAGATGTAACTTTGTAATTTTATTGTGCGAATATAGCATATAACATACATAACATATTATGCACTTGTTATTACACACATTATTTTCTTAATAATCATCTTATCTACGTAACACAACACATCTTGTAGATATCTGATGTATAACTGCATATAGTAAAAATTATAATTTTTGTTATATATATATGGTCAATGGGAGAGGGGAGTGTTTGAACACCAAAAATTACTCTCTTGCAGGGGAGGGGGCGTGAAATAAAACGAAATTCTCAAAATGTATGCTAAGTTAAAGTTTAAATTAAAATTATTAGTTCATATTTTTTTTTTCGGGGGAGGGATCAAGTGCCCCGTCTTGCCCATCCTTACAGCCGTCCATGCCAATATTGTAATTTATAATACGCACCGTCATAGTATAGAATTACTATATAACATTATAAAGTAGGTATTGTTAATGGACGTTCTTTGTTATTTCACATGCGGTACAAAAATATTCGCAAAAGTGTATAAACATGACAATATAATAATCATATTATTATAAACATAAATATTTCAATTGCTGTGTACATTATATACACGTGATCATCAATCAATTTCGGATTTTTTTATTTATTTTTTTATTTTTTTTTAATTATGGCTTAGGTATTACTTATACCTATAATATACATACTGAACATTGTTTAGGAATAATGAACTTATATAATATACTCGTAATTGAAAAAAAAACTAACAATTTTCATTAGTACCGCATATTTTACTAAACTAAACTAAACTAAACTAAACTAAACGAAAGCCCGGGTACAAAACCAAGAACAGCGTCTGCAGATATTTGCGAGGCCTTGGAAAAAACATTGTTACGATATACTGTGGTCGATATCAAGTAGACTTGACGAAAAAATCAATTATCATAATTCTCATGGCTTCACTAGATTAATCCGGTACGTTGCAAATTAAACACGTTTAAATGTCTGTGTCACCGACATTTCGACATTTCATAGACACTACAGTGTGCGTATTACAAAGAAAGAAAATCATAATTTTCACACCCTTTAAAAAAAAATTTCTTCCGTTAAGACAACAAAAATGACTTTTCCGACGGAAGATAATAATAATGTAACATTTTAAATAATATTATAGTCAGATGTGAATTAGGAAATCAGATTACTATTACTAACTATTATCTATATGCTATGTTTTAAAATGTTTTGTTTGAGGATCTTGGACAATTAATGTCCATTCTACGGCAACAAACCTCTTATGTTACATACTATTATGTACCCGAACGAGAACTTTAATACGTAAACTATGTAAAAGTGACGCCTCGTTGCGGCTCGTAAACACTCGGAATACATAGACGCTTATAATACAGTCATGATACGCGGTGGTGGCGTCTAACATTGCGTTTTTCATTTAATAAAATATGTTCAGATAAATTCGTATGCGTTACGAAACGCGCGTGTGTTCTTGATAAGGAATACGAGAAAAATACAATTTCCTAAGTGCTTTAGGAGAGAAAATACTTACAATAATATTCGATTACAGTTGATGGGATCGTACGTGTTGAGTTACACCCTGCAACGTCTCGAACATGTATACATCAAAACGTCTAAAATTAAAGCCCACGTGTGTCGTGAGACAAAATATTATATCCGTTGTTTATACCTATTACTCGCAATCTCTTCTTCTGTTTGGCTTTGACCCTTAAAACCATATAGCAGAATACAAAACCTCCTCTGTTCTCTTCAACTTCTCTCAGTTGAATTTCCGTTATTCCACTATTTTAATCATATCGTTCTAAACACACTCTTCTCGGCTCGATCTCGATCTCCCTAAATACCTTTCTCCGTAGGGTCTTTTTCAACCACCTACTCAGCATACAAATCCATGTTTACGACAGATATGAACACATATGGGACTTTCACATCAGCCATATTTTAGCAATCTCTCTAACTATACATAAGGCCTTAATTGGTAGTGAACTTTAAGTTAATCATAATATTGTAATCACCTCCGGTGATTTGGACATCAAAAGTTTAACTTAATTTTTTTTTTCTCAAAATCGCGCTGATCTCAGTCCTTCGGATTTTCCCAATCAAATGAAAACAATTCGCACTAATATCGTATAGTAATATACATTGTTATAGACAAAGGTACCTACCTTATACCTGAATACTATCGTATAAATAATGACATCATGCGTGGGCTCTTTCGCTGCAGATAAAAGCGACAATAAGAGACATCGTCGTCACCGACGGGATTAAAACTTCCGTAACGTCATTAAAACGTAATATTATTATTCGAATGTAGACGGAAACTAAATACAAAACTTGCACGTTATGTGTGAGGGTGTGTGTAGCCGCGAATGTTCGTCCATTTGGAAAACGGTGCAGTTATACTGCACACGGCAAATAGATGTAAAAGAGATTAGGTATGATATAATTGGAATTGCACTAATACGCGGTTTGCGCATACTATGGCATTAGTGCGCGTCTAGTTAAGTTAGAGAATGCATTTATGCGACAACTTGATTCTATATTTAAAACAATACGAGGTATATCATGTAGAAAACGTCTTTATGATTTGCGTGTCAATGAACACGAACACGAATCTGTGACGAAGAAAAGGGACGAACGCACATGTTTTTCTTTTTAAATGATATTTCGATAGAGATAAAAACCAAACACCGTATAAAATATTAGATAATATGAATAATAATACACCAGTATATATACAATGATACTCGATATTCGTGGTATCGATACTTGGCTTAACTTCGATGATTCCGGTCTCCTCGTCACATGTCTCCAATTATCTTCACTTTCACGGAAAATTTTTATCTACGATACTCCCGTCATCTCCCGAATCTCCTTGTTTTTCCTCCTACGCCAGCATTCCAGTGCACTGTTTCATCGCATACCGGACCATAGATAATTCTCAGTATTTTGTTTTCTAATGTGAAGACTTCATTGTCAAAATAATCCTTAATAATATTACAGCAACACGAAAAGCCATACAATTGATTTTTAATAGTGTTATATTTATATTTGTTGGTTATATTTACGCAACTCGAGTATAGTAGGCACTGGCAGTAATTTTCGTCCCGAGGGAACGTGTTGTGTAATCATTGGAACGATTTTTCGGGGACCGCTAAGAATATAGGTATAATTAATTACCGGTAAAATACGCACGTTAATAGCATAAAATGGTACTCACTACGCAAAGACAGTACATAATAATCATTTTTTTAAGTACTGGCGCGTATAGTTAACTGCAGTATAGCGTCCCGAATGACTTCTCTAGAAAACATCGGCGTATATGGCGTGTGACTACATTTTGTTCGAGCCATTGACGTTAATAAGGCGAAAAACCGCATGCATAAATATATTATATACGTATATACCTATACAGTGCGACAATCGTCATTTAAATAAAATAATATATAGGTCGGCCAACCGATAAATATAAAATTTTCGCCCTTCCCCTCCCCTCGGTAAATTTGTATCATAATAATAAATTGTAATCGTGAGACGATCGTCGTCATATTTTTCGTTTCGCTCTAAAATTGCCATTTATAGCGTACGTACAAATACGTGTGATAGCTATAATACCTAATTCGAATATCAACAACGGAACAGGGGATTTTTCGCTTTTCGTTTATCGGTTTTGTGCAGTGTGCCAGTGTATACCTGTTTGCGTTACGCGTGTATAGTTATATACCAATATTGAAATAAATTATATTGATAATTGATAAGCTTAAGCTATTGGAGAGACTTACATTTTTATCAATATGTATTTTTGAAAATTTTCATAAGGTTTCAGAAAATAACGAGTTTTTCAAAATCAACCTTTTGGCACTTAGTCCGTTTTTGATTTCAAGTCTCCGTTTATCTTGTGTATTATCGGATCAATTTCACGAGGAGAGGGGCAAAGCAAGCAAAATATTCAAAAATTCAATGAGATGATGGTTTAAAAACAATTATTTTTTTTTTTTTGAAATTATCACCGCGTAGGTTTTTCAAGCCACGCACATTGCAAAACTTGGAAAAACTCGAAACTCTATAGTAAAACAATATATAATCAGACAGCGACGTTACAATAATCGAGTTTGACGAGGGCACGTTATACAATAATATACTAATATTTTAACGCACATAATTATTTTTACAAACCGTACAATAATAATATAAATCATAAAATAAAAAATACGGACACACTTCGCACGTAGATGAGCCACTGTTGTGGTAGAGAGGAAATTTAATGCAATGATTCTGAGCGAAGTTCGGTTAATAATGTGGCTTTGTCAATAATACATATTATATATGTCGTATTATGGTAAAATAATTCCAACGTGTTATGCATTTTCTTTAATGAAATTTTATCTATTTTCACGTTTTTCAAACGGGTTTTCCCAATTATTATGTAAACAGCTGGAAAAATCAAAAAATGACCCGCTTAAAATATCATGCCACTCAGATTTCCCTTCAGAAAAAGTGCTATCGTTGTAAATCGGAGCGAAATTTCGTAGACAAATTTTTCACAGACGAACAAAAAAAAAAACATCATTGTAAAACCAATACATCAATTCTCGTTCTGCTCAGAATCTAAAATCAATTCAAAGCGCACGAAAAAAATATCAACTAAATAATTTTAGTTGAAATGTATTTATTTAAATTAACTAAATTTTAATAAGATACACTTAAAACGTTCCTCACATTATACATTATTATAGACTACAGAATTATTATTAGTATTTTAGTTATATCTACGGTAATAATACAGATACATTAACCATAATTGTTTTAGTTTCATATTTCTATAAAATTTGATTATACTATCACACACGTACGTAAATTCGATTTAAAACTTTTTTATTTGTTTTTAATTTAAATTTATATGTAATTAAACGATAAACATTGTTATCAGTAACCTGAAGATGGTAAACATACCGAAACTGAGTAGTTACGAAAATATTAACTTGAAATACACTCTAAGTATAGTTTTTTCAAACAATTTTTGTATACATAATTTTCATACAATTTTTATATATAATTGAATAGTCGGTACTGATAAAATCGTAGTTATTTTCGGTGTGTACCCTGATTTTCCCGTTTTTCTTTTTGTAGTTACACACATTTCTTTTCCAGATGGAGAATTCCCTCTCGTCCTCTATATTCGTCGCAAGAATACCTAATATAATATATTATACCTTTTTTTTTCGTCCCATTTCGAAGCACCTCCGTACCTATATATGCATAGTAAACGCACAAAAAACGTAATAACGTTTCGCCGGGGAATCGCGATCCATATAAACGACTTTCGACGTTCGCTCTTAAACGTTTTTACCATTCGATTTTCGAGTTCAAATCGGTACAGTATGGCGACGACGACGACGACGGTATAGTAATAATGACGATGCGCTGCAGCAGCTGCAGTTGTTGTCGTGTATTTTTTTTTTCCTCGTGAAACATCGACTCAATATTGTTACATCGGAAGAGACAGAGACTGATGCGAATGCGAACCACTCTTACTGTAAAACGGTTTATTAACTCCGTAAGAAGGTACGTTACGTTTTTCCGGGAGAGGTTATTTGTTTCGCCTTCGCGGCACATCATATATATTTACATTTTTACACCCGACTGACAAACGATTCGTAAAATTAACCATATTATACTTTACAACAAGTTACTGCACTTCATTTATACATTACGTGTCCATACCTACGATACTGCAATCGATATTATTTACGCGTATATAAATATTATACGCATTTCACGGTGCGTAACACTTTATCAATATAGTTATACATTATTTTTCTTGGAGTTATCGGCCACTGGGACCATCCCGTCGCCTACCCTATCCTCCAATCATCCCTGTCAGCTGCTCTTAATTTTCAGTCCAGTACTCTATTTAGAAATTCTTTGTTTCTCCTTACCGCATCTTTATTTCTTAAACGAAAACGTCCAAGACGTTTCTTTCCTTCCGGGTTCTTATTACCATGCATACAAGTGAATTCTGGCTTCGTTAAGCGTGATCTGCCCACTGCAATTGACTACTCTGAATTGTATCAGATATAATATGTTTTGTTTTTGAAGGAATCTCTCAATCTTGTTATCCTATATAGTAAATCTATATTAAATAATCGGTAAAAAAAAAAAAAAACTCGATTTATATATTACAAAAAGTTCTCATGTAGAAATGGTCTCGGGAGCCATGGGATTTTATTCCAATCTAAAATCAACACGCTCGTGTATACACGTATTTTCTGTACGAGAAACATAGTTTGCTAAACAGTGCGTGTACCTGCTGCAATATTTAGTGTGAAAACTAGAACAAGTAAAGCGCCGAACGGTAATAACTAGTAAGTAAGTAAAGGCGTGTTCCTGAGTCTCTTGTAGTTAGTATTTGTGGCCACTGGTCAAAAGTATTTGAAAAAAAAAATTGTTTTATCATTATTGTACTACTGCAGTTACGTACACAAGCCATGCCATATAAAACAATACAAAACTACACAAATAGAAATCGTCATCATTTAAAAGTTAACATAATATAAAACGATTGAAGTTTTACTTATGGAAATTATAAATGTACTTACCGACTCCATCAGGGTTCTCCGAATTCATAACGCTTTTGTACGATAACTACTACAAGGTATATAAATTATAAAATTAAAATGTTTAAATTTGTATCAGAAAAAGTATAAAACTGTATTCTTTTTCAAAAAATTCAAACCAAGTATTATAAGCTCAATTCAAATTTATTTCACATTTAACTATTTTCTCTTGGTAATACTGTAATAGCGTATGTATACCTAATAATAAATATTTTTTTTATCTTTTTATGTGCACGTAGTAAGTATACATTTACTAATGAAAACCCAGTAAACATTGCGAGATATTCTTGAAAAATAGAAGAAAATACACTGTGAATATATTAAATTACACCTCGAGTCTCGAAGAATGTTCGTAATAAAATTCTATATAGTTGGAAACCAATAAAAATAAAACAGATTTTAAACAAACGAGACATTTAATAGGATTATATACTTATACATTTTATCGAATCGAGTTCTAATATAACGTTTTTTGAAACTCGATTTTTATTTTATAAATTGTATAGATCGTTTTACTCAATGTAAATCCCTGCATTATGTTTAAAATAAAGAGGAAGTTTGAAATAGGAACACATGGTGAAGTGAATTTATGGTAGAAAAAACTCTTTAAAAACGTATTAGACGTGCCAAATAAAAGACGATAAATGTTTAAAATTTTAAAATAACAATAAACGAGAAGTTTTTAATACGTAAAATCATAATGCGTTGGTATACATATAAATACTAAATAAAGAATTCAGCTACAATATTACTATAAAAAATATGTTATCGATATATATGGCTTCATTTTTTTTTTCTTTGTTTTAATTATAACACTTGGGAAATTTTCATAGCAATAGATAAATCACATCTGACCAACGAATCTCGTATGCATTAGACTCAATCTTAGAGTTTCTTCCTTTCAAGTTCACACAATTTCCTCATAAATGTATTTTTTCTCTCGCTTTCTCTCTCGCTCTCTCTCATAATATGTACCTACTTATGAGATCTGTAGCACTTATATCAAGAGAATCTCAGCTAGGATACCGACCTGTTGAAAGGAATTGAGCTTTTGGCGATTTTATATGCGACTTGTATATACCGGACAAACCGGCCAACTTAAAGCGTGTGTTAAACTTGAGGAAAAAATTAACCTGTCATTACACAACTGAATCAGTACATTATCAAAAAGTAATTTTAAAAAGTGAGACAGTTGATACATGATATATTTTATTCATTATCAAAAATATTATTTTTTTGATGCCCATATTAATTTTGAAATAAAAAATAATATTCAGAACGTTATCTATTTTTTTTTTTTTATGCAGTAAAAATTACCCCGAATTGATTTAAGTAGATACTAGATTAATTAAGCTTTTAATAAAAAAAAAAAAAACGTTAATACCCACGTTGTCGAAATTCGGTATAACTCGAGTAAAGCAGAAAAATATAAAGAAAAAACCTTATAAGAAATAATTTGTACGATTCCATTAAAAAACTAACCAATGAAATATACTTTAACTAAAAATAATGGTTCTGTGGAAAAAAGCTGTACTTCACCTTATTTTAAACTTTAAAGTACATAATTCAAAATATAATTTTTAAAATTGTTCCGAGTTAGTCTGTTCAACTTTAGTAATTTTACATTATATTTCGATAAGAGTGTATATATTTTTCCCGTGATTACCGAGATCAACTTATTTTAGATTTAAAAAATAAATACAAAATAATTTGAAAACAGGTTTTCAATATGAATTCGAATTCATCAATACTTCATTAGTATATGTTTACTTTTTAGATTGTCTCTCTCACTTTCTTTAATTCAATTTCGCGTAATCTTCGGTGAAAGTTTTTAAACATTTTCGATGTTAGAATCGAATGTTAAGAGTTTTAATTATATTTAAAATATTTAAAAAAAAATCAAAAAGTCGATCGAAAAAGAAATTTTCACACAAAACGCAAGTTTCAAAAATGATTTTATTACCATAATACTAGAAAGCGATCCGGTACAACGGACAATAAATATGTACGGTTTAGTAAAAAAAAAAACCGGTCGGCATCCAATCCTCTTGAGAACTGTGATTATAAAACTTAAAATAATTTAATCGTAAACTGCCGACAAATTACCTATTATAAAATGTCATGGGAAAAAACAACTCGATTGTTATTTTATGAAATCGTCTTGAGATTGTTTTTTTTTTTTTTTTCCATTCGTCCGACGGTCGCGCATTTAACGTGCGATGTGAGTTTATCCCCGTGACCCGACGGTTTGTTTCAGTGACAATAACTAGGTACGTTACTTTCAGTACCTATATAATAATAATAATAATAATAGTAATATGTATTATTATGTGTTATGTATACTTCTCTCGTAGTCCGTCGCTAAAGGTCAAATAATACAAATACCATCAAAAGCCCGTGGTAAATTCTTTCGTCGCGTCATATCCCACGCCGCGACATTGCATTGCTCGCGACACTTGCGCAGATTAATACGTTATTTTATTCAATTCCGCTAGCGTATTTTACGCGCGTGTAGCACATAAACATGGAGAAATACACATGGGCAAATGTCAAATCGCTACAGGTATTTTCGAAACTGCGCCGCGGCATTCAGTCTAAAGTAAATAATTGTATGAATCGAGTTACACGTTTATATTATGGGTTTCGATTAACAGAAAGGTCCTCGCCATTGAAAACGTTACAGTCGTCAAATCCGAAAATTTGACATGAAGCCGTCACGAGGCGGCCGTTTTGGAAATTGCCAAATGTCATTGGTGATAATAACATAATAATATTTATCAAGTTTCAATTAAAAACCATCGTCAACACGTTGCGATTTCATAAAACAATTTATTGTACGTTGATAAAAACGACAAACCAAATAAATTTTAATTCGTAATAAAATCGAGACTGTACGCGTTTCGCGCACGAAATAAAACAAATGCACGTTTTTTGAGGTACGACATGAGCGATTCTAAGCATTTTTACTGTAAATGAAAAACTATTTTCCGAGAAACAATGTCACTACTAATATTGAAAATTGGATAATGTCAAATCGTGTTGGGTTTTTTCTCGGTGTTTTGATTTTCAAGCGAACACGAGCATGTGAAATATTACAAATTAAAAATCTTTGTAGCTCGTCTTTAAGTTTGATAGTAGACAAATTCGCTCTAACAGTATAAAATTAGTTTTACTCGACGAAAATTTGACATAATTCAATTTTCAACATTAGCCATACGTATACGTACTATAAATCGGTTTTAGATTAATTTTTTTTCCGGATTTCATACGATTTTAGCGTAATATTCTAACACTCGTGTATTGTTTTCGCTTAAAGACGATACGATTGATGTACAGTAGTGCGTAGGTTTTTGTTTGAGACGATGTGACCACTGCTGTACACAAATAATACGCTCGCATAGAACGCGTATTCAAGAACGATATTGATGATATTGTGCAAAATGATGACTATAATACGCTATTTAAATTTAAACTATACACGACTTTCAGCTAGATGTTGTATGTGTACGTGTATAATACAAACGCGAAATCGTGTGGCAAAATGCCGGAGTCCCACGGTGTAGAATTATAATAATATTCATCGTGCTGCTCTTCCTCGTCTCCCGTTTCGATCGGCTCTGCGTTCACGTCCTACCTACACAGATATCTGCGTAGTATTATTACGATATCGTTGCCGTCGCACTCGAAATCTCTGTAGCTTTCCGATAAATTTAATAGAAACCGTTTGCGGTACGCGGCTTCTCGTCTGCGGTGACCTGGTAACGTTATTAATAATAACAATTTTTCACCGTAGTTGAGTTTTAAGTCAAAATTTATCACACGTGCACTCGACTACGGCTTGCAGCAGCGATTAATTATTTTAGATTGAAGATTGTATTTTAGATGTAGAATTTCGGTTCGGTGGTGTATTCTGTTTAAAACATTTACCGACATTTTTGTCAGTTCGCTGTCTAATGTTTTTTTTTTTGTTGATGTCTGGTTTAAATTTGTTTGGGCAACAAGGATAAAAATGAATGCTCCGCTCACAATCGTTTTTCGTTCCATGATTTATCATTGCGTACAATTCCAACTAAATTATCAAAGTGGCAGATTTACGGGGGGGGGGCGGTCCTGAGGGTGTGCTCTCCTAAACACCGATATAATCTCAATAAAACGTCGTCCAAAAAATAGGCATTTATCAATAAATATCTTTTAAATACATATGATTTTTCAGGACCCCTCCCAGAAAAATGTTGAAAATCCGCTACTGAATTACCCTATATATTTTACCTTCCAAACTGCCCAGTACTCACTCATAACAGTGCGCTACCTACGAGCATTATCAACTTTTATTAAAATATTTTATATACCTTATCGTTTATCCTTCTCTTAACATGCCGTGTTCTACGGGCTGTAGCACTATCAATGTTTATTTATTATTATTTTTTTTTTAATCTAATTTTGACATTGACATATAGGTATCATAGATAAAATTAGATTTGTATTTTCATCCTCTAATCACTCAAAAAAATATCGACTACGATTTCCTATCACGTAACTATTATTGAACATAATATTTTCACATCACTTTTCTAGAAATTAAAATGAAACGATTCGTGTACACAGGTATGTGTGTATATTACAATTTTTACAATAATATTTGTTACAAATCGGTTGTTTTAAAATTTCGAAAAGTCAACGACTAAAAAGTTATTTTTTCGATATTGATAAATAAGTGAAAATATGTCTCTCTAAAAGAAAATCCTATTTGAAAAAAAATTAATATAGAATATTAACAAGGATAATAAAAAATCTGCTCCTATTATATATTTTAAGTGTACACATTTTTCGAAGTTTTCACCCACTGACTAATTAACTCCCTCACTAGTCATTCAAATTATAAGACACTTTCTGTGTAGGTAGCAACGAGAAATTGAGCACAAAGGTAGGTGGTAATGGTGTAAGTAAAATGGAAAATTGAAAATTTCGGTTTTCTGAAAATTAGTGCAACTTTATGAAGTGACGCACGTGAATATTCTTCTATCGATTTAAAACAAAACTAATTCAACTTCATTTAAACTTTTCACATTAAGATTAAAATTTATTTAGGTACTAGAGTTACGTTTAAATTTTGTCCGTGATCAATTTTAGTGAGCTTAGCACGTTTCTGAATGAGGCATAAAACATCATAACGATGTATACTCAACATGAGTTACGTAAGCGATGGGAAGGAGTGAACACAGACAAAAATACAAATATTCCAGACACTCTCCTTAAAAATTCAGTTTATGAAAAAAAGTAATATCTACATTGTAGCCAAATATGTTTTATACCTCATTCAGAAACTGGCCAAGCGTTAAGCATCACAAATAAAAGGGCAGTGTTGCTCATAAAAGTATGTATGAAGTTGGGTTATGGGCTACAGAAAGAGCAGACATTATGTAGATATCGCTACTTTGATAAGCTGACTTTTTTTAGGAGAGAGTGCGGGACACGACCCATTTTTCACATTTAGGTTTTTGCCGAGGATTCTATTATATTCAAACAATATTTCACGTACCAGAGTAGCGAAAATAAAAACCTTTATAAACCCCTCGTCTTCGGCGTACGTCGATCAGAGTAATATTGTTATGACTGCAGTAGCAGCAGATAATATATAATATAGACATAGTCGTATAATATTTCGTTTATTGAAGAGCTACGTATATTTAAACTCGTTTAGGTTTTGTCGACTCCGGAGCCATCGAAAATCATAAATAAAGGTATACATACGCGCGCACGCATTACAAATATAATAAACCGTCAAACATAAATATTAAACTTTAGTCGACAATCGATTCCCCAAAGGGAACTATATTCTGCACACTTACACACACTTGTATACGACATATACACATAAACACACACACACACACATTATAAAATACTGACGTGTACTGTGGACCATTTATAAATATATATATATACACGCGAACAGTGCAGTAATCGGGATAAACACAACACCACTCGTGATATCACGAGCCAATCGCGCACGAGTATCGGTAAAAACGACGACCAAAAACGGTCCCTGAAATAATACACTGCAGTACACCTGTAGGCTATATTAGAATAATACGAACAGCGGAAAATAACGTTAAAATATGACGATAATATTACTATTATTATAATATTTATAACTGTCGATTTCTTTGTTCTTATATTAGTATATTTTACGTCACATCAAAATGTATCGGTTTTTTTTTTTCCGTTCTTAAACTTTTACGATTTATTCGGTAATTTTTTTTTCTGTCGACAAATAGAAACTGTACTCCGTCTAACCCCCCGTAAACGTTTTCTGCACATAGTACAAGTATGTGGCAATATATGCGACAGTTCCCGTGAGACAATTTAGCCACGCCTCCCCTCCCACTCTTAGGTCTGTTACATTGCTGTACACATCATGTGTGCAACAATGTGAAAAATCGTTTGAAAAATAAATTTCAATGATGCTTGCATCCAACCAAGAAAGTAAAAGATGTGTATTTATGTGTGTGTGTGTGTGTGTATGTGTGTGTACAATGTACATACTCGAGCGATATTAACTGAATATTTTTTTTTCTTTAAGGAGAATATTATACAACTGAAATGGGTATAAAGATATAAAAAAAAAAAAAAAAAAACGAAACGAATTTATTCGATGTAGGTACTTGATTTATATAATATATGGCTCAAATAAGGGAGCATTTATTATGCCCTCTATGGGTGCATTTATTTTAGGGTGAAATTTTTTTTAAACATATTTGTATTCCTTACGCTGCCATCGTTAAAACGTATACTCTTATCGTTTCTTTTCAGAATAGCGGATCGCAATTCTGGTTTATAGTATCATTATTATTGCTTTTGATTTGTATTATTTCACTATCGTACTCCAACTGAAGTGTAGCCATAAAATCACGGCCTTACATACGAGGTATAGGTGTATATGTACATAAAATGAATGTTCAATGTAATAATTAATGTATGATCGAGTACTGAGCAGTTACATAATTGTTATACACAGACAACACTGTTTTGACATGATACAGTTGAGTAAAAAAACTTTAAATAACTAAAAAGTCGTTGTTACTCTACTGCCGTGAATCCGTGTAACACGTATAACACAAAAATTCGTTTTTTTATTTTAAAAATCGATATTTCTTGTGAGGGCGCCAAAAATTACCGCCGGGGTTTTTTTTTTTTTTTTATAAAAACCCGAATTCGTCTGAATTTCGTGTCTGCGAACATAGCATATTCGGTGGGAAAACTGCGCAAGGAGTGATATGGCAGAGATAGAGCCGGATTACTCGTAGGTCCGTAGTGTTAGGTATTAGAAGCGGGTAGACACGTTTAGACGGTTGATGTAAAAAACCGGAGCAACAAATAAAACACGAATTAGAAATAGATATTTGAAACGAAAATATGGAAACAACGTTTTTTTTTTTTTTTTCGTTTTTATAATAATATATGTGTTATAGTGGTTTTTCTCCGACCGCGGTGGTCGCGCGGCATAATGTAATTTAAAAAAAAAAAAAAAAAAAACCTATGTAATTCTACAGCGCGTTATACCTATAGACAGGTGATACCTATACTCGTCACTCGCCGGTTCGATTACAGAAAAAGACAACCGAACACAGGGGCCGGGCACCGCGATCGGGACAGGAATAGAATATTTTAATGTATTTTTAACGAGAAAATGATGAAACGCGCCACGACACGGGGGGAGGGGGGAGGGGGGGGGGTGAAATCTGTAACGTTCTACCTAGCTGCTGTATACGCGTACGCGTACTTTAATATTGTATAACGCGCGATGAAAGCGTATATTTGTCAAACGGCAAGAGTTGTCGGTGTACAGAAAGAGAGTGCGCGTATAATAAAAAAACGCGGTCGGCGGCCGTACTGCATTCCGTGTACAATGTAGAAACGATAGCTACGCGAGCGTTGTTCAGCAGTGTGTTCGGACAGAACCTTTATACGAAAACAATGTTATTATCGTGTTGTGTGCGCGGCGGTGACAATTCGATTTTAATCGTTTACACGCGTTACGCGGTTATTGTACAACCGACGTGGAACAATGTATCCCCCACCCCCATCCCCCCCCCGGCAGTTTGATGCAATCAAAATTCAACGATAACTGTAATAACTCGCGTTAACGACGGCGTTCCGAAACGTATAAAAAAAAAAAAAAGAGCCGATATTATCGCTTATGGGTGTGCCACTGCCGTAAGCGGAAAGTCGGGAAAATAGACCTTACGCAAAGTTGTTTGATTCGTATATCCGCGCCGCGGCGACGTGATGCGGTTCTGCGCGAACTTATACGTTTTACGTGTTTTGAAATGACGACGGTTTTTATAATTTTCCGCAAAATTTCAACTTTTAACGCTTATACAAATAATTACTACGCGACTAAATAACTATTAATCATCGACGCCGCTTGTAATAAATCTCGTGTTAAATTTTCAAACATTCCTGTCCGACCAAAACATTATTATTCACGTGAATCTAAAACTAAAACACTCGAAAACATCAAATATGGTTATAAGTAGATCAAAAATCACCAAAATGTTTTGAGAATTTGTGCACGTCTGAATTAAGTATTCTGTGAAAATTTCAAGTCAACGGAATTTCAAAAGGATTCCCGGAAAAAACTTTCATCAAAATGAAAATAGTTCCGTCATCTTTTTGGTTCGTACCTGAACGAATTGATGCGTAAATCGAGTTAGGGGAAAAAAGGTCTTGATAATCCGCGCAACAGTAAAGTTTTAAAAATACCTATGTCTGCAATGAAAGATAGTAATTCGAACAGAAATGGCAAAAATCTGTACACCAAAATTCCCTTCAAATGTGAAAGTTAAATAATAAAATTTACAATTTCGCTTTGATGTGACATATGATTGCTAAAATTGATATGACGTGCATTTTACAAAATATACCCCACTATATACCTTAAAAATAAACCGAAATAAATTCCAATGGCGTGGCCAAAGGCTGGAGGATCTAAGGGGACTATAGCTCCGTCTCATAAGTCATGTTTATGTGTACATACTGTTTTACGATTTGAGTGGTAAATAGCTAAGTTTCAAGTTGTTTCTTCTATTTCTGAAAAACATTTTCTCCACTGACTATATGGAAACGTATTTAAAATGAAGCACTATACTATAAAATAGAATCAATGGACACATTTCATTAATAAGTTTTGATTAATACTTGTTTAAAGTATTACACATTTATACTGAAATGCATATTGATGAAAACACTTTTTTAAACTGGTTTCGAGAGTGGTCGAATTTCCCGAACCCACCTTACCTTTGTCATATGTCCATGATTCGAGTAAAAATGTCTTTAGTTTGACCCTCTCTCAAATTAAAATTTTGACTTCACCATTAATAAATTCCAACTGAATATTATAATATTTTTCAGTGCTCTTCTACAAAAAAATTAGTTCGATTTTTATTTCTTAGGTTAGCTATAATGAATATATGTATATATTCTTCTCCTTTTCCTTCATCCCAACTATTTGGAGTTGACCAACCTTGTCCTAAACTTTCACTTAACCCGATCCCCCACATCGTTCTCGCATACACCCGCTATTCGCGTATCATTCACAATAGCATCCAACCACCTCTTTTATGGTCTTCCTCTCCCCTTCTTCCTACCTTATTTTCATTGAAATTCTTACTACTTCTGATACATTTCTCCTCATAACATGTCCAAACCAGTCAAAATCCCAGTCTCATTTTGTCCATTATCAAAGCCATTCACAACATTAAACTGTAATTTGTATTTTTACCCGGATCTAAGCTAATTCTTATGTACTCATTCCATATCCTATCTATTCTCTCGTCACTCCAATCATCCATCTAAGCATTCTCTCTCTGTTAAACTCATACTATGTTTTATTTTAAATTCTCAGTGGAGCGAAGAAGCTTATAGTTTTAAAAAATGTCTTTTTTTTTTTTTTTTATCTGTTAACAACTTTCTAACAGAAGACTTGCTCGGATTTTTAAGTGTAGCACGTTTTCTGAAAGGAAATCGGTGAGGAGACATACTTTAAGGAGGTAATTTTTCAATTTTCTCAGGAGTTATCCCAGCAAATGTGAAAAGCCGGGATAAAACATGGGAAAACCGAGAAAAACGTAGGAAAATTAGGAAAATCGATATAGCATTAAATTAATTTTATTAAAGAAAATATATAAAGCCTATTAAATTATTTTACTTTAAAATGACATATATATATTGTTGATAAAGTATCTATCACTATCAACTGAACTCCACTCAGAATCGTTTTTTCATAAGCAATGGTTTATCGTTGCTTACAGGTTTATATGAAATTATCTATAACAGTGGCTTCACTCGTCCCCATTATCCTAGGACGTCTTTTTTCTGTATATCGCTCAACACTTGAACCCATACAACATAGCTGATCCCATCACACTCTTGTAGAACTTTTAGAACAAAATTTCGTCACTACAATTCTTACTGCTTCCGATTCGTCTCTCTTATGTATGTATATACGTATATATACACGCACACATATATAAATATATATATATACATACATATATACACATCATTTTAAAGTTTGAAGTTAACAAAACAACCGGTTCGTTTCCATACGAATACTGTGCTGCTATCTAGTTGTGACGATTGTAAGTAATAACTTAATTCACTTTGCCTATCGAACAATTGGACATTTCAGAAATGCTTAAAGTACTTAAGTCAATTTTAACGAAAACTTGACTTACACCAGTATGGCTTCAACCCCCTCATATATATGTTAGAAAAATCGCTATAATATACGGATCAATCTGTACGGAAAATAATCAAACCGTATCATGTATTGATGGCACGAAATAGCCGTAGCAGTGCTTTTCACGGATGATTTCAAAGTAGCAAACACAAACTGCTACTCCTGTATGAAAATAGCAGTGACTGCTGGTCGCTCATTCACTGCTACTAGTAGTCATAACATCAAATGGACAAAAAGTCGTGATTTTATCATGGTACCCGTCGTGTTATTTACACCGCTACTTTTTTAGTAGCAATAGTAGCAATAAAAAACTATTACTGCTAGGTACTGAAAAAAAAAAACAAAGTCAGCCGTTTAGTATTATTACATATTTTTCGGTTATAATAATAGTGTATTTTTTTATTTTTTTTTTTTTTTCTAACGGAAGCCATTGAATACGTTCTAGTTTTCACGAGTTGTTAAATTGCGCTGGCAAAACACGAACCGTTACATACATTATATTATTTAATTATGAAACGCCATTTATAACGTTTAAATATTAATTATACGTAAAAAGTTAACAAAAATTTATATTATACATCATTATTATCAGCTAGCTCGTACACAGTACGAATGTTCCGAACGGACGCCGACAATATCACTGTTCGCGTTATTGCTCTTTTTATTTCTCTGTTGTTTTTTTTTTTACCATAATAACGTAGCATGGAACTCGATACACGTAATATTACCATCCGACGCGAATATTTATGTTTTACCCGCTACGATATCTGTATAATAAGAAATATGAATTAATAATTTATAGCGTCCGATATTTTATTACGAATGATAGCCAATAGCCAATGGTCTCGAATCGATACCGGCGTAAAAGTCGAACTCGGAAATATTGGATTTCCGACGGGTACCGATATCTACGTACATTATATTATTTCAGCGCTTTATCCTTGTCCAAACTGGATTCGAAATTTTGCGTTGTTTGGCTCGACAATAGTACCTATGCTATGTGTTTAAAATTGTTTCGGTGTCGGGTACCGGTTAAAATTCAGAAAGCAATAAATCTCGCAGAGTCCGCGCACGAACAAAAGATTTATTTTAGTACGAGTCCTTTAATTTTTGTACAAATCCGTCGTATACCATGTTTCCGTGGCAACAGATTTAGAGAAATAAGGGTAAATCCTTCGTATACACACGGATTTTAATGTATATGTTTGTCTTTTCGATTTCCTCGCCTGTAATACGATTTTTACGTCGTGTACACGCGTGCAACACAATAAATCAACAGCGAATATCCGATCGTTGGATAACTCGTGTAAAAACACGAAAAAAGTAAGATTTTTCGCGATCGTAATACCATTTAATTATAAACCGATAGTTTTTTCGATCCGTTTTAAAACTAATTCGTAACGGTTAATAATAAAAAAAAAATAATAATATAAAAACGCGTGTAAATAATTTATACTCGATACTAGCGCTTAAAGACCGTGTCGTCGGTACCGTTTAAAATTTAAACATTGACATTTTAAATTGTGCTTCAACTATATGTTATTGTATAATTTAAGATTCTAGACGCAGCGAGGAATTTCTTTTGGTTTTACTACATAGTGTTTTCTTTTCTGTCTGTTAACAACTTTTCTACCGCGAAATCTTGCTCCGATTTTCAAATGTATCATCTTTTTTGAAATTTTCTCTCGTTCGTGCATTAAAAACGTCAGTTTTTTTTTTTATTATTTTCCTCGCAGTTTTCTTAACAATTTGGAATAGCCTGGGAAAAACATAGAAATAACGGGAAAGTCTACAGCCAAAATTGTTTATTATTATTATACAATTAATAATAATTTTAGATCATTGAAATTTTCACAGAATACTTATAAAAGCCTTTTCTAGAAGTGGTTAAATTTTTAAAATATTCTGGAAATTGTTTAGCCCCTTATAGTCATTTGACGGTTTTTAGTTTTTTTAATTTTTATTTGGTTTAATGATATGGATAAAATTGTTTGGCTCTACAGAAACGCTTGAAAATTTAACATGGATTTTATTATAATTTATAAGTTGTATATATTTATTACCAAAAAGAAGTTGAACATTATGTTATGTATTATTGTTATTTTTTTTTTTTTTTTTGTATAAGCGTTTAAATTTTAAATTTTAATGGCAATCGTAAAAATCACGGCATTTCAATTTTAGATTCTGAGTGGAGTGAAGAGGCTCGTATTGTTTTACAAAGATTATTTTTAATTTTTTTATCTGTCCGCAACTTTTCTATCAGAAATCTTGCTCCACTATTTAAGTGTAGCAGCTTTTCTGAAAGAAAATCTGACTTGGAAGATACCGTAAGGAGGTCATTTTTCGATTTTTAAGAGTTTTAAATGGGTGTTGATTTATTGTTTCGGATAAAATGTTGATTACGTCGTCTTTTGTCTTTTTGATAAATCTTCTGAAACTCGATTGAAACTCTGTTTATATAATCGACACGATTGTCAACGAACAGAAAACAATTATTAAGAATTTCCGTTTAGGTTCTAAACGTCGCGGGGAATGCATTGGGTTGTACCACTCCAATATTCAAACATGGACAGTTTGACTTGTCTTTTCTGAAATCGAATTGTATCTGTAGTCGGCGTATTATGATGGAGGTAATTTGTGGTTTTCCTTAAAATCTTCTTGACAGTTCAAAAAAACCGGGAAAGTTTACGGAAATAACGGTTGTAGTATTTTCAATTTTGTTTTATTATTGTGATTCGGTAAAAAAAAAATTGTCGAAACCTAAAAGTATTACAAAATGTTTAACGTCTTCTCGGCGTAGTAAAATTTTCATTCTGACGATTTTTAAGCTATTTATAAACATTTGATATTTTCGAGTTTCTTTTCAGTGTTATTTGATTACAGGTGGATAAAATTGTTTGGCCAATCAAAACTGCTTAACAATTTTACATGATGTTCATCGTAAGTTATAATACTTAGTGGTCGAAAAAAAAATTGAGCATAATGTAGCAGTTGTTGTTTTTTTTTTTAATTATTATGCGTTCAACGTTTAAATTACAATGGTAATCGTAAAAATCACGACATTTCAAAACATTTTTAACCGAGCTTTTTTTAAATATCTTTTACGGTTCTAAAAATAAAAAAGTGTTTACAACGTTCTACCGATCGAATAATATAAGAACAGACATACATTCAAGTAATTTGTTTCTATGTTGATTATTATTTTACTTCGACATTTTTTGAATATAATATTTTCAAAATTGTGTATGAGTAAACTGTAAACTATGGATATAGGTAATATAATAATATTAACACTGTATAATACGACAAATACGTTTAATGTTTATCAATCAGGTTATCGTTACAATATCGGTTACAGTAATTCGATATAAAACGTTTATGTTTCAAATCTTATACCTTTGACTAGATAAGGATAATAGTAGATACCTGCAGGTACCTACTCGGAAATATCAGAGACAAATTTATAGCATGGATTTTATAATTTTATATAGTGTTCGCCGTTAGTTTACAACGAATACATAAATTACTTGTACGAAAAACGAAATCGTTTATCATTTTATCATATTCGTGTTTATATGTTACTCCAATGAAAATATTACAAAAACTTATTATAAAAAAAAAAAAAAACACGTGTTTTTCAAGTAATAATATTGTAAAATTATTTTCATACCGTTCCGCCGATGTCTCGGTGTCTGCAATAAACAACAAATAACTAATAATTAAAGACCGGATCTGTATGCATTTTAAATTGTAAAATATGCATGCAAACATGCACTAAAAAAAGGCAAGATATGCAAGAAAAAAAAACAAAACATGCATGATAAAATTGAAATTATTTTTAAATTTTATATTTTATTTAAATTTTGCAGTGATAATTAATTATTAATTTTATTAAAATTTCCATAAACAAAAAAAGTAAATAAGTAAATAGTACACATTGAAAAATTAAATGTAGTATTATTAGTAATAATATTATCGCTGCTGGAATCCTTAATTCCTTCAGTCAGTAACTATGTCATGGTATTAATCAACCGCAATCACGAATGTACGAAATAAAAATAAGACCCGGTAGACAACGTTATCTCAACAATTTGACCTTCCGTTTTATGCATTGATATATATATATATATCAGCTGGATACCTATATTGAACGTCATTAAACGTCTTCTGTGCACCGAACCCCATATGATATTGATAGCTGCATACACTCGACTCCGGGGCACTCCGAAAACACTCGAAAACACTAAATATGTCCTTTGCAATGATCTTCATCCGGTCGTCGTGATGTTTGTCAACAGCCTGTGAGTGGAAAAACGAAATCACCAAAGGGTTAAAAGCGGCCTCTCAAGTTCCACTTTTATCGTACCACTATAATAGGTATACTGCGTGAAATGAAACCCTATAGCCATATAATAATCATATGGCTCTTAGAAGATAACGGCGCAAGTTTGCGTACAGGCAAAAAATTTAATTTCGTGTCATCGTTGTGCACGCAGGTCAACGTTTTCATAACGGTAACCTTTGGGAAAAAACATAAATATTTTTCATACTATCGATTTTATAATATAAAATTTAATCATATAGGTAAGTCTAGAAAATAGTCAAGTTCAATAAATTGTGTTGATTCTAAGAGGTTGGACGGGTAAAATACGAGGGCAAGTGAAGTAGACGAAGAATAGTGATTGACAGAGAGATATGAGGGAGAGACGAGAACAACTCCAGTAAATGATAAATGCCAAGAGGAGAAGACATAATATAAATAATCACGTCTTAAAAATTGCGCTGCCTGAGATTTTTGAGAAACCGACATTCGACTGTGGAAGTAAATTATTAAATGCTAATTAAAAAATGCCGAAGTCGTCTGTAATTTGTATTATTTTTGTTTATATCCGCTGCAGAATACTGAGAAACGCATTGAAAACAAAAGAAATCACTTCAATAATAAAGATTTGCATGCAATAATAATAATAATACACTATTTTACAATAAATATACCGTTTTGGTCTGATTATTCCAGTCCGTAAATTACAATCGATAATCGATAATAATGACCAAATCAAACATGACAAAAAACGAAAAGAGCTGATGCCGGGGATGGGAGCGACCACTGTTGTAGGTGAGAAGTTGGGAAAGTAGGATAGATAAAGTTATTTCATTTATATCTGTAAGCAACGATAAACCATTGCTTGACGTTAGAGGATTCCGAACGCAGTTCGGTAACAGATAATTTTTGCGATTTTCGTTTAATTTTGATTTTAAAACACTTATTAACAAAAAAAAGTCGTCCGATGATTTTGAAAATTTTAACACGTCTAGGTAAGTCCAATATAAGTATTATTACCAAGTTTCAAGTCTCCAACTTTATAACCGAATTTTGCAAAAAAAACTCCCAAAAATTAAGATTCCTTAGCTAAGCTAAAAAGTGGCTCAAAAGTTTTGGCAGTAATACCATTAGAAATTAAATTAAAAAGGCAATAAAAAAGGTGTCTTGTGATTTTTCGATTAAATTACTTTTTTTCTGGTAGAAAACGTCGTCCGTGTTTTTATTAAATAATAAAATCATGAAATCTACGTTTTCCAACGTACTTGGTACGTAGTGGGGAAAAACATAAGTGCTTTTATTTTAAAAAATGGCTTCGAAAATTAAAAAAATGACCCGTTTAAAGTACCGCCTGGACAACTTGAGCTTTCAGAAAAGTTGCTACACGTATAAATCGGAGCAGGTTTACTAGGAAAAAGACGTATCCACACACTAGAACAAAGAAAAAATTGAAATAAACATCTTAGTAAAACCAACAGTTTCCTCGCTACGCTCGGAATCTGAAATGGCAATCGGGATTGAACATCTTTACTTGGATATGTCGTTATATTCTACGATTATTATCTATATTTACCATTATGACCGTATTCAAATCACAATCGGCAATAATTAAAAGTATAATTTCAAATAATTAAATATACTTCTCTAATGGACAACAAAATTATAGCAACGGGAAAAATGTTCAATTTTAATGTCGGGCCATGTTGAGTAAAACTCATTTTACGCCTAATTTAATTCGTAATACGTGTTGAATAATATTAATTTTTTTCAGGTATATAATGTGTACATAAATACATTAAATAGCTACTCACTTATTGTACACAATCAAAATAGTAATTTCGTATCGAGATAAAGGTCATTACCGTTCATTGTTTTTTTTTTTTTTTCCAATTATCTTACACTAAACTACACAAGTTTTTGCCACCGTCGTAACTTCGCGCCATTTTTCCAGACCTTGATTATTATTATTCTCTAATTCCTATTCAATTGTGATTCTTGTTCTTTCCAAATCCTTCGCAATCACATCCGTCCACCTTTTCCTTTTCCGCGATCTTCTTCCTGTTGGTTCCCAGGGCATTACCGTTTGTGCTATACTTAAAAAATATATATTAATTTCCTTATCAGTGTATACATTTACGAGATATTTCAAAAAATGCCTACGAGTTATATGTTATAGACACCCGACAATACAAACAAAACAAATAATCGTGAAAATGCCGATTCGAAATACGAGCAATGAGCTGTCAGGGAACATCGGGATTTCGTTTTTACAACGCGGTTTTTTCTTCTATATTACAATATGATATTAATTATTTATTATTATTATTATTACGTTGTATATGGTACTTTTTTTTTACAGAAAACTCTGTTTGATAAAAAAAAAAAAAAATAAAATAACGTAAATAAAATTTAAACAAAATATACAGTGAGTGTAATATACAAACCTGGTAATAATTATTTACCATTTATTCTTGAACTGTTGTGTTCGGATGGTCCGTTCTCGGTGATGACAATCGCGATATGAGTTTTCAGTTAGTCTCCGTTTGGAATGTGCAGTGCCCGGTTCTGGCATGACCCGTTCCGGCCCGGTTTAATTTGCTCCGTGTTTTCTAGATGTATTCCCGCGGGAGCTCCTGTTGGGTTCGGCTGAGCAGGAGCTCGAACGGTCTTGCGATTCCCGTTCAGCTCTTTGCTAATCGAAACGTTTCAGGTGTATAACACCGGAATGGTTTTCTGGGCTTGAGATATTAAACTGACGTGGGGAAACGTAATGATTCGACGGTATTATAATTATGCGTTTTCGTTTTTAAATTAAAAGTTCTCGCTGCAGAATATTGTCCAAGAAGGTCAAAATATATTGTTACACCGGCATTGCCCGGCGCGGTGCGAACGTGTAATTTAATTTAAAATATTTATTAAATATATATAAAGTTTTAAAAAAAAAAAAAAAAACAAACAAAAAACAACCGCACTCCGTAAACGTATACGAAATACATATTTACACATGCATGAGTGTAGATACGTTGACGCGTGTTCTGTGCACATAATATCGTAAGTATTTCCCGAAAACCAACTACGGTACCCCCTTTGATCCTCCGGGGAAAAACCGACCTACGGTCCGCATTATATGTACGAGTGCACGCGTGACTATATTATATGTCTGTACTGTTTGGTGCGACGTAAACGCATATATTATAGCAAAACGGCCGAGGAGACACGGGCCTCGAGCCACGGAAGGGACTTGAATTAATAAACTAGCGGCGAAAAAACTATAAATTACACGACTCTCCGGCCGGTCCGTGTTTAATTCCGAACGCCCTTTCGGGATAAAAATCCACCGCGGTTCACTCTATAATAATTATAAGGACCGCGTAAATTCAAACATTCAAATCTACGTGCAAGCCGAAATACGCCGCAATCCTGAGAGGTTTTCGGGAGGTTTCACTCAGATCCAACATCTTTTCAAAATACAAATTGTATCTAGTTGGCGCACTGAGGAGGCAAAGATTTTGAACTTACTCGCAGTTTTATTAATAATTCGGAAAAACCGAGAAAAAAAATGTAAGAAAACCAAGCCAATTCACGACAATAACAGTTTCATTATTTTCGATGTATTCGATTTTGTTTTTCCATATTTCCTGAAAGAAAATTTTGTCTAAATGGTTTGTTAGAAAGTCAGTTTTTTAATAATTGGAAAATATCTGAAAAGTTTACAGCATTTATAGTTTCATTGTTTACGGTTTTTCTTTTGTCTTGCAATTGAATTACAATAAATCGTAAAGAACTTTTTAGGAACAAAATCACTATCCACATTTGGTTTTTTAAATAGCAGTTTATATTAAACATTCCATCGATAGATGAAGTTTTAGTTTAAATACGTCTAATATTACAATTTTTAATTTCCGTCAACCCGTTAACGAGACATTCCACTTTTAAGTTTGGGAAGGGGAAGAGTGATAATGGAACATAATTTGTTTGGCCGCGCAAAGCGAAACGTTTGAATAGTGCTCCATTACTCTTTCCTCTACTTTATTTTTTGTTAAAAATTGCCAAAGTGGGTATACTTTCAAAATAAGTGTATGCAATATATCAATGTATCATGTTCAATATATACGTAGATATATGTATTTTCCAATGTGTGTATATTGTGTGTTTAAGCAATGAAAATGACATAAAACATCGCTTTTGATTTTGAAAAAAAAAATAGTTATTGAAACAATCTAGCGGTAAAACGGCTAAAATTTCAAATACACTTTTCTTATCACAAATTCGGAAATAACCAGACCGAAATTTAAGATTATTTTTAATTATATTAATCGGAGTAATTAAACCGATTCAAAATAATTTCAATACGAAAATGAATAAGTATGAACAAATACACTAAAAAATAAAGACGGACATACTTCGCACGTGGGTGCAGCCACTGTTGGGAAGGTAGCATCTGGAAGGGAATTTAATGGATATCTGTAAGCAAACGATAAACAATTGCTAACGAAAAACGATTCTGAGCGGAGTTCAGTTCATATAAAAAAAAAAAAAATAAACAACATATATAAAAAATAATAAACATCTTTGTAAAACCAATACATTCTTCGCTACACTCAGAATCTAAAAAATAAGTGATATCTTTACAAAAACACTTCACAAACACTTGTTGCGAAAAACGGTAACGCATACAAATTTCGCTCAATATTCTTGATGTATTTACGACTAGGTTATTATATTTTGCAATGTTGTTTTTCAATTCGTCAAACTAAGTTCAGTTATAAACAGAAAATTTAAACATCGTGTTTGTTTTCAATCTTGCAAAATATAATAACTTGGCCATAAATATAACATGGCATTATGAGCTGAATCGCTCGTACTAAACGTGCGTACTCCGTGGAGTGTGTAGAGCGCTTTTATCGGGTTATTGTTATTGAATAGACGTTCTTACATGAAAATCAACGCGTTCAACGCACTCACGATATGAAATTGTGTTTTTACATTATTTTTTTCAAATTATAATATACTCTATATAAACATAATATTTTGAACTACGACACGTAATGTAAATACATTTTTTTCTTCAATTTTCTTTGTTTCGTATCTAATTATATCAGTGTTTAAAAATCGACTAATAATTAATGACAAGAATTATTAGTTATGTCATTATCTGATACGTATAGGTAAATAATTTTTCTACGTGCGACAACTCTCGCAACTAATCGCAACAGATTTTCAGTATTTTCGTATCAAAATGTTCGATTAAAAGCGGTTTAAAGCACATTGCCGTATTTCCTACGTGTTTTTCCGGTTTTTTCGTAATTATTAGGAAAACCTCACGGAAAATTAAACAACGGCTTTCTTACTCACTAACTAGATACAATTTGTTTCAGAAAATATGCTATTCTTGAAACACGGACAAAACTTTGAGGTAGAAAAATATAATAATACAATTTTAAATAATAAAATCGTTCTACCGTAATTTGAAAAATCGTATGTTTTGTCATTTTTGGCTTTTCCCAATTATTATAAAAACTACTTTAGATATTAAAATATTACTTCCTCTGTCAGTGCCTAGATATTAAATGTAACAAACAAATGTCTCTCAGCATTTTTTTTATCAACTCAATAAGTTTGATAGGAAACATTGTTCGTGGAAATCAAAAAATTCGGTATGAATTCGGTAACGCCGCGATGCGCTATAAATATTCGCTGTTTTACCTATACAATTGTCTTCCCGTTTTATCCCAATTATTTTTAAAACCCATTATAAAATCAAAAAATGACCTTCTTTCTAACTGGAAAAAATTTCTTTTCAGAAAAATGTATAGACTCGGTACTTCTGAGCAAGATTTCTGGTAAAAAAATTGTCCACAGACAGACAAAACGGATCAAAACAAGAAAATTCTAAAATTTCTAAAATCAACAAATTTAATCGATAAAATATAGCTAAATTGTTAAATCATATAACATGAGAAAATGTTTTTTTTTCCTTTTTTATTTTAATAATTATTAATAGTAATTAATACGTTGTAACTAATGGCCCATGCTGCAGAGTTTTAATAAAGATCAACAAAAAAAAAAAAAAAAAAAAAAGTCGTTAAATAAAAACAGCAAATATGAAATATTGAATAATATACAAAACAACGTTTATATATTTATAATTAAGATAAGGAAACTAATTTATAAAAGAAAAAATAAATAAAGATGGTAATGCTGATGGGTGCACCACTGTTGTTGGGATCGATCGATGTGTCTTTTTTAGCTTTTACTGGGTAGAAACTATATAGTACACTCATTTATAATTATACATGCCTAGGATGCATATTGTTCAATGGACCCTTATTATTATTCACCATTATTAAATTAATGACTAATTTTGTTTCATTTTCTTAATCATTGTACAATGTACGTAATAAACAGCACCGCTCAAAATTTAAAAACCGTAAATCACTCCGGTCGAATATTAATTATGACTTATATTACTACTACTGACTCTGTTTCAATCCCTCTAAGTCATCAGTCGCTTCTTTTTTAACATATTCCATTCGACTTTTTACAGCTACTTGAACTTTAATCGCATTTTGTTTTAGTTTCTGGCCGACAGATTGTTTTTCATCTAAAACATAATATACAGTGCAGGTATAATGAACAAATGTTACAATTTGTCGATACATTAAGTCACAAATAATACTATTTGCTTAGCATAAAATTAAATTCGTAACACAATAATAATTACGAACTAATCGTATATTATATACATGTTGCCTATTGTTATACCTATGTCCCATATTGTAATATGATGTAGGTAATATGAATCTCGTGAACGGCGGGAAAGACCACCTGACCGAAATAAAAAATGGTTCTAAAAAACGGAGAATTAAAATATTATTAAACCATAATTACAGCTATACCTTTCATTTATATATTAAAATAATTAGTCAAATAAATTAAAACGCTATTTTGGAGGGAACAATCTATTTCAGCTGTAACTTAATAAACAGAAAGAATTAATTGATTTATCACGTAAATTTGGAGCTGCGTTGAAATATTTAAAATAAAAAAAATAGTAATTATCATATTTTTATTGGATAACCTAATCAACTTCATTCGTAGTAAATGTAACTCAATTAATATAATATATACAAAATGTTATGGTTGCAGATAGTATACGAAAAATGAAAATACTTGTTAATTTTGTGCCATATTGTACAAAAACAAGGATCGAAATCCAAATTATTATTAAATGTACTCAGGTGTTAAAAACGGGAAAAACTTGCTTGCGCACCTACAGGAAATATTGCCACGATGAGTTGTAAAATCGAGTTTATATCTCAGGACCTATAAAATATCAAACCAAAATGGCCGTGATATCCCTGTAGTAATTTCACATCCGCATTACACAAATTGGCTCTTTGCCGCTTATGACATGTCCGATCATTCTGATCGTTAATCTTTATCAACCGATTTTCAATAATTTACGATGCCATTTAAAAATCAGTATCACGGCCGTGGTAGTTATCGATTTCACCAACAAACATAAGCACGTGAAAACCAAAAAAAATGTGGGAAATTTAACGTTTTATGTATCTATTTTTAGTAGTAGACTAGATTATAAACGTCTTCGCTAGAAGACATCACACTGTATTGCCGGATTTAAGGAACATTCACAATGCGGGTAGTGAATCGTATAGGTACTAATAACTTGTGTACAAATTCAAATTGTATATTAAAAATAGATTGAAATTGTTCGAAAAAATATAACTATCAAATTTAACGATACTAAACAAATCAGTAACCTATACACAATATTAATTGTATGAATGATTTTGGAATCGTTTAGACACTTTCTGTTAGCAATACCGTTAACCTTATCGTAAACTTCAAAACAAAAATATATAAATTTATATATTTGAAAGCTTTAAATGACAGGTACAATAATTATGAAGTGTTTAATCGAAAATAAAATGACCGTTTGTTTCGTTAGAACCATCAGACTCCGGCATATTGCACCAACTAAAAACATATTGTACATTTTTCGTAACTAGTATATAATACTACAATTGATAATTAAATATTTAAATTAATCCTACAAATACATACAGAAAAAAAAAAAAACAGTAGCTATTAAAAAACATAACTTAAAAGCCCCAGGTTAATAGCTGGCTATTTTGATTCCACGAGAAAGTGGCTACGTTCTAAAAAATAAAAGAATAATAAATTTAGATTCATTTTTAGATTTTAAAGAAGCAAAGAATTTATTATTTTTACTATGGTGTGTGTTTATTTTTTTTTAGATTCTGAAAAGGAGCGAAGAAGCTTATGGTTTAACAAAATTTGTTTTTATTTTTCTTTTTCTGTGGAAAACTTTTCTACCGGCAATTTTGCTCTGATTTACAATTATATCACTATTTTTAAAAGAAAATCTGGCTGGTGAGGGGAGTGGAAATTGAGGAGGTTATTTTCGTTTTTCTCAGGTGTTTACAAAAAAAAAATTAAAAAACCAGGAAAAACGGAAAAATTGTACGAAATGTAGATATTAAAGTTAAAAAATATTACGGCCTTTTTTCTTCTGTGAATAATTTTTTCACCAGGAGTTTTGATCCGATTTATATTTATAGCACTTTTTCTAAAAGAAAATCTGACTGGAGAGATACTTTTAACAAATGATTTTTCGATTTTTCCAGGAGTTTTCCCAAAAAATTAGAAAAAACTGAGGTAAACGGAAAAATATATGAAATATATTAGTAAAATATGGTCTTTTTTTTCGGTGGACAACTTTTTTACCAGAAATCTTGCTCCGAAATATCAAGTATAACACTTTTTTTGAAAGGCAATTTCATCTATTTGGTGCACTGAAAAGTCATTTTTTGATTTTATAATCGGTTTTTAAAAAAACCCGAAAGAAAATTATAGGTAAAAAGGTAAATATATACGACGCGCTGTGGTGTATCGATTTCATTATTTGAAATTTGTATACTCAATTCCTTCTACCAGAAATATTGCTCCAATCAAAAAATGATTAAGAATCGATTTTATCGATACCGGAACTTTGTAACAGAATCGTATTTCATTATAAATGGTTTATCGCAGTTGTTAACAGATATACATTAAATAAACGTATTAGTCCTGCCTTACCGACTTCTCACTTACGACAGCTAGTGGCGCACCATTATCAGCAGTATTGGCTAATTTTAGATTCTGAGCGGAGCGAAGATACTTATGGTTTTAAAGTGATGTTTATTATTATTTTTTTTTTTTTTTATCTGTAACAACTTTTCTACCAGCAATTTTACTCCGATTATCAAGTATAGACCTTCTCTGAAAGAAAATCTGACCTAAATGGTACTTTTGGAAAACCATTTATTGATTTTCTCAGCTGTTTTCATGATAAATAGGGAAAACCGTAAGAAAACGAGAAAATGTATTATTTTCAAATCGTAAACATCAACAGCGTTTCAAAAAATGTACAACCGAACTCCGCTCAGAATCGTTTTTTGTTAGCAAAGATTAATCATCGCGTACAAATATACATTAAATTCCCCTCTATATACCACCTGTCCAACTTTTCATCTACAATAGTGGCCCGATCACCGTGCAAATATGTCCGTATCTTTTTTTTTTTCACGTTTTTCAATCGTTTCTTCTTCTGTACACCGTTTCCGAACCAAACATCGGTTATTCGCGACGATTTTTTCGCTAATATAATTAGTTTGAATTTATAATATTAATGCTGTGTGCGTTTGTGTGTATGTGTGTGTGTGTGTGTGTGTGTGTGTGTGTGTGTGTGTGTGTGTGTGTGTGTGTGAGCGCGTGTGAGTTCCATTTCCTTCGCAGTATTTCCGGCGACAAAAGCGCGTTTACGCCGAATCGTTTTGCTCTATTGATGTTATCATTTTCTCGGCGCCAATTGTTCGCGCGCTGCGCAAGCAGGTTATTGTTTCATCGTTACACTGACCGGAGTCGTATAGTACAGTGTTTGGGTGGTGTACAATAATACTCGGGCGTAGAAGAAAAAAAAAACGTAAAAAAGAAAAAAAAAATAGTGTTTTCTTACGAAAATCCGGCGTGCGTATAGTAAACGAGCCCGGGTACAAGCGCGATAAATAATATGCGCGCGCGCCCTCCGTGTCGGCACGCGGTATTATCGTCTAACGTTTTTTTTTTTTTCCCGGCGGTTTGACGTTTATGTACGCATATATGTGTGTGTGTGTGTGTGTGTATGTGTGTGTTTTATGCTTTTCTTTTTTTATTTTTCTTCAGTTCCGAACGGGACGGCGGCGACGGCGGTAGTCCGATGGGATTATTTTTAACGATTTTTTTTATGTCGCAGCCGAAAAACATTTTTTACACCACCCGAATACGAAATACAACGCACAGTGCACTATACACAATCGTATAAGAGGTCGTGGATTTTCGTATTAGGCGTTTCGCTAAAATAACGTGATAAACGCGCGTAAACATATCCGTAGAACATTACGTAACTGCCCGTCTCGAGTATCGTCATTGTATTTTTCAAAAACAAAAAAAAAAACGATGACATAAAGTTGTACGAAAACGGTTGTTTCGTTGGAAACACTGGCACGCGGTAAATCTGTATAAAATGCGTGCACGAAAATACACTAGACAAAGCCGTTGAGTAATTCAAAAAACTATCCGTCTAAAATCTTAAATTCTCAAGTATACTATAATAATACATTATAAACCTACTAGCTGTTGTAAAACCCGGGGGGGGGGAAACGGACGTCCCCCATTCGCTCCTTCAATGTACTCTTAATCCCGATATATGCATCATAAGCTTGATTTGAATTTTAAAAATTCCCCCTCCTACGTTAACTTTCCCTAGACCGCCGCTGCTTATTAGAACAATTTTCTATTCCAATCGTTACACAAAACCTTTTCGGTAATTGATCTACCCCAAACTCATTTCCCGAGCAAACAAAAAACACTCGTACAAAAAATTTTTAAAAATGTACTTAATTAACCGAATACTTATTTAAATGAGTATCCGGTGCAAATGGCATAATGTCTCTACGATTATTTTTAATCGAATTTAACAAAGAACAAAAATAGCTGAACCGAAAATATCAGAAACCGTTATCGCGTACATTTTCCCATTTAACCTACATTGTTTCCCAACTATTAAGAAAACTACAAGGGAAATCAAAAAATGAACACCTCAATGCACCAACTAGACATAATTGTACACCTGTAACAACCCCCGAAGTTGATGAACAAAACAAAATTTCTGGTAGGAAAGTTGTTAACAAACTTAAAACAAGTGATAGGTACTGCTCACTGGTAGGCTACTGTTTGTAGATTACGGGTAGTCGGGAAAAGAGTAATTTAATAATTCTTAGCGGAGTAGTACTATTCTCGTTTTTCCCTTGTTGCCCGCAAGATAACCAATGGAATCAACATGAAGTTTTACCGTTTTTCTTTATTAAGAAGACTACAATGAAATTAAAAAAAAAAAAACCAATCCTTCCCGATGCACCAACTGGATCCTAAATGCTAAAAAAAATACTCTATACAATTTGATACCTGAAAATACTTGAAGTTAATGATTGGGTAAAAACGTCTGATAAAAAAAGTTGTTAATAAAGAGAAAACACATTTTTTTTTTTCCGTTTTTAAACACATCATAGTAAAATGAAATTCCTAGTATAATTTACCAATGTAAAATTTAAAAGATCCGCTCAACGCTTTTAATAATATTGTCGTGGTATAATATTTGCTTTGAAATCAAATGGAATCCGTTACATTTTTTTTTTTTTTATTAGGTTACCGGTTTAAGCGACCTCGAGAACGCGTTCGTGAAAGCCAACGCAAAAGGATTTCCGACCGACCTGCTGTACAGCGCGGTCGGCCTGGAAGGTCGGTCCGACGACAACAAAGCGCAACTGGCCAAAGCGCTGGAAACGCCGCAGGTGCAAAACGACGTGCGGAAGGCGGCCGTCAATTACGCGGTCAAAGAAGTGCCGACCACCCGCGAAAGCACGGAGGGATATTGTTCGTACTCGTGGTTGCGGTGGTTGCCGTACATGGACTGCGCCGAGCCGTCGGCCAGCGAATCGCGCCAGACCCTGCAGCTGATCAACACCAACAGGAACTGTATGCGCTGAACCGGATTAAAAACAATAGACGACAATTAGTTTTCGTTGCCGTTGCGATTTCGATGTTATGTTTATATTTGCATTGAAATAAAATACACAAAACCGCTTAAAACCTAATAGTCTTTAACCGCTTGACGTTCGTAATGGTATTTAAATTCGTAGATTTAAATTGTAAACAGCGCTGAAAGATATCCGGGAAAACGTAATCACAGGTAACATAATATTCACCACGCGTGCGTTGTTCGTCCACTCGTGGTAAACACACGCAATTGGACAATTCAATTTATTTATAAATTGGATTTCAAAAGCTGTTTTAAATACTCGCGGAACGATTCGTTAACGGGTTCTTTATTCGGCGCGCTTTTGTTCGCATTTTCTATCGGACGATCATAAACGTTTCCGCCGTAAGCGCCCAAAGCGGAGCGTAGAATTTTGTCGCGAACGTCAAAACTGTCCGCTAAACCGACTGCATTGGGTCTGGTACGTTTTAAACAATCTTCTAGTAACGACTGTATCGATGACACGTCACTTTGTTTTAGATTTACAGAATACTGGAAACGGTATTATAAATGAAAAAACGCCCCTTAATATAAAATACAAATTCAAATAATAAAAGGTAAAGTTTTACTCGGAGAAAACCGCCCAACAGATTTAGAATCCAATGGACACAAATCAATTCACAAACGTCTGTTGTTATATGTTTGTCAATTCTGCCGGTAATTCAGCCATTTCGACTGTTTCAACAAATTTTCGTGATACAAATGCTCTACAGTGTGCCTAAAATACATTAAAATTAAGTACATTTTTAAAAATCTATAACTCGTTTTTTTTTTTCAAATTCAATAAGAAAAAAAAATTATATTCGTAATTACTTCTGCTGCTTTGGTTAGTTTAATACTAGTTGAATTCCGAGCATTTTTCTGAGACATTCCAGAACTTACAAGTTCATTAATAGACAAGTAGCAATTTTCAATTTTACTAAGCGCAATGAGGTATTTTATATGTAATCAAGTACTTATATTAAGAAGTATCTTTCATTAATTAAAATATAAAATTTACCTTCCTGCAACTTGAAAATATGCATTAGTCATGCATTCCAAATTTGGGGTCTAATCATTATCGTCTTGATTGGTTTAAATCGTTTAAATACATTACAGTTTCATTTAATTTCAGTCCAAATTTTGAACTTTGATATGCTCTCATCAAAAACCTTTATTGAATTAAAATTCCGACATTTTATTATGTTGTATTTATTGAATCAAGTACAAAAATGAAAAACCTATTTAAATTAAGTAAGTATCTATAGTACCCAATATAAACGCGAAGATTATTCAACATTCGTTATTATTTAACTTGCAAGTACATTTGTGAGTAAATTTACCGGGGTATAATGTTTTAACACTAGTGTTAAAATGCGTTGAGATTAAATATTAACATAAATAAACCTAACCGCGCTGTTTGCAATAAAAGCACAGTGTTTTCTCTTTCGTAGGTTTCAGAGACAGTTATCATCGCATATTTGGTAGATATGCGGAAGATATATTTGGTATCAGATATTTGGTAAATTACTGCAATTCATACATCCACGACCACCACGCGGTAAACGGCATGCATTTATTGCCGCAGCAGCGTCTGCCGAACTTACAGCTTTTAAACAGCATGAAAGTGAATACTTCGTCAGATTATTTTCAGATAAGCCGTAGGTACTTAATAAAAGAACCTCTGGTAATCGTTCAAAATCTCCTTGGTTTATTTTCGAAACAACATTATTATAAACGTTCCAAAACCGTGAAGCCGCACTTTCATATGCTACGCCCATAGCTATGGCCGGAAAAGTGTTAAACTGCTGTACTCGATAGTCCAATATTTGACATTCGCCTGCACTATTCGTAATACAACACATTATTTACGAGTGTTTATAACATATTACATATACGTAAGCAAAAATTGAATTTGTATTGTAAAAATAAAAATATTTACCCGATTTTAAGTTCCGACTGTCTTCTAACACAACTAAATCTAGTTGCTGTTATTGCAGCCTTGGATAAATTATAAGATACGAGACTTTTAACAATTAATACACGTACATAAATCATGGTACCGTAAGTCAGTATAGGGTTTTTCAATTTTTTATGAGTACCATCCAAAAAAATGTAACTTAATAAATAACGAATATATAAACATTAAATGTGTAGGTACGCTGTGCAGGTAAAAAATGTGCCTATCGTCACCGGAACGGAAATGCATCTGGCTTAATTTCAGACGAGATTTCCCAATAAATATTAAAAGACTATTTGACTATCAATTTTAATAATAAATAATAAGGAGACGGACATATTTGGCATAATGGGTGGGCCACTGTTTCAGCTAAGAAAACCGCTTAGAAAATCAAAAATTACTTGTAGATACAATTTTCTTTCAGAAAAAATGCCACACTTGATGCGTAGAAGGGAGCAAGATAGAAAAGTTGCGCACAGAAAAAAATAATAAATAAACATCGTTGTAAACTAATAATCGCTACGCTCCGAATCTAAAATAAATTTATCGTACAGCATACAATATTTGTGCATTTGTGTTTTTTCATACATGTAGGTACTATTATACTAACATTTTGAATTTTCAAACACATTTGTTTTTTTTTTTTCTTTTACTGTATACTTGTATCACTATTACCACATATTATGTGGCATATTTGTATACTTATTAGTGTATATAAATCCGTGATTTAGTTATTCTTTATTTACAAAAACAAAAATATTTTAAGATGATTATTGTTTATAGCTACTTATCCATAGGTATATGTGATTGTTAAGCCATGTGAAGTATATTGCCCACTTAAAGTGGGTAATCTGCTAATAAAGTGCTAGGTGAAATTATTAATTTTTTTTTGAAATAGATCGGTTGGCATACGCCTTATTCGTGATAAATTGGTTAAGAACGTAAATAAAATGTAACCAAGAAATAGACCCCCATCATCGATGGATAGATAGAACGGTCAAGAATACAAAATAAGTGGACGATAAGATAACGATTAGGATGTTTCAGAATATTTTTCAGAAGATATTCTTCTTCTCGTGTAGATATCGTGTTCCTAAAAGTTTAATAATGTAACCAAATTTTTTCAGATTGTTTTTAGATTTGTTAAAGTCAAGAACATCGTTTTTAGGAAAAAAGGTGGTTTTTTTTTTTTTTTTTTTTGTTTTCATTTTCTACGCGTGTAAATAATAATTTTTAAGGACAGATCGATTTACATTTTTACATTCAGCCATTGCCACACAGCTCCTCGCGCTACGGTATTTAAAATTTACAAAACGCTTCAGTGACAGCGTCGTATGCAATGAGTGTTTACATTGCCTTCCCAATACTTATTACACCTTATATGTGGCGGTTGGGTGGCTGCTCGAGCTGCTCAATTTGCCGCTCTTGACGGGAGCGTCGAGTAGCGACAACGCGAGGCGCATAGTTAGCGCAAGCGACACGTGTTTACATACTCGCGCTGCCCACTCCCACGGTCACTTCAATGCTTACTGCCACGGAAGTGGGCTGAATGTAAACGGGGTAATAAGATCGAAAATTACCAGCGGAATTAAAGACGCCCTAGACACTAATTGGAGACACTCATTTGGAATTTCAACACAAATAAATCTTGTTCGTCTCAAAATAAATTAACAACAACTTCCTCGTTATCAGTAATACAAAAATAAACCATAAACTTTAACCGTGGTCGACGGTTATAAATATTATACAACCAAGATATACTGTCTTTAATCGCGAATATAACGGATTATGCCTTCTGTGTGTAAATATACGAAGTACTATGTTGGTAATCTCAGATTTGCGACGACTTGTCGTAGTCATTAATGTTCTGACCGCGCGTTTGTGTAATTACCAGTGAAATATTTTGAATATTTTTACTTATGCGTGTTTTGTAAATTTTTAGTCCTCCAATCGTCTTATAAATAGTATAAATGCGTAGCGTATGCGGTGTATAAAAAGGGGGATAAATAATTTCGGGTGTTACGGCCCCCCCCCCCACAGGTTTTTGTTTTTGCTATGGAAACCTGTCGAAAAGTTACGATTGAACTAAGAAGCGTATCCCCTGAAATCAGAAAATCAGATGTATTTTTAGGCCCCGACTGATCGTATACCAGATAAATACGACGCAGGTTGCAATAAAGAAAACGATAGGCTATTTATCGATTTAAAGCATTTTTCTTGTCTTTTAGAACATTCGCATCTGCACCCTAGTGTTGAGTAAATATATACTTATCTACGTATTTTATTTGTTTGATACCGCGACTTTCGAGATAGGTACCTAACAATATTAAGAAACGAAATATAGATACGCGCAAACATGCGGTATATTTGCCCGTACACTGTTTTTATCAAATATTTCATAACGTAATCCCCCCCCACCAGTACGAATTAGTACTCTACAAGAATGACAATAAAATGTTTCAATTTGAGTGGCCAACGGTACGACATATGCATGGACGTTTCTGGACATATCTCTAGGGGGCGGGGGGGGGGGGGGGGGGGGGACAAAAGAAAATTGACCAATAAATTACGTTTTTTTTTCGTAAATTTTATTTATAGCGCGGGTACATCGTTACGGTGTTATCGCCCATAGTAATGTTTTCCTCCGACGTGCCCCGTTTTGGTGTTTAGGCATTTTTCATTATTTTCATTTTCAAAAAGAAAACGTATATATATTTAAAATATCAATCGGTCGAGCTATTTCACCCGCGAACAGGTTCATATATACATCGCGTACACCAACGTTTAATATCAAAATTACGCAAACATAGGTAATTGATAATCTGCACACAATCGCAGAATTTATTTTCTCTGTATCGCGTCCATATACAAGGATTTATTTTCTCATTTTTTTTTTTTTAAAATATCAACACACAGTATAGCAATACGATGATATCTCACCGGGTAGGTAGTTGAGCAACTTTTTTCAATAATCACAATATATTTAGGTAAATTCCGAGTGTAGCAAATTTTTTTTTCTTGGAACACCAATATGTAAAAATTTTTCAATTCTTCCATACCATGGCTGCCATAAAAATGGGAATTCTTCATCTAATAATGCTTATCTTGAAAATATTTTCAAAATGTGTGATGCTCTTTTCAAAAACCCTTTAACAAATCTGGATTTTATAAATTAGTTTTGTGTTTAATGCAAAAGATGGTTTTTATTTGTTTAATGACAGAATTTTTTTCTTAGGCAATTTTTAACATTTTTGAAATAAAAAAAATATGTCGAGTCCTTTTTAAACTTCCTAGAACAATTCTTTCATTCTCTTGTAACAAGGTAGTTTTCCATTTAAGATAACAAAATTGAGTTTAAGTTTATTCTGAATTTTATTTTTATAAAACATGCAAGTTTACAAAAGAAAATTTATTTTACATGGAAATGTAATTATTTAATAATAATGTAATATTTTATATCAAAATTTAAGCTACTTTTTGAAGGAGAAAAAAATGTTAAGTAATTCAGGCATTCTATGTCACTTTTTTACTGTAAATTATTAATTTATCTTAGTTACTTAAAATTTACATAAATTATTGAAAAAATCAACAATTTTTAAGGTGGTCTTAAAAATTAAATATGGTCCATTAGGTATCATCAATAATAATAACCAGACTAATAGACAGTATCGGACGTAATTATTTTACAACATTTTTGATAAAATCCTTTTATCTATATCAATATAAATACTGGAAAAATTATTAAGATATCAGTGGCTAAAATTTGGTTTTTCTGACACGTTTTTAATGATTTTAAATGTTAAAACACTCACTATTGTGTTTTACTTAAAACAAGAATACTGTTTTAAAAACATGATAATAGTAAGTTATTTGTAGAAAAAATGAATAACACAATATTTAAAAATATACATACCTATATAAATAAATATATATATATATTTATAATTTGTAGAAAAATCACTGTTACTTTGAATAAAATATATACTGAACAGAGTTTGAGCATAAACTATAACATTCCTTTTACATAGATAAGATTAATAATAAGGAACCTCAAACAAATGGTATTTGTTATAACATGGACGGCTTAAGATTAAAAACAAAAACAAAATTTAAATTAAGAACAAAATTAACTCATAAAACATACTCGTGTTGTAAGTGTATTATTTAATAATTTGATTATCTTTCAGTGACAAAATGCCAAAGAAACAATAAAATAATAAGTATTTGACCGAGACTTAAAAAAAATTCAGTGTGATGCGATTCATGAAATTAAAAATTAAATTGAACTTGTTTATTGAGCTAAACCAGCATCCTTCGCCATCAAATAGAAAACTGATGATTTTTCTTGCAGTAAATTTGTAGGCGAGTCATATTCAATCATCAAACCATTATCCAAAACTATTACCCTACAGAAGTAAACAAATACAATTAATTAACCAACCATAAATAAACATGCACTATATAACTTACTTGTCAGAATCCATAATGGTATTTAAACGATGAGCAATTGTCAATACTGTGCAGTCTTTAAATTCTGATCGTATGGTTGTTTGTATAAGATCATCTGTTTCCAAATCGATTGCTGCTGTAGCTTCATCCAACACTAATAATTTTGTTTTTCTTAACAATGCTCTTGCCAAACACACCAATTGTCTTTGACCCACACTACGCATTACAAAAATTAACATCAGGATCAAAACATCATTAAATTATTAATTTAAGATAAATATCAGTCATTAAAAATCAATCCAACCTTAAATTATCACCTCCTTCAGACACCTCATGATCCAAACCTCCTGTTAGCCCCTTAATATGTGTTTTTAGGTGAGCTAGTTTTAAAGCGTTCCATAGCTGACTGTCTGTGTTAGTATTGGTTGGATCTAAATTCATTCTTATTGTTCCAGAGAACAACACTGGATCCTATAAATGATTAACCATCTTATTTAGTTTTTTGTACACAATATAAATAATTAATAAATAATAATTAAATGATTACTTGTGGAATAATTGTAAGACGACTACGCAAAGTATGCAATCCAATTTTTGATATATCAACACCATCAACAAAAATTGTTCCTTCAGCAGCTTCAACAATACGGAACAAACTAAGAGTCAATGAAGATTTTCCAGCTCCAGTACGTCCAACAATACCAACCTGGTTTTTTTTTTTCAATTGGAAATATAATATAAAAAGTACATGATAATTGTTTTAAAAAAACTAAATACCTTTTTGCCTCCTTCCACAAATATATCTAAACCTTTCAGTGCCAAATCCAATCCTTCACGATAACGTACTTTGAGATTTTTAAATTGAACTTCTCCAGAAGTTGGCCATTCTTTAGAAGGTCGAGTTGATGGTATATCCCATGGGGCTTCCTAAAATTAGAGTGCAATAAATATTAATTATCAATTTTAAATAACTATCATTTATATGTATATAATATTACTTGTGGTGTTTCTCCATATTCTTTAATACGCTCTACCGCTACAATGTTAGTTTCAACTTCAGAAGTCATACGAACCAACCAATTGAGAGTTTGTGTAATCTTAAATAATATAAAAATTAATAAAGATGACTAATTTAATTCAAATTAAATATAATACATACCTGAAGAGCATAACTTATGGACAAACCAACAATACCTGGACTCAAAGTAGATCTTCCCAACACAGAAAACACAGACGCAAAGAAAATAATAAAATTACCAATTGTTTCTAACCTTACAGCTAACCACCTAAAATAATTTCAAGTAAATTATTTATTTATTTTTATTTTTATCAATGCCAAACGGCAGTCAGTTACAAGAGCAACAGATAGAACACTTACAGATAAAAAGTTAATAAATGGCAAAGGAAATAAAAGTATGGTCAGAACTAACCACCTGGTATATTATGGTTTCGAAACATGTGATGTTGAGGATGATTATTGCTATAATCAGTACAATGAAAAGGAACTAAAAATAACATATGATCTCCAGTAGGGTAAGAAGGAACACGGAACTAGAACCTGGCTAAAAGGGAAGGAGAATCAAAGGAACCGTTCAGAAGAGAAGAAAAAAACCTAATATCGGCAGCAGGGCTGCGGACTGACATCTTTAAAATATCAAAAGATTGATAAACCGTTAAATAATTAATCATACAAGGGATGATCGATTTTTAAAATATAGGTGGCATAAGAAAATAATCTGTTTTGAACCCTTTCAATGAGTAATTTATCTTGCAAACAATGCAAAAACAATACTTATACTGACTAAGTAAAACTAGCTTAATTTTGATTTTAGAATAAAAGTACCTATTATAAAATGTAAAGAGAACAGTATTTTGAAAAAAATCTCATTAGTATTTTTTTTTTAATTAAGAAAAGTTAGTTATTTAAAAACTAAAAAAAAAAAAAATGTTTGTCTTTTTTTTAGATCTGTATATTTAGAATACAAAAAAACCAATGAGATTCCTTACAAAATATTCTTCTCTATAAATTTCATAATAGGAACTTTAACTCTAAAATCAAAATTAAATTAGTTTTACTAAGTTTGTGTAAGCATTGTTTTTGCATGTTGCCAAGTAGTTGAACCGAGACAGAAAATGTGGGTGTGGCGGACGTCCTCCTAAAAGGAACATCAGAAAGTTAATACAAATGAGTATTACCTATTAGCTACTGTACTTGGATAATAACAAGTTTGATTAAAATCAACTTTTTGTTCAGACTGTGTTATAAATTTAGCTTCTGCGCCATATGCACGAATTGATGTAGCTCCTGTTACAGTTTCGCTAAAATGGGAATAAATTGGAGAACGTGATACAGATTCAAGCCGTTTAAGCTGACGTGATGTTGCGACGTAAAATCTCTGAAAAGAAAAAACAACACAAGAATTGAAAATACTTCAATAGATTAAAACTAATATGGCTGTAAAAGTTATAATTACCTGTATAAAGTAATAAAGAATACCAATTGGAACTATCACAACTGTGAATATAGGTGTACTATAACTGATTACAACTAATGTACCAATAACCTATATCAAAAGAAAAAATAATAAACATTTTTAGTTTAAAACTATACCAAAATACAATTCAACAAGCATTTGTTTTTATTATTATTAATATGCAACATAAAGTTCATGCTCAAGCATGTCATATTCTAGCACGATTAAATATAAAAAAGCAAAAGCAGTAAAAAATGAAGACATTATGGTTATTGTTTATACAAAGTAAAAAAAATTGTCCGTGGGGACATAAATATATACATATTGTAACTTATGACAGGTTTGTTAAATGAAAAAGTTAATTTATTTAATAACCACCAAGATAATAATAATTAGTAATTATATAAGTACATGATTATAGTGCAAATTAAGGATATTATTTTCAACTTTTATTTAAATAAAACTATTGCATATTGCCTAACAATTTTTATTTAATCACTAATATATGAGCATAAAAATAAATCATTCTAGTTTTAATAAAGGTAAATAACTATTAAATATTATCCTTGCTGCAGAAAGTTTTTTTTAAAAAAAAAAAAAACTATTTATAAATTCAAATTGTTGTAAATTAACCATACAGAAAATAAAATTAGGTAGTAATTGACAATGCCAATGCCAAAATCACAATATAAAAATTATAAATAAGTTAAAAATATTATATAAATAATACTTGTAAAACTGTATGTTTATTTATTTGAAAAAAATAATTTTTTTGCATATCGATCATAATATATTTCATTAAAGTTATAAAATTATTGTTTTTCAATACAAAAATACTGATTAAAAAAAATGAAATTTTGGGTAAACAAATATTCTGAAATAACATATTTGATATTTAAAAATCATGTATAACTGTATATAGACAGCTGTAAGATTAATGTATGTGGGCGATAATATGGAGTAGTAACAAAAATATCCATTCTTTAGAGAACAAACCCATCAACAATAATCAAAAATAAATCTGTAGTTAACAACGAAATGCAATTGAATAGAGCAATGAATATATATAACAAGGAAAATAAATTAATACTAGATCAGAGGTTCTCAAACTTTTTTCCCTGTACTATTCATGTGTGTTATAAATATATTGCGTATCACTAATAAATAAAATTAGAACTATTCATAATTCAAATACATTTATTTCAAAAGAATAAGGCAATAAAATACTATATTATTTCTTTTTTTATTTTTAAATAAAATGTACACTAAAAACAAAATTATTAAAATAGTTAATACTCGTAAATAAATATTTAAATAAAAAAATAAATAAATGAATCATTGTCGCCGGGAGTATTATGATTGTGATAAATTTCTAATTCGAAACTGGTCGTATAATACACTTATCATAATACTCCAGACAACGCATTCATTCATTTATTTTATATTTTATTTATATATTTATTTATCTATTCTTATTTCACACTATCACTATGCGGCCTTCCAAATATCACCAGGTAGTCAGCCTACCATATACAGTACTACAGTTTGAGAACCGCTGTACTAGATTATTAACTGGTTTTATTAGAAGTACCCAGTGTAATACAAGCAGTTAAAATAAAAAGTACTAGACGGTAAACAGAAAAAAACATATATTAAAAAATATGGCACGTACATCCATGAAACAATAAACTGTATCAGATAACTGCTGAGAAAGTTTGTCAACAACTTCTACATCACTTGAGAAACGGGATAATATTCGACCAGTTGGAGTAGCATCGAAAAATCTCATTGGATTTCGAAAAATGTTTGCTGTCATATAATTATGTAACATGACAGATGCCTTCCATGCTCCCAAACACAAACATAGGTCAGCCAAAAATTCAAATATCCCTGTAAATATCGATCACAATCTATAATATCTACTGGGACATGGCAATACCATAGCAACGGTAAAATAAATGCATGATAAATTAACATATTTAAATTATCTTGAGTAAAAAATGTCTAAAGCTTTCACTATATTACATATAATATTGATTTGTATACCTTTAGAAACATAGGTACTAATGATTAAATTATTTATTTTATGTGACAAAACTGTTCATTACATTGCATAACTTATTTATGGGATGCAAAGATGTGGTATTCATACCTCCTCTAAAATCCTTATGAAATAACAGCTTACTACTTTAAACTACTTTTAAGAAGTATCTCATAAATCATAATATTCTTTTAAATCCAATCCTTATACTATTACAAATAAGTAGATATCATTAAGACAACAAAGAATAGTTTTTATCATCATAGTAGATACTACACTACATTATGCAACAAAATTAAAATCATTGTTCATCATTCAACAAAGTTAATATTTATAATGTATATTAAATATTAACATTATCAAATGTATGATAGTGATACTATTAAATGTATTTTTGTTCATTTATTAATTAATTTTTAATAACTAAACATTGTAACATGTTAATAAATTTTTTAATATACAACTAATAATATATTTTTATTTTTAATTCAAACCCCTAAACATTTTAATAATGAATTTGATACTTGAAATTAGAGTTGGTTATATTTTAAATTGTTCTAATAAATATTACATAATTGTAAATTAAGATGTTGGATTTAATTACAATATTTCTGTACTAATAATTAACAACCTGTAAAATTTATGTTAAAAATTTAAAATACAATATTTTTAATGGATTTTATATTTTCAACACATAAAGCAAATTATGAACATTTAAAGCATTCAGAAAATATGAGTGGTTACTACACAATATAATCAAATAAATGGATACTATTAAATTTATACTTAACATTACATAAATATAATTGAAAAATACACACATTCATGCATAAGCAATAAAAATTAATTTTGCAAAAGCTCCACAAAAAAACTATAATCTTTATTATAGTGTATATATATGTAGTGTCATTGAGTATACACTACAAACTGTAGTATATATTACATAATATTAAACAAATATGTATTAAAACACAAAATATACTAACTAAAATAAGACAATTATTACAAATGGAGTAACATTCTAATAAACCCACAAAAATTAATATTTTAGTTAATATTCAATTAAATTTAAATATAATAATTTATAATATTGTATTTTAATATTTATTTAAGGGCGAAATTCAATCTATTAATATTTGATAATTTCGTATGTACTATATTCTTAATTGTAACCAAGAATTATGCATTTCTGTTTTTGCACTTCAAAACTCAAACCATGTACTAGTTGAAAATATTATCCTGTGCACTTACCATAATCAGGCATCTATTCCATGACAGCAATATTGGAGGCAATGTAATATCAATAATGTCAACATCTTTTGCAACTCTATTTAATATTCGTCCTATAGGCGTAACATTAAAGAAGCTCATTTTTGCGTGCATTATATTCTTAAGCATACTGTCATGCAAAATTTGAGAGGCTATCAAACAACCAACATATAATGTGGTTGTACCAAATACTACTGTTAACACTGCAAAATTATTTTTAAAATATATTAATAAAAGTGATAGAGCTATTAGTAAATACTAAATGTGTATGAAAAAGCTACTAATTTTCATGAAAATCAAAATAAATAACCGCTTTCTTTATTTTATGTACCAAGTAATCCTAAATATACTTTAAAATTTTAACCCCATAATAATATTTTAATGATTTTTCTAACTAAATACCTTTTTAATAATTAGCATGCAGAAAAATGGCAGTTAAAAATGGAACAAAAGTGAAATTAGGTACTTTTAGATTGTTCAATATAAAATCTATGTAAATAATCTATATAATCTTCTATTTAAAGTATGATTACTTTTCATTAAGTATTATAGACATATTATTATTTATTATTTAAAATATGAATTATAAGTTTAAAATACCAGAAATAGTGTATATAACAATTATTTTACATTTGCAAAATAATTATACCACATTGTTTTATTGCTACATTCATATTGAGAGGGCATATCCTATAATATGAGCATTAGAAATTACAGGATTATTAATACATTCAATTTTAGTTGTATTATTTATTTATATAGAATATTTTAATGAATTACTACTAATTAATGAATACAATTGGGTGTTAAAATTGTATAATATGAGATTTTCCTAAAAAAATTTCAAATTTTAAAAATGTATACATTGTTCAATTATTGATATCAATGGTCATTTAAATTAGATATTTGTGTTGAATATTTAATAATATATAATCTAAAATTGTATGGGCAATATTACACATTACAATATATTACCTTCAGTTTTTTACTTCTACACAATTTAAATTGTTTAAATTTTAAGCTTTATAATATATAATTTACTAGATCATTATTTTTGAACCACAAATAAAATAGAAATCATTCCTTAGAAATTAAAAACACATTTTCTAAATAAATTAATAATTTGTATTTATTTATAGCACAATTATAAATCATATAGATAAATATGTTGTCATTTTAAATGAACTTTATAAACTTTATAATTATTTTTGTCCCAAATCAAAATAATAAAAGCAATTAATGTTGACGAAATTAGATGACCATATGAACAAAAATAATTACAATATTTTTGATAAACCAGTTTAGGCTAGTGGTAGATATTTAATTTATTCAAGTAAAGCATGTACAAATGGCAACAAAAAATAAAATATTAATTTTTTTTGTTCACATTCAAATTACCTAGCAATGTACACAAAGATAACATAATATATAATATACCAAGTACATATGGCATCATATGCAATATAAACAAATAAAAGTGTTCATTATAGACAATTTAAAGTGAAAAAAAAAAAGAAAATAATAATAATTGTTCATATTATAAAATGAAAGCTACAAAATTCTATATTAATAAGAAGCCCAAAGCACCTAGAGTTTATCAAAGAAAAAAGCCATGCAACTATAATGGAGATTTGTTTAATAATAAACATATATACTTGTCTTTTACTTCAATGATTAAGTTTTACTTAAATAGAGACATTAAATGAAATTTGAAATCCTAAAATCCAAAATTTCACAAACATTTAAATTGTAACAAAAATTGTCTTTGGTTCCCAGGAGTTACATTATGGACTATTCACACTTTTTTATTTACAAATATGTATAAACTATTGTATGGAATAAATAACTAAACAATTATTTATTTTTATGGTGGGCAGGATGGTAAAATGAAATTCCCATTCTAAACAATATATTATTAAATTTTCTCAAAAAATACGATCAAATTATAATGTTAATAGAATTGTTTGAAACGTATGGTAGATAAATTCTAATCATAGACAATTTGAAAAAATGAATATAAATAAATGTATGCCATATTAAGATTAAGTAAAAATATTTTCTTTGAATATTAAACTTATTAGAAAAAAAAGCTTAGAAAAAAGGAAAATCCCCTGTTGCTTTTCCCAAACACACCATTGAAAAAATTAACTATGAGATGATAATAAATTTACTAAGCAAAATGTTAAAAATATATATCTCGAATTTACCGAAAAAAAAGTCCCTTGTGCAGACGACAATGTAAATGGTATTACATTATCTATGGTGTCAATGTCCTTAGATACCCTGTTTAAAATACGTCCAATTGGTGTAGTATCAAACAGACTAATTGGATTCCGGAATATTCGCCTGTTTATCAATCCAAATAACATTTGGGATGCTCGAACTGTTCCCAGGTTTAATGATATAGACATCACCATAGTTGATACAGCTACCAATACCACAAAATAAGCATTTATATTAGATAACATTAAGTTTTGATTAGAATAATTGTATCTATGTTATTAGAATTTCTAGTTAAATGTATTAAATTAAACAATATTAACTTCTTAAACATTATTATTATTTTATATACAAAACCATATAATTGATTGATTTACTTACTCATCACTATATTTCCAGAAATTAATTAATTTGTTTAGTAAAAGTCCCTTTAGGCACAAAGATTTAGGATTTAGCAGGACAAAGCAGGGTTTAGAATATTTAAATTTGAAAAACTTAAAAGGACAGGCCAGTTATATTTCTAAACCAACTGTATTCAATTTAAAATGAAGATTTGTTTAATTCTCTAATGGTGAGGAATTTCATGGAAAAAAGAAGGAGCACCATAGTTTGTATTGTTAGTTTTAACAAAGAATACCCATTACGATCAAATGACTAATATTTACATTATATTTTGACATATTTGAAAAAATTATAATTTCTAATCTATTCCAAACCAGAAACAAATTAATTAAAATTTTCTAAAGAATTAACTGTATATAACACTAAAGATGTAAAATACTACAATAAAGCTTTAATTACATACACAACTAAAGAGAAAAGCTTCAGCTCATATATAATGAAAAATAAGTATAAGATCATACATAACTACATTTAAAAATTTCTTTTTACAAAACACTAAAGTGCAAAAACTATTATATACATCAACAATTTATAAGCAAGGCATAGATTTCATAATATCCACATTATTTTCTTACAAACAATAATTTTGTTTGGTATATTTCATAAAATAAAATAAAATGTCCTATATAATTAGAAGAAATCAATATTTTAAGAATTTTTAGATAGAATGAACAAACAATTTAAAAATGTATTAATTAGCAATTTATAGAAGTTAAAAAATATTTGTAAAAAAGAGTATCATAAATTTAAATATTTTGAAAATCGTGAAATTAATTTATTATTATTATGATAGACAATCAATTAACTTTACAAATTTTAGTTTATAAATATTTGTACACTTAATTAAAACTTTAAATTGAACACTAAATGATACTAGTCTAGATTAGATTAAGTGAAAATTGCTCACAGATATAAACTTTACTGTATAGGTTGATATTAATATCTGTTAAGTTTTAAATATTTTAGTATTATAAAATCTTAGCCTTGGTTCTAAGCAGTGAAAAAGATATATAATACAGTGTTAGAGACATAAAATACTTAACACACCAAGCCACAATAAATACACATAATTCATTTTATTCCGAATTTACCGAAAATACAGTTTGGACAGTTGATCTTAATATGAATGGCAATGTATTATCAATAGTGTCAATGTCCTTAGACACTCTATTCAAGATACGACCAATAGGTGTTGTATCAAACAGGCTTATTGGGTTCTTGAAAATTCGTGCATTGATCAAATGGTATAATTTTTCAGCAGCTTTAACTGTGCCTAACGATAAAGATATTGCCGCAGTCACCGTTGCAATAACTACACCAAATCAAAAATATTTAAATAAACTAAAATAAACACATATACATGAATTCACTTTATCTTATTAATAAAAGTATTGTAAAAATAATTAATACATACTATATAGTGTATACATATATATAAACCATAACATAGACATGAAATTATTTAATTATATACTAACACAAATATGTTAATACACACAGTTAATAACAATTTGCACATATTTGAACTTTTACATCAAACTGTAAGATCATATAACATTTAGATTGGTAATAAATTTCAATCAGATTTCTAAATTTAATTTTTATATTAGTACAAAAATAAAATTATAAAATAATACCAATGTTTATTGACATTTTGTCATTATTTTTTTTTAACCAATTTGATTGTTAAATCAGATTTGTTTTTGTTCAAATAAGAATAAAATAAAGTGTAGAAGTTTTAGCAATGTTACATAAGATCTAAATTATATAAGTGCACACAAAATACAATAAAATGTACAACTGTATTGCAGTGTAACTTCACATATAATAATCAAGGTAGCTTTGTATATTAACTTTTTAAATAACATATAGCTAATTTATTACAATTTATTTATTATTTATTTATTTTCTTTTACTATTATTATATTTAATATTTAAAAATATAAAATATATATATATACCTACAGTAACAAAATTAAAACCCATAAATTGTTTTTAAAAAAAAAAATGGTATTTAATACATACAATTTAAGTAAAACATACGTCAATAATTATACCAAGGTAATTAATAGTTTGTTCAAATTTAATTTATATATTATGTTGGTATAAATATATATATATACGCAAATCAATTAGAGCTAAAATTGGCTAATAACAATTTAGGTTAATAAATTACCCAAAGATAAATAGGTAAATAGCCGTAGGGTGTTAAATACTGAAGAAAATTGAACAATTTAAAAAAATCAATAATAATTAAAACAAAACTAGTTTTGGAGTTTATAACTGTAGGCATTTAATAAAAACTAATTTTAGTAAAAATCAGTAAAAACTGATTTTGGGTACCTATTTACTATTTTTACATAAATGGATATAGTAAAATAGATCAAGAATAACTTTATACAAATTATTTAAATAAAATACTCTAAGAAATATTTGGGATATTATATTATGTAGTTAATTATTTATTATCATTCTTTTTAGTTAATTATGCTAATCAACTTTTTAATTTACATTCTAATAAATATAGGAGATAACCAAGATGAATTCATCTGTATATACCCTCTTTTAAATCAAGTCAAACTTATAAATTAGATGTACAATATTTTAGTTATAAATATGAACAATAAACTTACCTTGGCCAAATCCCAGTAAACCATAAACAGAGAGATACAAATCCCTTTTGCTTACATTTTCTGTTCCATTAACACGAGAACTAACATCATTAGACCATACTGAGAGCCAAATATTTGATGAAATAGAAAATCCTTGAAATATAATACTCAAAAGTATTGTAGTAATACACAAAAATGGTCCAATTGACTTGAGATAATGAACATAGACTTCCCATTTCACCTAAATTAAAAATCATCAGTTGACAGTTAATAAATAACATGTTAAAAATATTTGTCTAATCAAATTATTCAATGATACACTTACACTGCCAGTTTCTGCTTTCTCTACTTCTATCAGTTTAGCTTGCTGATCTAAACTAACAGATGGAGGAGGAACTTTTTCAGAATCTATAGATTTTTGCCTAAAAATTGAAAAATCAAATTAACATAAGAGTATTTGACTATTTACTAAATATGCAAATTAAATCCTAAGAATACATTACCTTTGCATTGAATTAGTAGAATTTGATTCACTTCTCTGCCGAACATATTTTTCTTTCAAATCTGCAGGTGCATCTTCTAACAGCTTATCAATTTCTAAAAGTACAAAAATTTAATAAATATTAAAAACAATATCCTTATCAAAATAATTATTTTCTTTACCATTTTCATCAACTTTTTCTGCACTTTGTTCTTGCATATGCAATATTAAGAAATCAGCAAAATCTCCTTTTTTATCCAACAATTCTTTATAGGTACCAGACTCTGAAATTTGACCATCTTTTAAAACAACAATTAAGTCTACTTCTCGAAGATACGTAACACTATGTGTTACCAAAATTCTAGTCTAAAAAATAAAAATATTATGTAAAATTAATTTAATCTATTCTAATTTAATATATTCACTTCCTATTACCTTTTTACGTAATAACCCTGTAGGTCCAATTACATTTTCGAAAATATGTTTTCCAACGTGTGAATCAACAGCACTTAAAGGATCATCCAAAAAATATATATCACTTTCTTTATAAACTGCTCTAGCTAAACTAACCCTTTGTTTTTGGCCCCCACTCAAGTTTATACCCTATAAACAGTAATTTTTAAATTTTTAAAAATACTGTGAAATTAATTATATTTTTTCGTCATACCTTTTCACCAATTTCTGTTTTATCACCTGCTGGAAGCATTTGAAAATCAGCTCTTAATGCACATGCATCAATAACCTTATTATAAATTCTATCACTTAATGACTGACCAAACAAAATATTATCTTTAAGTGAAGTATTTTGAATCCAAGCTTGCTGTGGTACATATGCTACTGATCCCTAAAAAAAAAATTGTTTAAAATTACTACTAGTTACATAAAATATTAAATAATAGCTACATAAATATCTATGTATTTTAATTTTTTTAAGTATCACAGTTAATTAAATTGAAAAACTAATTATTTAGCGTATGTTAAAACACTTACTTTAGTGTTAACTCTTCCAGAAACTTTATCCATTTCCCCAAGAAAAGCTGACACTAAAGAACTCTTTCCAGAACCAACAGTACCAACCACAGCAACCAATTGACTAGGTAAAATTCTCAAATTTATATTCTTCAATATTGGTGCTTCAGTTGATTCACCCCAAGTAAATGTACCATTTTCAATTACAAGAGGATCCTCTAAAAATTATAAATCATTTGTTAAATTATATTATATAAATAATAACAAACAATAAAATTAATATTAAAATCAATCCAAAGTATTATAATAGGAAGTTAATATTTATGACCAGTTTTGATTATAAAATAACTGATACTGCTAATAGGTGTCTCACTTATAATGGAAAGTTGGAAAGGTAAGATACATTGTTGTTTAATTAAAATCTGTATCCAACGATAAAATACGATTCTGGGTAATATTTAGGTAAACCCCATGTTTTAGAATGCTGTAATTTTTTAAAATTTTCATCAACATGTTAACTTAAAACAAAATGTCCACATTAGGCTAAAAAAATTTTGTTTTACCACCAAGTACAACTTGTGATATATCTTGGTCAAAACTATTCTATCCACATAAAATTAAATAATAACTAAAAATGTCCAGAATGTTTTGAAAGTTATTATAACGATTAATTTTAACTTAATAACAATGAAAATAAAATTGATAATAATGAAACTAAAATTTCCAGTTTTTCCACAATTATTATAAAAACTGCATGAAAAATCAAAAAATGACATAAATAAATAAACTAAATCCAATAAATGTCTCTTATCATAGAATTGGAGAAAGATTTCTAATGAAAATTTTTCACACAGAAAAAACCACACATCAAAGTAACCAAACCAATACATTTCTCACTCTGATCAGAATCTAAAAAATCATCATCAGGTTATTACCTAGTACTACAAAGGGAACAAATAAAACTATATTTAAAATAAAAATGAATACACATAAAATAATATTAAAAACATTAAAAAATAGAAGAAATTGTATATGATGAATTGAAATAGATAAGATGTTATATTTAAAAAACTTTATTTTTTTTTTATTTATTACCTAACATATTAGGTATGTAACACAATATTATTTTTTAATTAAATATGTTTTTTTTAAATTAATTAATTTAAAACAATTTATTTATTACAATCTGTACAAAATATGTACAATAAAGCAATTATGATAACCTAACTAATTAAGCAGAATAAAGAAGGCATTCAGAAGTATCAACTGACTAAGGAGGTTTTCTTACTATCCTTTCTTTAGAATCATTATAAACAACCTCTTTTAAATCCAAGTAAATTAATTTCTTCATATTTTTTATTTATTATAATTTTTATATTTTTAAATATTAACTCAACAAAATTTATTTCTTTGTTTATTAATAAATATTATTTTGCATACTTTCATCTGAATCATGAGTGACAGAATCTGGATCCAATTCTTCAGAGTTCATAAATTTATTTATTCTCTTGATAGATACACTTGACTAAAAATATGAATGAGAAATTTAAAAATACATTTATATATATTCAAAATGTTATTAGATAACATACTTGAACCACATTAGACACGAACATTGGCAACATAGATAAAGGAAACCGTAAAATGTTGAATAAAGATAAAGAAACAAAAGCGGTTTGTGCATCTAATACGTGACTTTCATCAGATAATACATATACACCAAAAGTTACCAATGATACCTAAAAGTAAGAAAGAATATAGTCTTATACTCTAAATATAATAATTAAAATGTTGTCATACTAAAAATGGAGCACAAGCCCAAATAAATGAAGTAGCTGCATTTAAATAAGCTGCAGTACGTAGTACTTTAATTTCTTTTCCTCGAATATCCAACACTTTCTGTTCAAAACTTGGTTCCCAAGCATATAATTTTAAGACCTAATAAAACAAAATAATAAAATTTATATTCAAATTGAATACCAAAAATACTATTACTTTTATTCCAGAAAGAATTTCATTCATTAATTTAACTCTTTGATCTTTATTTTTCATTTGTTTGATCTGAAGATTTCTTGCTTTAGCAGCCACAATACCATTAACTGGTATCAAGACTATCATCACAAATAAACCAGCAAGTACACTAGGTCCTAGTGATTGCCACAAAAAATAAATTGCTAGAGCGATTTGAAATGGTGCAGACCATATCATATTAAGATAAGTAGTCAAATCAACAAATCTATGAGCATCTACAGCCATTAAATTAACTATTTCACCTACAGTAAATGTTTTTCTGGCTGTATTTGAGATTCTTAAAGCCTAAACAAATATAAATGAATTTATTAAACTATTTTATACAAAATAAATGTAATAATACATTCAATTTATTATAGTAAATACAAGGCAGTATGTAAATAAAATTACCTTTCGATATATAGCAGAAGTTAGTGCAGTTCGAACACGCATACCAACAAGATACATACGATGAAAATATTGTGACAATATTAATGTTTGTAATGTTGCTGTTAACATCATGAGAAAAACATAAAAATATCCCCTCCATTCAGGCTCATTAGGATTTCCTACAAATGCTATCATATATCTAAAAGAAAAATTTAAATTAAAGAAGAGAAAAGTACATAATATTTGTAATTCTTAAAACATTTATATATTATAAAGAATACTTGAGTAAATACTTACTTAAGCACTTGAGGGCTGACAAAGACTAAACAATCTTCAATAACTTTCAAAAATGTTCCAAATAAAAATGTACGACCAAATGATTTACATAATGCAGGAAGAATTGATGCTTCTTTTTGATTTTTAGTATCACGAGTAATTCTTGTGTATTCAGTAGGTGATACTTCAATACTTCCATCAGATTTATGTTTGATATATGATGCTTTTGCATTATCTAGTAACCTATAGATTATTTTTATATTTATTAGTTTTCAAAGAATCTATAAAATGTATATCGTATTATACATAACATAGTTACATAATAACATAATATAGTTTACAACTGTTTTCTGTTAAAAATTAAAACTGTAATTACTTAACTCACGTTACTTTAAAAAATAAAACTACACCAAGATTTAACAGGCCAAACAAAATAATAAAATATGAGTTCAATAGAAATGTTCTTTAATTTAAACTTTAGTCAGTATGATCATTTAAATGTACATACTAGCTGTATATAACAGATTAGTAGCATTTTTAATTTCACGGACAACTATCTTTCATAGGTTCAATGTTTAATTACATTTTATTAAATAACTAATAATACAATTTCAATCTTGTTATTATAGCATTTTTGTTTTGTCAATGTTAGTTTTTTGGTAATTTTTGTTCAATTTTTTCAATTATATATATTTAAAAACAAATTATTTTGTTTGTAATGTAAAAAATATATTATTTTTTATATTTACTTTGTTAATTTTTTTGGTTGCATACATAAAATTCAAAATCTAAATTATAGTTTCTAGTTTTTAAAAATAATGTTTTTTTATGTATAAAAATTATTATTTCAATAATCAAGATTAAATGTTTTTTTTATATCATTCAATATCAGGTATATGGAAATAATGAAAGATAGATTATTGAAGATCCACAATTCATTTAAGTTAGAAAAATTATATTTACTCACTTAGCTTTAATTAATGAACGTTCCCAATATTTATCAAAGACAGGAACCACTTCTCGTGAACTATCCTCATAGTTCATATTCCACAGATCACTGGTCACTAAGGGACGTCTATAACCAGTCCATGCTAATGTATCAAACCATGAAAATAATACACGTGATGGATATGACGCTTTCATCTCAGGACATGGTTTCTAGAATTTAATTAAATATATACAAATATAAATAAAAATATTAAATATATTTTGAAAAAAATTACTTCAACAGATGGATAATCTGATAGCCTTGGATCAGAATCAGCAAAGAAACTTAAAACAAATTGAATTAAAACAAGAGGGTAATATACCATGTAACTAATAAATTGGTATTTCTCTAATGGTTTCTAAACAAATAAACAATAAAAATTATTACTTATTATTAATTATTAATATATTAACAAATATTAATAAGACAATTTCTTACATCAGATAATGCAAATCGGATCTCTGATCGATATTGAATTATTCCACAAAATGCCAATGATAGCCAAAATAAAAATATTAACCCAGATGAGCGTAATCCTCTTGCCCGATTAGCACTAATTAAAACCATTACAAATCCCTGAAATGAATTAAGAAATAAATATGAATATAACAAAATATATTTTAAATAATTCAACACATATAAGACTTATAGGAATAATCTAGTTATATTTATAATATACCTACTTAAAATATTACATAAATGTGTTAAAAGTTGTATAAATAAATTAAATTAAGTACTTACGAATGTAATTAGTTTTACAAGTGGGGTATAAAAGTCCACAGAATATATGGGCATTCCTGAGGAATACTGAATTATTGCATATCCGATATCGGCCATTGACAAAAGACATAATAAAGCTGCACCAGCCTAAAAATACACAAAAATAATAATTAATATCATTAAAATATATTAACTTTTTTTTTTTTTTTACAATAATGATCACAAATAAAAATTGATTAAAACGTAATTTTAATAATTTTAAAAAAATGTATTTATTCGGTTACTTAAAAATATACATAATTTATAAATTTATAATCTACTTATTTTAATAGTGATAATTTGTTATTTACTAGAAATAGTAGTATTAAATACTAATACAGATTCCTAAACAAGGGCAGATCAATCAAGCAGTAGTACTTCTGGCTAATTACTTATTCATTCACACAACAAAATAATGGTCTATTAGACCAATATTTCTTATCCTTCTTATTCTTTGTCTTCATCACAACTATTAGACGAATATTTGAAATTATATTATACAAATTTGGTTTAAGTAATATATTCTATAGTTCAGTAACAATGCATAAATCCATAATATAATAAATATAATATGATCATTAAAAATAATTATTTATAATTGAAATTTATTTAGTATAGTTAGTTTATTTTGGAATTTATTTTGTTGTTTATTTATAGATAAGTATATTTTAAACTAAACTTCAATTAAAATAATTAAACAACTATTTTTATTATAATTTGTTTAATGTGAGCATTTATTATACAATTTTAAAAGGTATTATAAGCTAGATAAAAAAAAATGGACCGCCAGTTGTCTATTTCTATTCTATATAATTAGGTTTCATATTTTATGAGTTAAAATTAAAATGTTTAACTAAACAATTGTAGTTCATGAATTTTTGAACCATCTTTCTTTAACCATATATGTTGTTACTAGCAGTTAGTTATAAAGAGACTCTAAAACTCAGCCCGGCTTCTGAGGCAAAACAATTTCTTATATAAACACATATTATGCATAATACATTTTTAAATATAATACTATTATCAGTTGTTTTATGATTTTACAAAAAAAATATAAACCTCATACACAACATGTAAAGTTTAGTTTGTTATAAAATACTTAACATATAAATAATGCTTCCAATATATTATTATGCATTATTAAACTACACTAATGAGCTAAAAAGATAATATTCTAGAATCAAGTTGCATGCTGTTATTTAATATGAAATACAGAATAAAACCACGATAACAATTTAAGCGCAAATTAATCAAAATTGCACTGGGGAAATTTTTAAATTTATATCTTAGTAGTAGGTACTAAATAAAACAAAATATTTTAATTCCTAATGGAATATTATAACGCATCAATGATTTGTTTTCATAAATATTTTAAAAACACATCAAATAATAGTTTTATAATATAAACATTACTTCAATTTATGTAGGTATTTTACATTTTTGAATAAGTATAAATTATATTATTTTACAAATAGGTATATAATGAAATTATACAAATTAGTAAAATGAAATAATTAAAACATTTAATATAATTCATTGAAACAATTTTATAATAACTACAATATCTTCTATCTAGTATATAATAGTATTGTTGTAGGAAGTAATCAAGGACATTAAAAAGTCATTGACCTATTTCAACCATATGACTACATGAGTCTAACTGAAATAATAACAATACTAGATATGAAATTAGAACTTTCAATACAAATGAGTTATTATTTTGAAAATTAAATAAATGAAAATATTCTAATTAAACACAAACAATAATAAACTAGTAACTCCTTACACTACTCAAAATTCATAATGAATGTACCTATATATCTATAAAATAAAGAAAGTACATAAATTAATTTCAGAAAAATAAAAATTATCATTTATGTTACTTTAGATTTGTCATATTTTTAAATTATTTATCATATAAAAATTAAATCATCGTAGTCAATTAGGAACCTAACAAAAATTATTATAATTAACAGTCAACCAGCTTAATACTACAGTTAAAAATTAAAAATACCTACAACAATAAAATACTAGGTATTACCATCAATTAAAAAAAAAGATACAAATAAACAGTCAAATGAAAACTTGTTATAACATTTCTAAGACACATTATTCTATATATTATTAACTATTAATCTTAAAAATAAAGAAAATAAACTCGTTAATAAATTAAATATGTAGATTTAGGTAGGTACTATTTCTATAACCATCTAATAACCAAAACTAAATTAATAATCTGCACAGAAACCAAAATATTTACAAAAACAATAATAATAAGCAAATAATCTAATTTCTTGATTTTAATATTATAATAAAAGATATTAAACCCATATTATAAAAATATCAATTTTTTAAATGTACATAAAATACTACAACTTAATAAAAAAAAAAAAACATAGATAACTGATGAATATAACAAAAGTATTTATTTTCAACACGTAGTAATAATCAGTGACATAACGACAATTCATAATAACCGTATCAAAATATCTCACCACACAAAAAGTGCTACGGCAGTATCCAAAACAAAACTGCCATTTCAAAAAAAAATTGTATGATAAATTTTTTTCTAAAATATATTTAAAATTCAACACAAAAATCAAAGCAAAAAAAATAAATTTTATATGCAAGTACAGCCCGCAAAAAAAATAAATTTTATATGCAGGTACACCCTCCATCAATAATTAACCCTGTCAAGTACACAATCCAAGTTTGGGTGTAATTTACAGTTTAGATTAAAAAAAAAAAAAATGATCACTATTTGTTTTCATACATTTATCTGTCCACTCATGTTATTTAATAAATAAAACAATGCATATTCGCCTGTTTTTTATTTAACTATCCATTCACAGAAAAATTATATCTTGGACTCTGATTAGGGACTCTTAATTTTCATGGGTCAGTGGCTCATTGCTTTTCATGCCACCCTATCAGTACGCCACTGGATATAATAATAATAATAAAATTATCTTCAATAAATAAATAATCATTAGTTTGTAGATTAAGCTGAATTTGTTATAATTGTTAGACCATATATTCTAAGAATACATCAAGACTATTATTAGAAGCATGAAATAGTGATTGTGATTTTTAATTGAGATTAAACTTAAGTAATAATATTAATTATATAGAAATTAATTAGGTTTAATAAGAAAATATTTTAAATGCCACATCAGAGACAATCTAGGAGACACAAACCAATGGCGGGTAACATTTAAAATCTCAAGAAAGAAAAAAATAGATGCTGGTGCATGATAGGAAAAGTTCAAAAAAATACTATTTATATTAATTATATATATATTACTAACTGTCCACCCCTAGCATTGCACGTGATAATTTTTAATTTTTTTTTAACTTTATTTCCATTTAGCTCTTCGGTATCAGTATATTGAACTAAAAAAAATAGATAGAAAATGGGTAATCTACAGACTAAAAGTGTGTATCATACATGTTTTAATTTGTGTTAGGTTAGATTTTCATCCTGTTATTAAGGTAGCACATTCTATTTCAAGCCAATTATTAGACCGGCAGATAGTCAGACAGAATGTTTAACAGAAGTTGTTATAATACTTTAATTTCTGTTGACTATTAATTTTTTTTTTTAATTCATCCGTGTTATTTATGGTAATCCATAATTCAACAAAAATAATTTAATTTCCATACCAAAAATAACTAAAAACCTTTATCTCCTTCAAGTTTTATTTCTACGACAAAAGGTAGCTTATATGTTATTCCTGGTCTAGAACTACACCTATGAAAAGTTTCAGTTTAATCCTTTCAGTAGTTTAGACGCAAAATAGTAACAAACATGCATACATCCTCACAAACTTTCACATTTATAATATTAGTAGGATAATCACACCCTACAATATATAATACATATAATTATTAATGTACGAGGGCAATTTTATGTCCTTGAATAATTGTGATAAATACCTATCAGGGGAATTGCAGCTGTTCTGGAAAAGTATGATGAATCTGAATGAGTTGAGAGGAAATAAACTATTTTTAATGATATAAAAAGTGAAATATGTGAGAAACTGAGAAAAAGTCAAATTAGAAATCTAGGTGTTTAGAAAGTCAGATTAATAAATAAAATTAATAACATCAAATGCAAATAAAGAAAAATGCAATTTCACTAAAATGATTTAAGAGTTTTTGGACAATCTCATAATTGATATAGTTTTCTTATGCACATCAACATAGAAGACACTTGAAGTACTCAATGGTTTTTCATTTAAAAATAGATATTTCTAATCACCTTCCAAGATTTTGATTGGGTTTTTGAAATTATAAATTAAGATCCTAATTCATGGTTGAAATGAAATTTATGAAATCAATAATAATTTCTATTATTATCACAATGAGATAAAATTGTTTAGATTGAAGATTTAGAGAAGAAAACTTGTGAGACCATGTTACTTTTCTAAAACACGCAAGATGTAATGAAAATAAACTTGAACAATTTATCTATCTGAAAATAATAGATATAGACTAAGTTTGTTTGAAGTCAAGTTAAGCATTTCTAAATTTATATTTTAATGAAACCATAAAAAAAGATAGGTAGGTATGTAGTTGATACAATAGTTTAAATTAATTTTAAATAAAACTAAATTACGAAAAAATACAGAACGGACAATTATGAAAATAAAATAAATGATAATCTAGATTCCTTATTAATTCATGTATCCATATTATGCTGACTAAGTTGTACATAATATGGCTTTATCAGTATATTAATTATTAGATACATACATATTAAACATATTTAATACATTATCTTAAAAAAAGTCATTTTATTTTAAATAAATACACAATTATTTATTACTTTATTAGTTTTTATACAAATAATATTTGTTTTAAATGCAGTAAAATTATTATAGTTATATTTATTTTTAAAACTAATTTAATAATTAGTAACTATTAAAAAAAAAGCACCAGTCATAGAAAAAAAAAACCCCCCAGAAAAAATATTGGGGAAAAAAGTCCAATTTTAAATTAATAAATAGTTAGATAGATAATCAAAAGTTAACAATTTTACTAATTTAAAATATAATAATGAATCATTAGTTGAATTTTTCAAAAATCTAATTTTTAAAACTGAAAAATAAGAATGCGAGAAGAATACAATGATTAGAAAACCAAAATATTAAATCATATAAATACCTAAAATAAATATTTAGATACACATGAATAATTTCCAATAAAAGTATACCTATATCAGTTTTCTTTAAAATGATTCATTATTATTTTTTAAACCGTCTACCTACATATTAATTTACAATGGGGATTTTTTTCATAAATTTGTAATTATCTGATGGAGAAAATATCTCATTATGTGGTTTATCTTAAAATTATATGTGAAATAACACAAATACAAATTAATAAAAAAGAAATATACAATAAAGTTGCATCAATAAAACTTTATAAAATTGCACCTATAGCTTAAATTCAATTCTTAATATTTCTGAAAAATGGGTCATGATAATAAATTACCTATAGAAACATATAGGAACCTATAGAAACTCTATTATTAACATTTTATTTGAAAACTATACAGTATTTTACATTTTAAAACTAATTAATAATATCTAAATAGTTCATATTTGTATTATATATTATGTTAATTATAAAGTTATCAATTTTTTAAAAAAACATACAGATCATTTATTACATAATCAAAAAAACCTCGAAAAATTATCTAGATTTATTTTTAACTGATATAGGTGTAGTAACATACAATTATTACAATTGTTTTTTTAGTACCTATTTAATATTAACAATTAATAATATAATAAATTAAATACATACCTACCTACTTAAAATTAGTTAATAATTAAGATGTTTTATAGACCACTTTATAAGACTTTATACTAATGATAATTGTCAATTACATAATTCAATAGTTTAATTTTAATTCTTAATTATCATTTTTTCATCAACTATCTACCAAAGTATCTATTATACATTAAGGAGTATAACTATTTTAAGAGCTTATTTAATTACATAATATACAACTTAAATTGTTTCATATAAAATTATTTAGATAACAAACATCTAAATGTAAAGCTTTGAACTAATGAACAATAAGTTTTCTCAAACTAAATGCCGAGCAAAAGGCCATGAATTGAATAATGTTTATACACAAAATGAATACCCACGTACTAATAAAAGTTCCAATCAGGTAATATTGAGTAATAAATATATTTTGTTGGAATTTAAATTTCCTCTTTACTGTTAGTTAATAGGTTTATATTTTAATACAGCTATATCAACGACAGATAGTACCACAAATCATTAAAACTGTAAAAACTGCTGTTACATTAAAACAAACAACAGTGGGATTTTCGAGTTTACTCTAACTCCCAATTTACTAAAAATATATAACTCAATTTTAATACAAACATAAGTTTATATACAGTGGATTTTGTTAATATGGGCACAATAGTCTGGTCTTAATTCTAATGTATAACACGATACTCATTTCGGTTAAAATAGTCAACCACTTGATGTGGGCATATTGGGATCAGTTACATTTGCCCACATTAAGTGGAATCTGCTGTACTTGAATAGTGGATATTAGATAATATGAATTAAGGATAATAAAAATTATCCTTAATTCATAGAAGGGGGGGAAAAGCTCCTGACCAGAGACCACACAAGGATAAATGTTTCGATAAAGGAAAAATATCCCCAAGAAAAAAATAGTTATTGACAAATTAAGAAAAAAATTTGAAGTGTAAAAAAAGCCCCATTATACATTAATAAAATACATTTAAAAAAAAAAAACAAAAATAAATCTTTAGGTAGAGAAGATTTGTTTGAAGTTATATTTGTTTTAATACATTTGTAGTCAATTAATCCATATCAATTATTGTAAGAATACCCGATTACAATTTAGGTAATTTTTTTTTTTTTTACTGCACAAAAAAACCCTTGAAATAATAATATTTTCAAATTTTCAACAACAGATTCATTTTTATTTTTTGTAGTCTATGGCTTTTTTTCCTAATACCTTTAATATAGGTAACTACTGTTTGAAATTATTTATAGGTATATAGAAAAAATGGTCCTAAGTAGTATTTTAACATAATATATTTGAATATACCTAAATTATTAATACAGGTAAATTTAGAATTTTATCAATTCATACACCAATAAAAAATGACAGTAGCGTAACCAAGGGAAGGGCTATATTTAAAACGGCCCCCCTCACATTGATTAAAAAATTACAAACTATTCAGCATTGACAAATTATTACTAATAAAATAATGATTATGGCATACTTGCGTTCAAATAATAAATACAAATAATTGGGCGGAATAATTATTTAATTTACAAAACAGTATGTTTTTTTTTAATATAGGTTTCCCCGCCCCAAATGAAAAATACTGGATACACTGAAGTATCAAATAAAATGGCATAGGTAAGGTTATCAGTACAAGTTGTATAACTCAGAAATTAAAACGCTTAATTTTAATAATCAATCAATCAAAATATTATATTTTATAAAGCAGCGAGTATGAATTAAAACTAACAAGGCTTTATCTTCACGGTCAGTATTAGTTAGCAATCTATAAACAGACTATTAAAACCTAATTACATAAAGAGAATTCTTATCTGATAATATACCCTCCCCCCATCCGTCGTTATTGTACATTTGGATTACCTATTATATAATATTGATATAATGCAGTTGTCTACCTGTATCTACCTAACAAATATTATAACAAAAAATAAATAAAATATGGAACATACCAATTTCGCCAAATTGAGCCAGTTCCATGGTATGTCTCTGTATTTACTATGCACCAAATAATAGACTTCTAATGGAGAGAAAAACCATAAGAACAGGCATGGTGTCCAGATTAAAGCAGTTTTTTCAAAACATAACGTTATATCGGGATCTGTGGTGTTCCAAGATAAACTCCAGTCCTAAAAAAAAAAAAAAAAAAATTATATTACTGTGAATCGGAACCCAATATAAATTAGGTATCGAGGTACCTAGTACGATAGTCAATAATTCAATAAAACGAATATCTGTAATAGTGGCATTGACGGGTTCCGTACACAAGTACACCGATTAAGTGGGTATCATTAAGACAATCCAACGTGTTTTCCTAATAAAATCAAGGTTGAATTCGGGTGTTTGAGCACCGGGGGGGAAAAAAACGATCGAAATCGACACTCTGCGCAGTCAAGTTAAGGTGTAAATGAAAAAATTCTGCGCATAAGTAGGTACAACAAATTCGGGGAGCTAAACCTCCTGCAAAAAAACGGTCTCTCGAAGTTTGAAAATAATCAATTATCTATTATCTGTAGATAGTAAATTCGGTTACCAGAGAACGTTCACCGTGATTTTTGTTGTTTTCGAACTCGTGAACAATGCGAGCTGCAAAAATCGACCAACCGACTTACCCAAAAAGGCGAACCGCAAAACTTGTCGAAATCGGCCAACTCCATATAAAACGCGGGCGATGAGATTCGGGTAACGATCGATTATCTTCAAATTCAAACGGACGTTATAAGCCACCACTATACAACTGTTGCCGGTGTTTACAGAGTCACCACCATCGCGGTCCGGTTTCGACGTGCGAGTTTTTGCGAACTGGGTAAGTACTTGCACGCGCGCACTCGTAAAACACTCGGGCACACGACACACGGGACAGTCACTGGCGCCGGGCGAGTGAAATAAAAAAAAAAAAAAAAATTATATATTTCTACGGTATTGTTATGTTTGTTACACACGCGGCGGAATTATCGCGATAAACCGCGGACGGGGCGGCGTGTGGTTTTAAATTTAGAATAATAATATTGTACCGTACGAAAACGGCACGACCGTGTACGGGAAAATTCCGCGTAAATTTAGACGACAAATAAGACGACGACACGAGAACGGGACGGAGCGTTCGCGTAGTTTCGCGGGACTGATGGGAACGCCGGCACGGCGTACTGTCGACTGTGCGCGTAGTCGGACTGGGCGAGTATCGCGGTCGGACGAGGGCACGATGACGGCGCGTATCTCTGTGAACAACGCGTACCGCTCGTCGTGCGTATAGGTGGTGCCGGTGCGTGTGCACGATGAATCTGCGTTCGTGCGCGTGCGTGCGTGCGTGAATGCGTGCGGTCGTGCGGGTACGCGCGTGCGTGCGTTGTTATTTGGGCATCGACGGTTCTGTAGCGCGTACGTTTTTGTTTGGTCTCCCGGCCCGTCAAAGAGTCCGCGGCACCGGCCCACGGTAATCCGGGGCCGTACGGCGCACGCCGGTGCCGCGACACGATGACGGAGGACCGTCCGGGCGCAGCACGCGGACGCTGCCCCGTACCGCCGCCGTACGGTCCGCGTCATACGGCTCGGCGCACGCACAACGGGACGACGGTTACGGGTTCACGATGGTATTTTACAACGACAACGCCCGGCCGGCGTGACCGCGGCGATAAAAACGTAACGGGAGAGCGGCCACGGGCCGGCGATCTCTCGGCGTTCCACGCGCAGTGCTGTATTTTGCCGTACGCCGCAATATTGCGAAACGAACCGCGACCGCGACGCCGGGACTCCGTGTATTCCCAATAGTTATGTAATTAGATTTTAAATCATTAATCACTAGTGTACTTAATTGCCTATAATAATATAATGTACCGATGTACGGAAAATTGAAAAAACAAAAGGAACAAATATCCGAGTTCACGTTCCTCGTGTATATACTGTAACTGTTATTTTCCCGTTATTCGTTGCCGCACATTAAAAGTCGTATAACNCGGCGTTCCACGCGCAGTGCTGTATTTTGCCGTACGCCGCAATATTGCGAAACGAACCGCGACCGCGACGCCGGGACTCCGTGTATTCCCAATAGTTATGTAATTAGATTTTAAATCATTAATCACTAGTGTACTTAATTGCCTATAATAATATAATGTACCGATGTACGGAAAATTGAAAAAACAAAAGGAACAAATATCCGAGTTCACGTTCCTCGTGTATATACTGTAACTGTTATTTTCCCGTTATTCGTTGCCGCACATTAAAAGTAAATCGCGTTCCATGATCCGCTCCTGCTGAAAGGCCGCGTTCCTCCCCGACCACTGGGATAAACTGCGCAATGAGAAAGTTACCGACTTTAATATTATTGGCGATATACCTACCTACTTAAAAATCGAACTCAGCTAAGCCTGCTCCATAAAGCTCTACGTTTTTTTTCCCCAATGACGATGCTGTTGCATTATAATTTATCAACTATAGGCATACTGTCCATAATCTGTCACCTATTACAGTTGTGGGTTGACCACACGATTTACTTACGTATAGTTTTTTGGACGACAAACCACAAAATATAACTATATTTTGATTTTAACTTTTAGTTAGCGGTGGCGTAATTTGTACTAGGTCTTGGGTGGAGACACACAATTTTTGATAATTTTATAGAAGGGACTACGAACTTATTGGCTAAGGCTTATTTTCAGGGAGGGGGTAGGTTTTAGAAACAAAAACCTTCATCACAAATAGGTACCTTATAAAATATTGTCTTTCATTTGAAAACGACAATTCGTACTTAGATACCTAGGTCCTAGGTACCTAATTGGTAGATAGAATTATAGACAACAAACAAATTATGCAATTTACAATAACAGTTCTAGGTACTCTTATTGGCTTTACATCCTATGCAGGGTCTATCGGTATATTTTTATGGACCGCCAGCATAGCCAATCCATTTAATTGATTTTAATGAACAAAATATTTAGTTATTAGTTGCGGAAAATTTATACGAGTATCCTAGTATTCTAATTTTCTTTTATAAATATACCTGAGAAATCGTTTTCTGCAAATATTTTTATGTGTTTAAATTTAACAAAAACTATTTAAATTTGTATTTATGTTTAAAGGCTCGGGGGGATTAATCACCCAGATCCCCCATTATTTTGCCACTGGCAGCTATTTATCTGCCTAATTATTAATAATCTAACCTACCCATCAAACGAAATGATATTTTTTTATCAGCTTATAAATTGAAATGGTAGTAAAACCATATATCAATCAAATGTGTTCCTAAAATCACTATATTTTATACGAAACGATTTTTCGGCAAACATACGTCTTCGAATACACGATGATATTTGAAGACGGTTTTGTTACCGTGGGTAGATATTAAGTACCAATAGTATAATATTTTTTTAATACCTATTGTTCCCAAAGGAAATAAAACCGAACATAGGTCCCTACTTAATTATTGTAATCGCCGAGTAAATGTAATGGGTGCTCTTTAGCACTTACATGATCTACATGATCATTATTTTTTTTATTATACACACATTGAACATATATATAAATATATATATATACTGTTTATTATTTAGTAAAAACTAACATAGGTTCTATAATGTGATAAGCATAACGCTATAGTAATTGTAGTGTCTAATTATAGGCTTTACGAATCATTTTTAATCGTTTATCAATAATACAACTTGGTAGTATAATAAATTTTAAAAAAAATGTAAATAATAAATTACATAACAAAATGCAAGTATTACGTAACACCGACAGTCAATACTGTGTAATAGGTACCCACTGAATCCTGATCGTGTTTTATTTAAAGATTTTTTACGTCATCTATTTACTCAAATAATAATTATACTAGTTATAATAGTACTTAATATGTTGCAATTGTACAATTGATAGCTCTATTCGAATTAAATTGAATACATTTATTTCTTTAGCATTTAGATACCTAGCTATTATTTGATGTATTGCATACAATACATTGTTAATTGTAACTTGCAGCCAGGATTGAGGATCGATACAATAGTATCTTAAATACAATTTTTATCTTGTGCCGTGATACAGTTCTGGAAAGTATCGAGTATTGAATATTGCGATACTGAAATCGATGTATATATTGTTTCGAGTGTCTAGATATTCATTTTGAAGTATCCCGCCAATAAGCGCCTGTAGGGGGAGGGGAGTAGCTGGGTTAATTTCTCAACCGGTTTTTCGGAAAATAAATTAAAAGTTGAAAATAATGATAATAAAATATGAGGAATTGACGGTAATTTCAAGAAATGTTTCAAAAAAAAAAATAAAAAATAGCCATCGTACATATTATATGGTCTTATATGATAATGATATAATAATCTTAATAATATACGTCCTTATTCCCAACCTATATAGATAATCTGAAACCAAAAGAAAAAAAAAAATCTATAATTTAATCACAATGATCATTTAAATAGAATTTTGATAGCCATTTGAAAAAAAAAAAAAAAAAATTGTTTAATCGCGAAAAAACATTTACATTACAATAATAATTATTTAAACCGAACTATCGTAACGTAATATCAATACAAATGTACAATTTTTATAAAATTACCTACAAGTCCAATTATATTCACTTCGGCACCTATACTATACGTACGTGTACTTCATATCGAAATCGAAACGATTAGGTTACATAACTCCGTCATAATGTATGAACAACGGATAGGTACTCATAAAAATGTCTGTCTAATGAAAAATATCAATAATGTACCTCTACCTTCGTAGTTATACCGTACTACGTAATACCTATACTCCCGTAATAATAATATGAAAAATGCCTAATCCAGTAACAGGGCATTAATGTATTATATTTATAATTTTAACCGAGTTAACCTTATAACTGTTGACAGTATCTCATATATTTACAGCAGAGCTAACCCGTGTGCCGTATACAGAATAATGGATACTCTCATAATCGTTAAATAAAATACAGGTAATAAATTAAACACTTGAGAAACACGTTAACGCCGTGTCAACGGCATTAACAGTATTATAATGGTTAGTAGTGTTCGGATAATACGCCGTGCTCGACTCGGCGACGGTGAGGGGGGCGGGTGGGTAGCAGGAGTTACGAGAACCCTCGATTTTTAATCGCCAGACATTGTATAGCGCATCCGTATTTTAATTTCAAATCAGAACGCACGTGATTTACCGTTTTTATTTCACAAAATCAGTAGAGTTTTTTTTATTTATATAAACAAAAGAGAAACGAAACGTTTACATAATGCTTGTGTGCATTGGAATTTGATACGGCAATCGAGCGATACGCGATAATCGCAGACACCGCGGAGCTTAACACACGCTGCGCCCGCCGTATTCGTTATAACATTGACCCATAACATGTCTAATTATGTCAACTTGGTTCGCGATAAATTATAATAATTAAAATACATCGGCCGCCGGGACCGCACGACACGCGAAACGAAAAACGCGCGGCCGGACGACTGCGACTGCTCTCGGTACTCGAGTCGCTCCGACTCCGCTACGATTCCCCCCCGCCCCCACCAAGAACTTTTGTTTTTTGCCTTCCGTCTGTTAAAATCGACACTGTCGATCGGTCTCGTCCGTTTACACGCCCGCGGCATTGCTGTCACGTCATCGCGTCGTCCGTTGTTATCTATCGCCAGTTCCGAAAATAGCTCGGAGCAAAACGAAACAATTCGAATAGACGACGCGCGTGGAAAATGTAGTCGACAACGGTCGGTGTTACGCCCGGCGCACCGCGACATCTACCGAATTCGTAATTTCAAAACAAATTCGTGATAATCATAAACACCTATACGTTTGTTAGGGACCGAGTGCGTTCCAGAAATACGTCAGTAAAAAAATTGTAATTATTCGCGGTGACGCTAGACAGAGCGTCAGTGTGGCAAGGCGAGGGGGTTAGGCGGTTTGATTCACAATGGGCGGAATGTAATGTCGAGGGGAGATGGTATTTCGCGTCAATTCTATCACTTGTAATTTGCGCCACCAACACTGGTACATTTAAGTGCGTGTGCGATTTGCGCCGACACACACGAATAAAACGCATTGTTCCTATGCATTTTACGCCGCACGATCGACTCCGATTATTGGAATTTACCAGCCGATAATAATTTACCGATGTTGCATCGATGCAATACGACATATTTCTGTGTTCTGCTATTAATAAGTAGAGATGAAATCGATTACGTCTAATCTTTTCGTACAAATTACGCATAAAGCACGCATACTTGTGTACATTTAATTTTAATGATAATATTACTGATTTTTTTTTTTTTTTTTATGTTTTATCACTAACCGAAATCGCATTACATTTTTAATGAAAAAAATAAAGCACCGACTATTAAAATGAACTCGATTAATCAATGATTAAAAATGCAATATGTTAATCTGATTGGGAAAAAAAAAAAAAATTGTGTAGTTATTTTTAAGTGGCGCGAATTACAATTTTAATAAGGTGAACAATGATGCAAATTACAATTTGTGTGGGTACGAGACGGCGTAGATTACACAATGCCTTTTCATTTAGTTTTATGTGGCGCAAATTACAACCTTTTAATGTACTTTTTAGAGTGGCGCAAATCACCAAAGTTAATTTTTTAATGCGGCGTAAATTACTTATATATATATATATATATTTTTTTTTTTTCATGGATGTTTTCGGCGCTTATTACGTACGCCCATTTCGATCGTGCCGAGAAACATTTGTCGGTGGTTTATTTAACCCCTTTTAGGTGCGAATACCCATACATTTATTTACTAATACACCACTGCTTGCGGGAGATATAGTGGGACTAGTAGGAGGTTAGGATATACTCGGCAGGATATACAAGTGATACGTTTGAATGTTCCGGTGAGAATTTTGTTTCCACTCCGCTCCTGCTCGGAGCATTTTACATTTACTGTTACTATTATTATTATTATTAGCTGTTTTACTGTTTACAGCGTTTTTTTTTCTTATCTGATGAGTATTTATTTGTTCAAGACTGCAATAGCATAGTTAAAATTTTAATGGGTAACGGATTCGGTTTTTTTTTTTTTAAATATTTTAATTACTCGGCGAGAAATAATTGTTATTAGCATACGTTATCACATACTCACACGTCGTACATGTTTATTACAACTGTCGCGGCGGCACGAATTTATCGTTTTAATAACGAAAATCGTTTGTTATTAGTTATTATAATACTTACTTATCTATCAATTCAAATATTGTTTTAATTACATAATTGTTTCAACAACCAGTTAATTTATGTTTAAACAAACAGTAATGAATAACTTGTCTTGTATTAGTACCTAATTATCGGAATAACAAAAACAAAGGAAAAAAGAGCCGATAATGCGGGCTGGTGTGCTACTGTTGTAGGTGGTGAGTTGAGATGGTAGGATACAGTTATTTAATTTATATCAATAATCAACGAAAACCCATTGCACACGAAAAAACGATTCGGAGCGAAGTTCGGTTACACATATTTTAAAAGATCGCTGTCCACAATATATAAAACATTAGTAAAAATTTAAAATTAAGTCTTATACATAAAAAAAAAAAAAAATGCTAAATTACGCTTAACATTTTGCTTTTGACCACTAAGTATAACTTATAATGAACATGTCCTGTTAAATTTTCAAGCGTTTCTGTGAGGTCCAACGAATTATTTACAGAGTACCTATCATATAAAAATTACGTAATATACTCAAATACGCAAAATCAAAATGTTCTGAAATTTTTACCATATCTAGAAAAATAAATTAGATTTAAGTTTTCTGTTAACATTTTAAGTATCTACGAATATGTTTAACCGAATTACTACAAAAAACAAAATTGAAAATAATAAAAGCATTATTTTTGTACATTTTCCGATTCTTTCCGTGTTTTTTTTTTAAGTTTTGCTCGATTATTGAATAAAACGACTATCTTAGTCACCAACTAGATTGAAAATTCAACAAAAAAAGGTGTCTTGTTGTTGTTCTATTAGAGCAATATTTCTGGTAGAAAATAAAAGCGTAAAAATTTAAATAATGAAATCGTAACGTCGTAAATTTGTCAGTTTTTATTTTACGTTTTTTTTTTTCCGGTTTTCCCTAATTATTATGAAAACTACTTGGAAAATCAAAAAACCGACTTACTCCGCGAGCAACTAAATCCAAAATCCAACAAATCATAACTGTAATCATTTTTTTATTAAAGCAATATTTCTAGTAGAAAACATAGTTGGCAAAAATTAAAATCAATGAAAGCGATAACGACGCCCGTAAATATTTGCCGTTTTACCGACAATTTTGTTTCCGGTTATTTTGAAAAACCTCTTGGAAAATCAAAAAAAAAAAAAAAAAAAAACGTCTTTTCCAATGCACCAACCGGACGGCATTTCGTTTCAGAAAATGTGACGCACTCCGAGGTACGATTTCTGGTAGAAGTCGTTCACAGACCTATATATATATAAAAAAAAAAAAAATAAATAAATAAAAATAAAAAATAAAACACACGTTAAACTAAAACCAGCAGGTACTGCGCTCCGCTCCGTGTATGAAACAGTGACTTTTGACCCGTTACGTAATTATACTCGTAACTGTGTTGCAGCACAAATTAAAATTATTTTTGCCCGATGAGTCACTTGTTGCTTCCGCGGTTCTTTGACGGGCGAAACAACGATTTTTTCGTTTTTTTTTGTTTTTTTTTCTGCTCAGTGAAAACCCAAACGTGGACCGAGTCTAAATCTAACGCACTCGTGTTCTGTGCGTCGCACGAATACTTTATCAACAGGCGACTAAACGGGCAAATACGCAAACGAAATGCAACGTTATTAATACGTATCGTAAACCGTCGAACCGTTGCGCGCAACGGGCGAAACCGACGCGATGACGTCAAACGGCAACGTTGAAATATCCGTCTCGCTGTGAGAATAACGACGGGGCGGGAGGGGGGGGGGCGCGCGTCGAAAACGGAATCGCGCAGTCTTTACAACAACGGGTCCGGGCTCCGCGCCGCGGGTGCAGGTGCGCGTTTTTCGAAATTCGCGAAACGCCGGGAAACAATTTATTGTCGTTGTTGTTGTTGTAACGCGCGGCGGAAACCGGCGAATTCCGGGAATGATGTCCGTTGTACACGGGATAACGGAACGCGCGGGGCGCAACATTATTACAGCGCACGATAAAAATTAATCGCCAATTGTTACATAACGTTACGTTTACGCGCAATGTCGCGGTAAAACCGTACAACCGGTAACAATGGTTCTCAAACTGCATACCGTCGTGGCCGCGACAATGCCCCGGCGTTACGGGAAACGGTAATGACGTTTCGAAAAATCAACAACCGCCGGCGACCGACGCACGCGGATTTCAAAATCGGTATAACCGTAAGGTCATAATTCATTCCGGGGGGAAAAAATAAAAACCGAAGTAAAAGACTTAATGGTTATGAACGTTGTCTTGTATGCATTCGTTTTAGTTCTACGAACGGGGCGAGTCAAAAAAGACGCAATACGCGTAACACCCGAATGTGCGAAAAAAATTATGACTAATCGGCTGCGTTATAAACCGTATGGACAAACTTCAATAATATTAGGTTACACGACTTGTACGTTTTTCCCGCTTTAGAATATAAATTGTTCATACGCGTTTTAGTGACCCGTTCAATATTATTCAACTTAATTGTAAATACAATACGCCAACCGTTTCATTCATAATGTTATTATATCAATCGTATTAATGTCACGATGAAACTATCGATATTCCATCACACGGGAGGTTCCGTCAGTTAAAACTGTTTGCCGTAATCGCGTAGGTTTTTTTATTGTTTTCAACGTTACACAGGAACTTTTCTAACGACGATTAATGTCACATAGGACATTTTTAATCACACGGGAGGTATTTCGCAAACGATTCAGTGTAGGTAACGCGCGAGAGGTTTGGTTTTTTTTTTTATTTTTCGTTAATTATTTCACGAAAATAACACAAAGGAGATATTATCATATGATAGCCTGATATGTTTTTTTCTGAATCCAGGGATACCAAAACCTCAATATCGAAAATGTTGCACAATATATGAAATATGTCCACGTCAATGGCGATTTTCAAGTTACCGACTATGATGTTGAGTTATTACTCAATAATTTCAATTAATTACTCAATATTTTGAAGGTGTCCTCCCAATGTTAGTTAACGGACCTTTTTTTTTTGTTGATCCCGTATATTAATATAATGTACGGTGATTGATAACGTATCTACGCAGTACCGTACACACGGTGGGGAGGGGTATTTAACCTTTTTGTTTTTTTTACCACTAGTATAATACTAGATATTAACCTGACCTAACCCATATGATGCTACGGGCTTGGCGACCCCGGGACCCCGAGCTCCAACCGGTAGAAAGCCCAGGTTTGTCTTATTTTATAATTTTGTAATTTAGATTCGGATTGTAACGAGGGATCTATTGGTTTTACAATGATGTTTATTTATTATTTTGATTCTGAGTGAAGCGAAGAAGCTACGGTTTTACAAAGATGTTTTTATTTTTTCGTTTTTTATCTGTGGACAACTTTTCTACCAGAAATCTTGCTCCGGTTTTTAAGTGTAGCACTTCTTTTGAAAGTAAATCTGACTGGAGGGGTACTTTTAAGGAGGAAAAACTAGGAAAATCCATGGGAAAAATCGGTACAGTATTAAACAAATATTATAAGAGAAAATATATAATACCTATTTAATTATTTTACCATAATATGACCTGTACATTGTTATCAAATCATCACTATCAACTGAACTCCGCTCAGAAGGGTAATAAGTTAATAAGTTGCCTATCTTTAATCCTTCTCTACTCCTCCGGTCTAAACTTTAAACTGTTGTTACTCACAAACGGTAAATCTGATATTAGTGTTAAACATATCAAAATTTCTATTCAAATCTGTGTTAAAAAGGGGGGGGGAAGGTTCCTATTTAAAAATCAAAAGTATGTACCTATTTAAGGTACATGAAGTAGGGGTAAAAAATTAAAAATGGTTTTAAAATAAAGCTCAAACGATTCCACAATGATCAGAAAAAACAGAAATCAAAAATAAAATTAATTTAAGATCCTCCGAGATAATTGCTGGTTCATGATTAAAACAAATCACCCTATATAGTATATAATTTGTATTTCAGTAAGTTTCTGTACCCGTCAATTGGTGTGTATGTTTATAACTGCTGTACGGTATTTACATTTTCGGTCAATTTATTTTTTTTTTTTTTATACAAAGAATATAAGTGTTGGACGACATTGAAGCCGCATGTGTTATTTTCGCGTTATACGAAGAACACGGACATGAAAAAAAAAAAACGGTGGCATTTTGAGCTCGTCCATTAAATTTAAAAAGACATTTGGATATCGTCGAATTGGAAAGGTTTCCCATATCTAATAAAACCTGTTTATTTGTCGGCTAAATGGAAATGAACCGTACCGAGACGATAATCTCGAGTCGAGTCCCGACGGCACGTATTTTGTCGAGTATTCTAATAATTGGGTCCCGGCACTAGTACACGAGTTTGGTTTTCGGTATATTTTATTGTGTTATTATTTACATTCAAATCGTTAGTCCCAGCCTGGTAGAGTTACCCAGGAGACACCGTCTGGAGGTCGGTTAGAAATTCTCGAATATTTCCTACTGAGAAACCCATACCGGCCCTCTCCGTAAATACAGGCTGCGTCCATTATAATTTTGTAAAAAAAAAGAAAAAATACTAAAAACGGTATTATAGCTATCGTGCGAAATGTAAACATTTTATTAAATCCACATGTGAGTATAAGTTATAATTATGCAACTCTAGCAAGGACACGCATTAAAGAGGAATCACGAATGAAAATAATATTAAGTACCTAATTAAAAAAATACAAAATGCGAGTAATACCTGCATTATTATACCTATCTAATATTCCATGTAATTTTATGATTGGTTTGTGCTTAATTTGTATAAATATTCATTGCGAATGCATAAAACTAGATTTGTTTTTTTTTCTTCTCAATAAATTCTGCGACTCATTGATTCGTTTATATATTTATTTACTTGTATTAACCGTTTTAATAATTTTATTTTTACTTTATTATTATATTATAAAATGTATTCGCAATTTGTAAATTTGTTTTTCGATCCTTCTTCATTTTTCAATCTGAAAACTGAAAAAATTATTTGTTTTTTTATTTTACGGGAAATACTTAATAGTTATCAAACTGTACATGCTCGGCCCGTGTCTATCGAATGGACAATGTAGTTAAATTAGTAAATGACGCCACGCGCAACAAAACATTAAACAATTACGGCTATTTAAACAAAATGAATAATTAAAACGCTATTAATTGTTTGTAAGTTTGTTGTTAGATAATATTTTTCAAAAGTGCCTTGTCGTGAGTGGTTACATTTTCTTGGAAATAGTAGCCACATTCCGCTTAAAATGTATGTTAAAACGCTTAAAACTCTGTATACATATTTTAACCTAAAAACACAAATATTATTTAAGTTCAGTGTATGACGTAATCTTTCTGTTATGATGTATGCCTATTGGATAGACGGACTTAAATATAATTGTATAATATAGGTACTCACCTAGTTAGCTAGTACCCTCAGCGTTTCCAAGTTTTGATTTTAGAAATTTCGACTTTCCAAGTGTTTGTACAATCAAATAAATACCTACTTAAAATAAATAAGTAGGTTAGGTTCTGTTCCATTAGGTTTAACATAAACTTATGAAATATAGAATACAACATACTCTATGGATTATAATCTGTACAGAAGCGGTCAAACGAGGAGAAGAGATATATCGAACCCATAATCGTTTCCCATTAAATATTTATAAAAGGTCATAACTATTAATCACTTATTTATATCAAACAGCTAGTATAAATATTAAAATTCAAAAAAGAAAAATCAATACTTCATCCTCTTAATGACAAAATCATTTTATCGCCACTGAATGTGTACAACATAAATTTGAACTTTAATAGGCATGTAATAATATAAAGCTATAGACGTATATTAAAAATGTGTATGAATGAAATTCCGATTATAATGTCCATTGTTAATAATCGATGTATTGAAATCGAATTCAAAAAGTTATACATTTATCTAGTATCCACAACGCGAGACTTCGTTGATAATGATACAATTATCCAGTTCCTGCCATTATTATTGCCATTGAATTTGGTATATTATACTGATAGTAGGGTAGTAGGCTATAGTATATTCTAATATCATTGTTATTAATTTGTTTCCATCATAGACAGGTTAAAATAATTGACGTAATAAAATTATTAACAATGGCCTGAAGTCGCAAAGGACACTGAGGGCACTGTGAACCCTATTTTATTTTAAGCGTTCCATGCAATTTTTTCCCGAATAACAAACCATCAGGTAAGCAGGCGAGCCGTAAATTTCCATAAGGGAGTGTTAGGAAAAAATGAAAAATCCTTTTTTTCGTACTGCCCCCGTCTTTTTTCACGTTTTCACGTAAGACGTAGCGAATTTGCGTACAGCAGGGCCAACTTTGTGCTGATAATTCTACGTAACGTTAGAGCGGATCGGCCCATTATCAAACTTCATGATAATAACATTATTTGTGCAAGGTGTTGGCGCTATATTTTAATTTTCAAGCGAAATATAAGCATTATTATAAACTGTGACATTTCACACATCTAATCATATTGTATTGTAGTTAAATAATTTATCTTTTCCCATTCTATCATATACCCAACCTAGCATTAAATAAACACGGTCAGAGAGGGGTGTTGCATCACCTACATCACTCAAGTTACGCGATAGTAGGAACGGAATAGGTTATTCACTAATATATCGAACCAAATGCATTTCGAATAAATCGTGTTAAAAGTGTAATAATATATCCCGGATTCCAGAATTGTTTATTTCTATATTTTACGCTCTCCTATGTAATTTAAAGTACCTACTTATTATTTTTTTTTTTTTTAAATCATGTCTGTCATTTATGACAAAATGTTTTATTTTATTATGTCCCATACCCAGTGATAAATTAAAATATCTATATCACGTCGTCACTGGGTACCTACTGTAATAGTAGGCAGGTATTAACTCAGTACTAACTCGAATCAACTAGGTATATAATATGTAACTATTACCGCTACTGCGTGAACTACTAGATCATTATTTACACACCTATTCATTACGCAGGTAATATCACTTCTTCAATATTATCTAGGAAGTAATCGTATACATCGATGTATCAAATATAAAAAATAAAAAAAAACGATAAGGCCAGACATTTTATTAAAATATACTGTAATAACTGTAGAAGTTAGCTATACAGTTGTCCATAATAGTGTTTACTGGTATACAATATTATACCTATATCTATAATATGGCTGTATATATCATAATAATTTTTTTTAATATTGTTATAAATACATACCTACTAAAAACGTAGATTACTGGTATTTTAATAAATAAAAATAATAATTTAAATTGTTTACAATAAACTAATAGTGGGAAAATACCTTTGCACTGTAATTCAATTAGGTAGGTACCTACTATCTCTGACACAACAAAACTCAAGTTGGCAGTCCCGCTAGCAGCATTATTTCGAGTTCTTAGTCTTTTAACAGGATTAACACAAATTATTCATCCTATTTAATACTTTAAACTAAAAATTAAAATAAAAATACACAAAATGTATTTAGCTAGAGTATCAAAACTATGCACTATGAACTCCCTTTTTTGTAATTGAAGAAAACCCCCTTTCCCAAAATTGTTACAAAATTACAAATAAGCTATCATACTTTAATAATCTGCAATGAGTTTAAAATTTTCCAGCGTAGAAGATGGGGGGGTGGTATGACGCTTAAATCTGTTGTGAGCATAATTTTTTTGGGAGATATATTTTGATAGGTACTTGTTTAACATTTTTTTTATTAAAATCACTTGAAATTGTATTTTAAATACCTACATAGTCATTTTGTAAACTATCAAATTAGATAGGTAGGTATCCCAGTATTTCGTAATATCGGCGGCAGATCGGATAAGGAAGATTTGAAAATTCGAGTAGCCCAAATAATTTTGCGGATAAATAGGTAACCTATTTTACCTAATGTACAACAACAACAGTGGCGTAACCAGGAATCTTGTATGGAGGGGGTGCCAAGTTCCACTAAAACAAATTTAAATTATTTATACAGATAGGTAAATTATTATAATTATAACAATATTTACTATCATTATTTACTTTGAAGGACTATGAAAGGAAAAAATTAATATTTTTATTTTGTATCTAAAAAAATAATATGGTATTTTATGTTAAAAAATAATGTCCCTACGGTCTAAACTTAAAATGTTTACGACTTTTCGTTGGCGATTTACAGGCATATGAAGTTGACATGAAGTGACGTCATAGAATCTATTCTCGTGGTGCGTACATATGTAAATATTATGTCTTCAACTTTATTTGTCCATTATTATGAGCGTAATATAAATTTATCGGATTGGGTCTTAAAGGTATCTATTTTTAAAATTTATAATTGTCCATGTAATTTAATATAATAATATATTATCGTATGAATTATAACATTATAATGAACTATAACATTAACAATTTTATTATAGCGGCACAATTATAATAGGATACAGTGCAACAATTTGAAGAGCGCGATCTAGTCTATTAATTATTGTAATTTGCGATATTCTCGACTACTACACGTTTTGGAATTTTAACCCAAATTGTAACTCGTTTGGACACAACGTTACAACACGTTTGGCCACTATTTTATTCTGATATAACAACACGTTTAGGCACTATAGTTTAAGAGTGTACTATATAGTATACAGATATAGTGATAAATATATGTACACACTCGTGTGTATACATATATATACAGAGTGATCAATCTATCAAAAGACACTCATTATCTCGGAAAGTATTAATTTTTTTCGAAATTTGTTTTATAGAAAATTTCAGAAACAAGCCGGTCTGTAATTTAATATTTATGTTTTTTTTTTTGTCACCGTAATTTTTGGGGGTGAAACGACTACCAAAAAATCAAAAGTAGGTACTTTTGATTTTCAAATCGCAACCTATGTGAAAAATTCCATAAATAGATGGAGTAGTAGTTAAAACAGATTATGATGTTTAAATTTTTAATTACCGTCAATCCATTAACGATATATTCCACTTTGAAGTTTAGGTCGGGGAAGAGTAGCATTATTTGTGTGGTGGTATAGTGCGATGTTTTAATAATGTGTATCTTTAACCGTCCTGTATAAGTAAAGATTTTTAAAAAAATTTGAATGCACAATTTATTTTATTATCCACACTATTTCCACACCCGAACAAACACCATGCATTTTGTTTAACATTCACGCAGAAACTACATCAAACAAAAATCAATTCAATTACATTAAAAACGAGTTTACACTTAAAACTAAGTAATATATATAACTGATAACTGGAATGTTTATGAAAAGAAGACATAACATTAATTCAATATTTAAAAAAGACGTCAAATGATAATGGGGTGCAGCCACTGTTACAGATAATTTAATGTCTACCTGTAAGCAACGATAAACCATTGCTTACGAAAAACGATTCTGAGCGGAGCTCAGTTGATAGTGATACTTTATTAACAATATATATGTCATCTTATAGTAAAAAAATTGAATAGGCTTTATATATTTTCGTTTATAATATTTATTTAATGTTGTATCGATTTTTCCAATTTTCCTACGTTCTCCCCGGTTTTTCACATTTTCTAAGAAAATCGAATAATGACCTTGCTCTAAGTACCTTCCCAGTGAAATTTCCTATTAGAAACATTGCTATCAATATAAATTGGAGCAAAATCGTTGGTAGAAAAGTTGTCCGCAGAAAAAAAAAAAAAACATCTTTGTAAAATCATAAGCTTCTTCGCTCCACTCAGAATCTAAAACGATGGGAATTCGAAACCACGGAAATAAAATATAATTATTATAATTATATATACTATTTATTTGATTTAACACGAGTATCTACATATATAGGTACTCGCGAATTTTATACAACTATAGGTATATTGTTATTTTGATTTTGAATTATTATACTAATTTGATTTGAAATTAGTTATTTTATTTAGGTAAATTAATTTTTTTATATTTGTATAATACATAATACCTGTGTATTTTACCGTTATACAATTTACATACTTCTCCAACAAAGGTATCAATATGGTTTTTTCATTTTTAATTCTCCTACGTGCTATGTTTTCGTGGATTTTGAATACGAAACAGGTTAAAGTGTCCAAACGCGCTGTACCGATATTCCCAATATCATAATGTTATTTATCTCTGATTGCACACAATCAAGATTATTCGGATTATTTATTAATTTATAAATCGGTCCTTCGTGAACTGCGATAATATGAATAGTGAAACCTGTGTATCTTCTTCGGTACACTTTTATACGTATTGTATTTATTACACACGCTTGGATTACAACTCGATTCCCTAAATCCGGTAAATAATCTAATAAAAACTTCTATTAAATTTCAAAATGAAAGCAAGCATTTGATTTACCTTTTCCTATAGTTGTCCATTAATTTGTCCAGAAATCAAATTGTAGCACAAATATCGTCTCGTTTTGTTTTCGAGATTCGAATGTTATAATCGATAAAAAATCTTCCACTTTCTTGTATTCGATTAAGCGATTATATTCGAAAACTATTAGAATAATCGATTATTGCGGAGAAAAAAATAATCACGCAGCACTATTGTAGATTTAAAATTATTTGTTTTCGAGCAATGTAGATAACTTTTTCATCCAATATTAATTTCGAAAACGACCGGTGTTGGCGTGGTGCACATTTAAAATATTGTGTACAATAAGTACAGTCAATTGAAAAAAACAGGAACTAAAACAAATATTGTTAAATTATTACATGAAATATAAATATAATTGTATTTGTTTTATACATGAAGTTCTTAGATCAATATATTTGGGAATTATGTTTGTTTTTGTAATATTTAATATTATTTAGGAATTGATTATTGAATGCAAACTGTGTCGGTCAATATTTTCTACAGAGTATTTTTGGAGATGACGTCGCTCGCCTGTACAGCCGCGGCGGTGCAATATTCGTTTGTGCACCAACACGCCACGAAGTCTAAAGTCCGTTTCAAACGATTAAATATTTGGCGTACCTACGTCAAGCAGTTTTGTCAAATATTGGATTACTAGATTACAAATTGTTATCATCGTATATCATGGTTATGAAATATAATTCACGCATTTTTTACAAAGGCATTGCTATTGGCATTTGTAATTATTATTCATTACATTTTATTATTACCTACATAAAATGTTATATACAATAAATGATTGTGTCTAAAATAAATATGAATGCATGTTCATATATATATATATATATATATATATATTAATATATTATTACAGTAATCGTATGAAAAAAATTGCCGATTTGTTCAACGCGAATCGAACAAAATTTGGAATTTATCATATTTCTATATATTTTATAACGATAGTATCCGAATTATTAAAGTCCAACTAATACTAATTGTTATAAACGCCCTCCATAATGATGTGGACTTGGTTCCTGTTGAAATTACAAAGTTAATAAAAGGCGAGGTTTCATGGTGTATGATGTTTGCAGATTATAGTTTTGATAGAAGAAAATCCTGAAGAAGTTAAAAATAGGTTTGAGGAATAAAGAATAGCACTTTAAGGAAAGAGACTAGAGATAAGTAGAAGTAAAACAGAATATATAGAGTATGAAATTGGATGAACAGGACAAAACATCTAATGACAATAAGCAGTGACATAATAGACGAAGTTAAGGGCTTGAAGAGACTTAGAGGTGTGTTCTACAAGAGGGTGGTAAGATCAGCAATGTTGTATGGGTTGGAGTGTTGAGCGATAGACAGACAAATTGAATAGAAAATGAATTTAGTAGAGATGAGAATGCTAAGGTGGATAATTGGAGTGACGAGATAGGATAAAGAGTGAGTACATAAGAAATAGACAAGATTCAGGTAAAAATACAAATTATAGTTAAATTTTGTGTGTGGCTTTGATAGTAGATAAAATGAGAGAAAATATACTGGGATCTGGACTGGTTTGGGCATGTTATAAGTAGAGACGAATCAGAGTAATAAGAATTGTAATGAAAATAATGTAGAAAGAGGAGGAGAGGAACACCAAAAAAGAGGTGATTGGATGCAATTGAAAATGATATGAGGAGGACAATGTGGAGGATCTGGTCAAGTGGAAGTTTAGGACAAGGGTGGTTGAATCCAAATAGTTGGGATGAAGGAAAAGGAGAAGAAAATATATGTATATTAAGAGTATTTTTAAAACTATTGTTATACGGACTATAAAGACTTTTTTCCTTAATTCGATTTACTCATCAATTTGTTATAGTAAGCTAGTAAAGCTTGTTTATGTTTACTTGTATTTATTATTTTATTTTATCGTATTATGAAACAACGAGTGTTTTTGGTTTAGTGTATATATTAATTGTATTAGTATAAGTGAAATAATTTATATAGTGAATAATAATAATAATTAATAATAAATATGTATATAATGTGTATTTATGTATAAGTAGATCTGTTAACTAGGTATGTTTAATAAATAAACTCTGTAGTTTAATGATGTGTTTTTTAATTCTCGTATAAGACGCTTTTTTGGGCTGGTCCCTTGAAGAGAGACTTAAGTGAGTTTTACTTATTTATTCAGTCTCTTAAAATGACCCATTGGTAATGACCATGGTTATGTTATACTGCAGGACCTTTGATTTCAACATGGTTTATACTGCTGCATTTTAAAACAGTCGTCTATGTAAAGTCTATAGTCTCTTTTATTCTGACATAGTAGTTAAAAAAAACTCCTCTTTAGAAAGACCCTGGTTGCCTGACACTAATTGAATATTTACACATCTATTTAAGATCTAAAGATATTAATAAGTCTTCCACTAAAAAAAAAAAAAAATTGTTCAGTTGATAGCAATTTATATTATATTTATATGATAGGATTTTTAAAATTTTAAAAATATAATTTTGCATTGAAAAATTAAAAATATTTATATCATGGTAAAAGTATTGAATAATTCATAAATACATTGGTTTTTATATATATTTTCCATTATATTTATATAATAAATATGTGTGTATGTATCATATAAATATAATATTATAATAAATTAAAACCTGTAATACAATAATATAATAATAATAATAATAATAATAATAATAATAATAATAATAATAATATTAATAATAATAATAATAATGATAATAATGTATTATTATAAATATATATTATAAGGTATGTCCATCTTACAAAATACAACAAGTTTGAAATAATTTTAAAAAAATGATGAATAAAACAAGTAGATTGATAAAAGTATTACAATTATTACAAAAATCAAAACATATTTGTAATAATAATAACAATTGAAAGATTAACAAAAAAAAAACACAGTTTTGGTTGTATAATGCTGTGAACTAGGCTTAAAATAATTTTTTTTGAAACACAGACAAAAAATTAAAACAGATAAAAATAATAATAAATAACAGTGCACTAGTGTTATTTATTACAATATTATAGATGTACATTGCATATATTAAATAAAGAATGATAATTAAATTCACAATAAAAGTAGAAAAGTGTTTACTATGAACGGTTAAAATAGCCCTTCAAAAGGTGTTGTGGTACAAACATAAATACGTAAATCAAATTTATTTTTATAAAATTAATTTAAAACCATACTTTTTAATATATAATTATTATTTTATACGGCTTAGGTTAATATTATAAAAATTATCAAAATCATATTGTATAATAAAACCACTTTAAATAAATATTGCATTTAAGACACATTGTGAATATAAAACAGTTTCTCAAGTGAAGACAATGAACAAATATTAGTAAAGTTGAAAAAAAAAATGATTAGTTATTATTTGTCCATAAACTTTGTATTTGTTCAACTTCACTTGAGCAATCATTATCACCAATTATTGCTAATGAAAATATTTTTGATAAAAAAATACTATATAAATATAACCACAAAAAAAAAAACAGTGCATCACAGCCCTAGTTATGTTAGGCAACATATAGGCGAAATATGAAAGTCTTAAAGTCATCAATTATTGCTTAGAATACCTCAAAGAGGGTCTTCCCAAAATAATAGTAATAATATATAAATAGAAATATAAATATAAAATGAAATGTATAAAAAAAATAACACATGTTAAAGCTCGACGTTACCACTAGCCTTATATTTAAGTTAAGGAATTCAAATAAAATACTACAAATCAATTCATTTTAGAAAAAAATAACTATAAAATGAAAGGATAACATATTTTGGAAAAAAAACAAATGCAATAGGAAAGACATTTTTTAACAACAGTACACCGATGATACAAATATACATATACATATATATATATATATATATATAATGTATGCATAATTTATGTATAATTTGTGTACATAATAATTTTAAAGAATCATTGGGCAATAATTAAATTATTTTAAATTAACACTATTCTGAGTTATGGTAAATTATTCTATTATATTATAGTTAGGAAAACACGTTTAAGTGAAAGAAGCTTATGATTCTAAAAGACTTATAAGTTAAATATTGGAATGGAAAAGAAATGTCCGATAAAGTTATATAGTATTAATAAAATTATTGTCTAAGAGTGTCCATAATAGTTTGTCCTATTCAATATAAACAAAGAGATCCACTAATCATTAAGGAAGATTATAAAAATATAGAAAAAAGTTACTGTCAGAAGAATATCACCTCTTCTTCAGTGGTGGAAGCAGCGTTTGAATTGATACTGCTATTATTAGATGTGGGCATAGTTTTGGATTGTTTTGAATCCGGACTACGAATACGAAATTTTTCAGGTAACTTTGGATAGGTGTTTGTTCTACCAGCTTTGTTACCTGACTGTTTACCTTCTATAATCTAAATACAAACAATAAATAAATGGACTTATTAAAATTACATAATTATTACAATTCCTAAACTAGATTATGTAAAGATAATATATGTCTATTATACAAATATTTTACAATTACAAATGTAATCAAATAATTAATTTCATTTTCAGATCTATACAAATTAGAGAAATAAACTTAGTGATTACAAAATAATTAAAAGTTTTAAATAATAAAATTGTATAATTTTTTGCAGTTTCATCAAAATCTATTATGAAATTAAAAGCTCAAGTTTTTAATTGAAAATAAATGTATCATGTTAATTGAATTGCACTCATTTAGCATGATACAAATTATGGTTCCAAGCAAATATTATAATGAAATCAATAATTATTGTTCCCACTCTTCTAAGAATCTCTTATTGGTTGAGGAAAGCAGTAGTACAGAGTTAGTGTTAGATGTACAATTATTGTTGTTTATTTTGAAATGTTATTTAGAACAACTCTTCAGATTAATATTACTTTAACATTACCAACCAATAAATAAATAAAATGTATAGATATAAATATAATTTTTAGATTACAACACTAGATAATCACTAGTTAAAATGGACGGATGGTACCTGAGCAGTTTGCATCATTGCTGGACTAGATCCTGTTCGTGAGTGACTCGGAGCTTGTTGATTTAATGACAATATTTCACTAGGACTACTTTGAACAGGATTTAAAGGGTTTTTGGCACTCTCGCGTAACTTTAATGGCAAAAGCTGTTGAATAGCATATGCTGTTTGAGAAGGTGATGTTACAGTAGTATTGGGTAAAGTTGGTTCAGCTACAGCATTTACACTGCTGCTACTCAACTTGTTAGCTAATTTGAATGGTAATTTTTGTTTTATTTGAACTTTGGAAGCTACCTGAATTAAAATGATGAACAAAATTATACACAAATTAATCAATTGTTTGTTTTGTTTACCTTTTGTTGGTTAGTAGCACTGATCAGATTAATAGGCAGTGTAGATGAAGAAGTAACGGAGGGAGGAGCATGCTGTTTCCATTTCATAGAATCAGATCGTTTACTACGCATAGATTCTGAATGAGCCAATGGATGTGTCACTCCATCGGGGGATAGTTGATTTTGAGTCTGTTGATTGGGTGACACAGGTGGTGGCTGCATATTAGGTGACACAATAATACCTTGGTTTGTCAACATTTGTAATTTAAGATAAAGCTGCTCTCGTTGTTGGGTTACATCAGTTTGCTCTAATCGCACTTGTTCCTAAAAATAATTAAAATGAAAAATAATTTTAGCCCAGTTAAATAATATTTTATTGACCATAGTTTTTAAATACATAAAATATAATTAAATTTCCATTTAAAGTATGGATACTAAGCTGGAGAATATAGCTATAAGGCAGCATATAGAGAATGCAGTAATAAGAAGTGATATAAACTGGATTGATGAAAAAAAGATCTGAATGACCTAAGAGTATAGTATAATATATTCTAGACCTAGAATATAAATAGCATCAAAACTGAGAAAAGAGGATTAATTTCATAATGGTGGGAAAAACTTTTAGAGAATAATAAAAACCTTAAGAAGTAATCTATAATTCTCTTATGTATACTAAAATTAAATTGTTTTTATATTTTATATATTATATACATTTTATAATGTACTTATTGAAAACACACAGAAGCAATACAAAAGTTAATTAATAACTATTACATTTTTGTCTACACTCCTATAAATTATTGGAATTTTGACAATTAAATATTACAACAAAAAAGTACATAAAAAAAACTTTATCTTTCAACACTTCACAAGTGGAGATTCCAAATAAATATAGTGAAATTCGCTAAGAATAATCTTCAAGGGACATAAAGGTTCAGGTCTTTATATCTAGATTACAAAAAAAAATAGTTTGCTTGAAAAATTAATTAATTCAATAAATATTTTACATTAAGTATAAATAATTTAATAGTAATATTAATTGCAGAAGTGTTATAACAGCATAATGCATTATATATTAACCTAATAATGTTTACTAAGTTTTTGAAAAATAATTTTTTAACTTAGTTTAAAATTGGAAAACTTTGGTCTTTAACCAAATTCAAAACATTTTTTAATGCCATTCATATTGCTGTTTACCCAAACAAAAGTACGCACCTGATCAATGGTACCTATACCACATGTACATGTAACATTATCATTACACATTATCTGTTACAGATAAAATAGATTAGGAATTATTGCGAAACCTGATGAAATCCAATTTTTATTTCAAAAAAATATTGTTATATCAAATTTATAATTGAAACAAACATTGTTATAAAGGATCAAATTCACTGCACATGAGATATTAAACGACTCATATACATCGCTAAGAATCAATTTTAGAATTTTGTTATATACAGCACCGTAATAAGCGGATTTGATGGTAATTGTTCTAGAAGAAATAATAAATAACCATCATTAATATATGAAATGTATTAACTCAGATAGAAATTTGAAAAGTATTGAAAATTATAATAAGAAAAAAATTTAGAATCAATTATTTAGAAGATAACACCTGTGTTATACATAATTTATGCCAATAATTTCTCAAAATATACAGTTATAATAATAGTTAATGATTATTAATAATTATATGGTCAATAAACAATATTGAATATTATAATTCGCAATTCAATATAAACACTAATTGATATTTTCATAATTTTAACCTGTAATCTGAGGAACTGTTCTCTTTTTTCTTCCAGATCTTTCATCTCAGAATCCCGTTCTCGTGTCCAGGATTCTTTCTCTTGTGTTAACTTGTCTTGTAAATTACGCAATTCTTCTAATTGCTGATTGTGTCTGTAAACTGGTCTTTTATCTTTCAACCCAGTACTAGAATTTATATTTGAACTACTAATTGTTGGATCTTCATGAAAACTCTGAGACTTGTATGCAGCTAACTCAGCTTGAAGACTATATAAATAAAATTAAAACAAACATTTCATTATAAAATTAATTGCCATCTAACAGGTTAAAATAATCAAAATATACTTGTTATTAACAGTATCATAATTGCCAATTTTATAACCCTACAATACATTTTATTGTCAATAACTGCTTATTTGTTTTTTAGCTGGTAGAGTAGATTCTTCAACTTCAGTGTTTTGTATAAATTGTTAAGTTTCATAACGAACCTCTCATTACACTACAATTTTTTTTTGTCCCATTAAGTATCACCAAGTACTAACTACTTGTCAAAAGAGCCTAGAAGATGTATGATGTCTTATGCCAATTTTAACCCCCACCTTTCTTATTTAATCACTTACAATTTCATATTTTAGCATTTTGTAATCTTTTTCATTTGTTAACTGTTTACTTGTTGTAATTTTCACTTTTCTTTATTTTCTCTATATATTTATATCTTTTTTTGAATATATAATCGTTATTGTACTAAAAGGGCCCAGTCCTTATATACAAATAAAATGTATAATTTCCTGAAAATCACACTTTTGTAATTCTTATGAAAAATTCAACTTGAACAATTTTTTTTATCTGAGCATAATTTTAAATGTATACACAGGATTAAGCTAGTCCCACAAAATAATAGCTATTTTTTTTTAAACATAAATTAATTTAAAAGTTTACTATTTAATTAAATTTCCAATTAAAATGGTTTTCTAAAATAAATCATACAATCTTTTAGATATACATTTTAAATTTCTAACCTGTCAATGTTAGTCATTTGTTGCCAAATAATTGAAGACAAAATGTAAATATGATGTGTTAATTCCATTGCTGTAGCTTGTTGTTCTTTTCCTAAAGCCAATAAAGTAGGGAACTCGCCAGATGATTGTATTGTAGTAGCACTTTGAGATGAACTAGTACTACAGTTTTCTTTCCATGTATGAATATTATCTCTCTATAATATCAAAATGTACAAGTAAAAACCATTTTTTTTTTTTTAAACATTTGTTCTTTACCAATTTTGAATCTTTACGAGTAGAATTTGGAGTACCTATTGGACTAGAATTACCAGATTCCACACTATTTTCATTGCCGTCAATAACTTTTGGTAATTTTCTTAGAGCATCTAAACATAAAAAGATAAGCAATTCATTATTAATTTTTTTTAATAAACATAGCGTTGGTAGCAAAGGCCAATTACCATCATATAACTAGAATACATTGTCAATGGGCGACTAATACGTTGTATCTCAAAAAATGTTCAGAACAGTTTTAGTTTCAGTTGATAATTGAGTTACAACAATGTTATTATTTAACCACTAATTTCCTTGAAATTAAAAATGATAAGAGATCTTTACACCAAAAAATGTGTTATTTTTTATTTTTGTTTTTTGAGATACATTGGTATTGGTTGCTCATTGACAATATATACTATTATAATAGGTGACATAAAAAGTAGAAAATATTTGTAAAAATTATAGTATGTAATTGTAGTGTTAGTCTTGTTCATCCGATTTGGTGGTTAAGTTGGCTTAAATAATTTGGAGCAGGAGTTTTCAGTTTAGTTAGTTTGGATATTCTGACTTTATACTATGGTCAGTTAAAACTGCTTGGAACAGTTTTGGCTTATACTACTAATAAGTAACAAAATTAGGTTAGTACCAATTTGTTAACATAAATAAAAGTTCTTAACAGATTTATTATACGAGTATTAGATAATTTATAAATTATAAAATTACTTATAGTGACTCTTATACTACTCAAGACAAATATAATTTATATTTATGTGTGTGTATACTTTTAGGTGATGACAATGAATTATCAAATCCGCCAAATGTTTCAGCTCTTTTAGGTAACGTTGGAGAAACATATGTTACACTTTGGTGTTCACCTACTGAACTTGCACTACGAGACAAATTTGTACCAGAATCATACAATGAACAAGCAAGTTCGTTAACTTTCTGAGAATAAAAACAATACATTTAGAAAAAAACAAATAATAAGACAAACATATAATACAAATAATAAAATATTAGTTACCTGTATAGCATTCATCACTTCTTTTCGAATTTTTTCGGAATCTTGATGTTCTGTGACCAAATGGCAGTATGATGGACTTTCAATTGGTAAATTTTCTACACCAGCTGAAGCTAAAAGCTTTAACTGCAAGCCAATTTTTTCTTCAAGAATTAAAGCTTGTTCCACATCTTTTTGTCTTAAAACTCCTAATATTTTAATTTATATTAATATATAATAACAAACATGAAAAACTAAAACAAAATATTTTCTAAATATTGAACAATAAGATAATATCAAACATACCAACAATTTCTCTTATATTATTTTTCTTAGTTTCTAATTGTTTTTGTCTTTCTTCAAAACTTAAAGTTACATATCCATCATCTTCTTCTTCAGGACATTCTTGAACAGCTGAACGAATAGACTGTATCCATACTTGCTTGTCTTTAGGCTTGCACACTTTTAGTTCAAACATTTCTGGTTCAGCTGGATTAGATGATATTAAATAAATACCTTTAGTATCAGTTCCTGCTTTCTCCCTGACTAAGAGTTTTTGCAATGATACTACACCAGCTACTGGTTTTAAAGTCTATAGAAAAAGTTAAAACAATTTTTTCATAAGATTCCAAAAAATAAAATAAATTAATGAATGTGTTGCCTGGAGTATTATGATTTTATTATATAATATTTAATTATTTCATAATTACTTTGGTTTCTTTTTCTTTGTTACTTTCAGGCATAAAAAAAGCATATTTGTGATTATTTTCAAGTATGAAAAATAATACATCAGTCATAACAATAACATTAACCATAACCATTTGTGTTTTTGAATGGCGTTGCACAAGCCAAGCGGTTCCTTCAAATCTAATAAAATATAAAAATTATACTTATATTTAATGTTATTTTAAACATATTTATTAATTCTAATCAAATAAAATAAGACACTTCAACAAAAATATAAACTGTCTTGGTATATGATGAATAATAAATTCAATATGTGGTGTAATAAGTCCTCACCTCAATCTTCTATTTTCAGATAATAAATCAGATTTTTTAAATTTCCGATTTCTAAAAGTAGTATACGACTTAGCTTCCATTTTGTTATATATTTCAAGTTTTCTATCTTCTTTTTCCTTTTCTGCTACCTGAGAGTCAACTTCAATTAGGATATCCTAAAAATAATTCATGAAATAAATTAATAACACAAATATCTATATTTTAACTATTACATAAAACATACCTTGACCATAGCTAACGCCCTAGAAAGCTTCTCACATTCAATTTTATTTTCTTTGGAGGTTTTTATAAGAGGTTCAATAAGCAAAGGATACTTAGTAAGTCTTTGAGTGACAAACAATACACACTCGGGAATACCTTTCTTTTTCAATAAAGGATTGGCCTACAATAAAAATGATATTTCTTTAAGTCAATAAAATATAATTTTTTTTTCTCTCACTAACCTGACAATGCTTGATAAAATTGAAAAATGCTGGATCTTTTTCTAACACCTTATAAACATCCAATGCATCTCTGTGTCTGGAACAGAACTCACCATAAGCACTCTTCAAACGTTGAGCATTTATGTTGGAAAATTGGTCAATTAATAAATCAGCAATGGAGTCCACGACACCACCATTATTCAGGGCAGCTAAACGTTGTTTTTCTTTTAAGTTTTTCAAAAATCCTATATGTATTTCAGTGAGTTCAGCCAATCTGGGAAACATGCGATATACTTTATCGCCCAATTGAAAATGTTTTTGTAAACCATCAACAAATACCTATTTTGTATAGCAAATGGATCAGTTTAATATTGGTTAATAATGGTTAATGGTTAATTACTTTTTGCATGACTTTTAGAGTAAGACAATGATGTTTTTCAGTTAACACAAATTCATAAATATGTTCTTGGCGTTTTATTTCTTTATCTTTTAATCTCTTCACAATCTAATAGATACAAGTATAGATTTTTACTATTGTTAATCAATTCTATACAAAGTGTACATACCTCTTTGGTAACAGTTGGTGTCCATGAATCTGGTTGTTCTTCATGAAGCCCTAATGCTGGATCAGTTTCTAAATCATGAGCTGTTATATGATCTTTTCATGAAAACAATGTTTATTAAATAATAGATAATTTAATAAAATTTACAAAGTATAATTTAATTAATAAATAATAATTGTACTAATATTTACTTTCATTTAAAAATTCAAATTGAACCAAGGCAACTTCATCCGAGTATCTAAAAGAAATAAATATGTATTAATTATTTTCACAAATAAGTATTTAGTAACATAACACTTATTGTAGTTAAGTTTTAATAAATATAATATTTAGGATTCTTACATAACTCCGTCTTGTGAATTATAATGACCATCATCTTTATCTTCTTGGTGGCTAAAATTAAATACCATTTGTTATTAGTAATGAAATATGGATTAGGTATATTTAAATGGAAGTAAATAATAAAAAAGATTTAAATAGTTACATACAAACAGATTAGGAAGATAAATTATGTTAAAAACTACAATAAATAATGTAAATTTATACATATATATATATTACATATTAATTTACCCGTGTATTTTTATAACGAAATAACATACTTAATATGATAGTGCAAAAACGAATCAAACTATTAATTTCATAAATTTATTTAATAACATAGCCTGTAAAGATTTATAAATTAAAAATGATAGAATAATACAATTTACATAACCTTGCTAATTCCTTATAGGACAACCTCTATATTATAATTTTATTATATTATTACTCTTCTTCTTTTCTTTAGCCTTCATCCCAACTATTTTGGGTCAGACACTCTCATCCTAATCACCGACCTCCCTGGTATAAAACCTAACTGGTTCTTAGATATTGATGTCTCACTTTTAATTCTCATTTCTATAATTTTTCCTCATATATACTTATTATGACTTATAATTTTATTCCTTTATAATTCCCATACTCTTATATCTCCCTTGCCTTTAAATGTAGGTACTACAAAATATTTTCTCTATTAATTTGACATTTTTCTTTTAAAAGCACTTTAGTAAACACATTTTTTAATTAACTTATACTAGCTCCTCTAAAATATTTAATACTTTCACTAGTATTCCATCTAGACCAGGGGTGTCTAATCCGCAGTCTACATGTAGCTCACAGTAGATTTTAATACGGCCCTCACTTCAATTTGAAATCATACATTAATTATGTATACTATGAGAAACAATTTATTTCAAGAATATAAAACTACAAAATATAAACAATTTAAAAAACTTTAAATATTACTTAATAGTATATACTATTACATAAAAGTTTTATCTTTATTGGGATCCGATGGCGATAATGAAACTAATGTAACTAAAATAACAATACAATTATTTTAAAATTGTTTTGTTTTAATCATAAATAGATTTTTTTTTGTAATTATAAATGAAATGCAATAGCTCGTCAACATAATTCTACTCATTATTCACTATGGTAAAAGTTATAAATAAAATGTATTATTAAAATATATGTAGCCCACACAACTTCTACTTACATGATGTGACCCAGTCTTCACAAAAGGTTGGATGCCCCAGATCTAGACCTAACTCTTTTTTTTTTATTTGATAGCTCTCACAGCCCACCACACTTTCTTCCCTCCAACTAAACCTACAAGATGTAAACTTTTCATATCTTCTTTAAATACTCCTTATTATATTTTCTCAAAATATTCCCTCCATCTTTTTTTTACCATTTATATCATTTGTTAAAATCCTTTATCATCACTTTATACATGCTACACATAATGACAATCCCTGGTTTTATATAATATTCGCTATAATAATATATATAAATATTAATAAATATTTCAAATTATATTGAAAAACAACTATTTTTGGATTGAAAAAATTTTTTCTTGAAATTAAATTAATGCACTAAAATGTATTCATTGAAAACAATAATATAAATTACAATTCGTATAATTTTTTTTTTTATTACTTTTTATTAAAGAAATTATTAAAGAAAAGTTTTAGTTTTGTATGCTATTAATAATATAATTTTTATCATCAAAATATTTTTGAAGTATGATCAAATAAATAAAAGTTAAGGCATAAATAGTAGTTTAACTGTATTGAATAATTTACATATATTTATAAGTTTTTTTTAGTACTTAATATTAATAATATACTCATCGGTCTTGTAAAGTATTCAAATAAATAAGCATTCTAAATGATTAGATTATGACTATAATAATTATGAATATACAATTTTCTAGATTAAATACATTTTTGACTGTTAACAAATGTATTATTTGTTTTATAATGTTTAAAATAGTTAAAATATATTATAAAAATTATTTGAATAAACATTTTTAATAGTAGTTTACCATTAAAACAAATATTTAATCCAAACATAAAATAAAATATTCTTTACAAGACCAACTACATAAATTAATAATTATTTAATTTGAAAATTTAACCGACTAAATTAATACATACATATTATATTATACAAATTGCAGCAGAAAAGTCAAATATTAAACAACACAAAAAGCGAACCAGATTAACATTGGCATCAAATCAATATATTTGAAGAGAAAATAAAAACAAAAATCATTAGATCTAAATATACAAAAAACTATTTTTGGATGCAATAAAAACATTCAAATATTAAACATTAACATTATTTACATAATATCTAAATTTAGTCTATGTTGAGGTGGTTTTTCTGTTATATTGTTATGAAATTATTTTTTATATATTTACAGCAACTACAAGGTTTTTGTCTTATATTTAAATGAGTATTTTTCTGAAAATGTCAATTATTATATTTCTATTTATTGTATAAACAAGTTTTAATATTTGTATCTTCCATATATTGCATTTAAGTTATGGGGCTAAAAAATGAAAAGCACTGGATACAGAGCCAGGCACATAAAAAAACTCTCTCCCTCCCGAATTTATGTAGTCTATATAGATTTTTTTAAAAATCAAACTAATATACAATATATGAGCCTGGAAAGACCCCTTTATTGTTTAACATTAAACTATTAGTTTATTAATATTAATCAAAGTAAAAACAGAGCAAGAAATAGGTAACTAAAAATGAATATGTATTTTTCTGTCCTTTCTTTTAACATAGACTATTAGTCCAATAATAGATTAATGTATACATACATATTCTAAACATTTTAAAATGATGAAATTATGATGAAAATAACAAAATGAAACTGAACATAAATTTCTATAAACATAAAATAACGAGTCTGTGAAAAAAAAAACATATTATTTTTGAATTATATTAGTTATTATTTGAATTGAAAAATATTAAATTAACAATCTGTCTATGGTCAGCTTTAACATATTTCTAAGAATTATACATTATTCTAACATTTGATTTGAGTAATAAACAATAAATTTTAGACTAGACGACTTGCTCTAATCATAGACTTCAGGAGTGGTTTCTGGATATAAATATTGTTTCGTTTTTGCATTGTGGAGGTCATTTTTTTTTTTTTTTTAATAATTTTGGAAAATAGAAAATAAAATCATAAGAACAAGGATAATTATAGAAAAAATTGTTTTTGTTAGTATAATTTTTTTTTTTTTTTAAATTATAAAACTAACTACATAATATTGACATAATTGTATAAACATGAACTTTTCACCAAATATTTATATTATTTTCTAGAAATGGTATAATTTTTGAAATTTAGAAAATTTACTTTTTTTATTTAAATCTATTACACATTTTTGAGTATGTGTGTATGTGATTTTTTTAATAACTAATACATGTTTGAAAAAATGAACATAAATATGAAATATTGAATATATGTATTATTAGATGTTATTTCAATAATATACAAATATTGAAAATATGTTGCCACAAATTTAGGTATAAACACGTGAAGTTAAGATTAGTATGATGTTGGTAGAAAAAGTTAATGTTTTGCATACTAATATTTTGATTAGGCTAGGTTATATTAATTAAATTTGTTTAGTTGTTAAAATGCTAAAACATTTGACACTAAGTTTATAAAAATTAAAAAATTATACGTAGTAGTAAAATTAACAATACAATTGAGCATGTCAAATATTTTTTTTGTAATAAGCATTTTAGATTTTAATTTTCAGTAAAATGTGTTAAAAAAAAAAAAAAAAAAAAAAAAAGGAACAATTGTTATTCCATTATTACGGATTAATACAATTTAAAACTTTTCTCAGAATCATTCTGTTTCCAGTGCTATAATAATTAACTAGATTACTATTTATAAAATTACTTCCTCATTATTATATTTATAAATTTTATTTCATTTTAGCAGAAAAATATACCAAATATTATTATTAATTTAAAAAAAATATATATTTAAAACCACCAAGTTTTATAAGTGGGTTAAACAACAAATAGTAACTATGATTAATATTAATTGATAAAAATAATAAAACAAAACACTTTAAAATGTAATAAAATAAAACCAACATAAAAATATTTCAAAATGCATAAAAATAATATATATTAAGAATGCAATGTATCACTAAAATTGTGTTGTGGGGGGACACTTACTTTACACCTAATTTGGTTGCTACCACTTTCCAAGGCGAGTAAAACTGCACCATAAATTTCCTGAGAACGGATAGGTGAAAAAAAAAAATATATGGGTACAGAAATAATCAAGAAATATTGTTCCCATTATTATAATTATTAACAATAATAAATTATTTACATATTCTAAAATTTGTTTTTAGTATGAAAATAAAACAAAAAATTAAATACCATTGAAAACTACACATATACTACTAAAATCATAAATGTCAAAAATATATAAAATAGAGTGTAATAAAATGTTAATATATTATGATTTTATAAAATAAAAGCAATACAAATAAATAATGATTATACAATCATTATTTGAAACAATCATAACACAATTGAAAACTCTCACACTACAGTATATTACAAAAATATACATCCTTTAATTTAGCACAAATGTACATGGTCATTTAAGTGCTTTCTTATAGCATGCAAGAATCAACATTTTGATTAGGTTACAAATTAGAATTTGACTGATGTATCCAAATGGTATATTATATGTATAAAATGTTTATTTATCAGATTAGCTATGCCTATGGTATTAATAGAATTATACCACTGATGAACTAAAAAGAAACAATATCAATATGTTTAAACGAAAGGCAATCTTAATAGGACATAATATCTAAGGAAAAATATAATTTTATTTTGTACATAATATTTTAGGCAAATATATTTGTAAGCCGGTGATTAAATAAGTTAGGTACTATTACCAATAAATTTAAATGTTTCCATTTGTATATTATACATGTTTATTTATAGATATACATAATAATTCAGAAAAGCACCTATACCTATACATGCAACTTAAATGTTATAAATTAAATTAGTATTGAATTATATATTGTACGCTCATTAAATACAAATTTACTTTATTGAGAACATAACTAATAATATGGGCTGAAATTTTTAAAATAAGTATATAAATAAACCACTGAAATATTGATAATGAAATAAAATAAATTAATTTGTATTCTATGTAGAAGTATGAAAATTATATAACTCATTTTTATTAAAATGTATGCTACAAGACAAAATCAAAAAATAATCTTCATTTACATGAATGTTAATTGTGCAAAATAAATTTGACTCCCATTATGTATGTTAGTTATTTTTTTATTTTAGCAAACTAAGGTATGTAATTTCATTTTAATACTGTTTATTTAGTTTAGATAATTAGGTTAGAAACTTACCTGTTAGGCGAAGAAGACTGATTAGTATTATTTTGTCGTTTTCCATAAAATTTTTGTTGGAATGATGATGATGAAAATCTTAAATTACTCTATATATACATATAAAAAAAAAAATTCAATACCTGTGTATATTTAATAATTAAGAAAAACTTAAACATTCATATTTCTTAACCTTTCCATATTTTTGTTTAATACATTCGGAAACTTGATCTTTACATGAATTTTGGTGAACCGTAATTAGGCAACCTATAAATCAAATAGAATTTTTTTTAAAAGAATCTTTATTTAATAATTTATGCTTACTTTCACAGGTTAAAGCTGGTTTATTTTCTAACGGTTTTGTACACCAATCACAAGACTGCTCAAAGTTACTGTAAGGTGGAGAAATCCAAGAATGAAGAATTTTCTTTGATTTATCTTTTTTTTTTCTAAAAAATAAGCTTCCCCTTTTTCTTCTTTTTACATTTTGATCTTCTGACATACTAGAAAATGTATAATTCACATGGTTAAAATTAATAGCTAAAAGTAAATATGCTACGTGTATCATTAAATTAACTAAGACGAACAAGTGCAATGTGCAAATAAAATTAAAAGTAAATAAAAAAACTCACTCAGAATATAAATTGTAGATAGGTATACTTGTATTATTAGATGAAGGGGTAATATAACAACGTTTCATTGTATTATCTACATCCAATGTTTCTTCTTCAGTCTCACTGTCTTCTGTACCACTAGGACGACCTCTATGGTGGGTAGGAGTTTTGTATTTACTTTAATAAAAATAAAAATCGTAACAACTTAATATCTTAAATTAAGCAATATTCGTGCAATCTGTGATAAACTTACTTACAATGATTATTATAAATTTAATTAAAAGAACATATAAATTTTAGTTACATTCTTAGAAGAAAAGGAATACCAAATTTTATAATTTATTTTGAGAAACATAAAGAAAATAAACTTTTTCAAACATTATATGGGGTTTGTAATTCATTAAAATTTACACTAAATACGATTATTGAATAAACAGTGTTTTTTTTTAATCATGCCCATTTTATACTTAAATAATAGATTTATTCAAATTCTGTTTTGTTGTTTATGTACACATAAAGACGACATTTTGTTCAATAATTATTTAATTTTTTTATATTATTTCAGGAGTATCCTGTAGCAATATAAACTTTTGTTAAAAACAAAATAAAACACAATTAGTTTTATGGGAACAAATGTTCATCTCATTTATCTATTGTTTATGTATCAAAATCAAAATTTGAATAAATAGTTTAAAATTAGTAATAAAATAATTTATTTGCAAAAAATGTTTTAAAAAAGAGAAATTTGTAAGTAATAAATAAACATCTAAATGTACTTAAACTACAAAAAACAGAAAAAAGATTAAAATGTGTGCCATTTCAATTACACTACTATAATAAATAATAATAATAATGCATAATCTAACCAACTTACATTGGAACATTACTGATGTCATTATTAATAATATTTTCTTTGTTCAAAACGTCACGTGTACCCATAATTGATGGTGTTGAAACAGACTTTTGTAAAGGAAGTCTAGCTTGTAACAAACATGTTTCAACAGCTCGTTTTACAATTATTTTGTTAAAACCATTCTGTAAAAAGTATAGTAAGTTTGAAAATATTACACTTATTAGTTAATTTGTTTTGTATACCTGAAAGTCAGTCTCATTGAGTGAGTGTGTGGATGAATTACCACTAAATCTACGACCAATTAAACCAATATGTTTACTTAACTTTTGACGACGAAATGATGAATTACCAGTAGCTAACAAATTTGCTGTACTGTCTGCAAATGGATCTTCAGTTTCAGATTCCATACTGCTTAGACTTGCACTAAAAATGTGTAAACTAAAATGTGTGAACAAATAATATGATTGTGATTTTGTTAGTACCTTTTTTGTCGTTTTACAATCTGTAAGTTATGCATATGATTCTTTGTTAAATCATCCAATGCTGCCCAACTTCTCCTCCGCATAATTTCATTTTCTTTAGATTCAATGCAATTTGTTACCATATTAAGCCAATTTAAAGAGTTTTCTAAAAAATTAAAATATTTAATTAAAGGTATTTTAAAAATAATAATTTTAGAAAACATACTACGTCCAATAAATCCAGTTTTATGTTTACTAGTTGAATCGAATGTTGAAGATAAATCAGTATGAGTAGGAGAAGAGTTGAGGCTGGAAGTATCTATATCAGACTGACAACGAGGTTTACTTAATGAAGGACAAGATGAACTTAAAGTATTATTTATTCCACAAAAATTGATCATCTAAAAAAAACAATGCTAAAATAAGTATTCAAAATAATATAGTAAAAAAAAGTTACATGTGTTAGTCCTAAGGTGGCAGAATCTCGCATTTGTTGTATAACTTCATGTATTTCATGTAATTGTTGTATATTCTCTTCTGTAATATTATTTTATTTTCAAAAAAAATTAAATTTGATTACATAGATTCTAGGCCTTAAAATAAATTAATAATACCAAGAACTGGATAATTTCTTCCGGCTGATGAATGAGGTGTTACGCTGATTGTAGGAACTTGAGTACTGCTGGGCATCGTTCTCAACACAAAATCTGTTGAATCAATACTATTTATATCATTTGTTACATTCATCTGGGAATAATCTGTCACTGTATCTTCTTCACTATCGTCCAATTCATCTCTTTCAAAATTATCCATTACATGTCTTATTGATAATTATGTCTAAACAAAAATAGAATATACTTATATTAACATAAAGTACAGATCCATATAAAATGTATTTTTCATGAAAAAAAAAACCCAATTCTCGGAAAACATTGATAAAACATAACACTAATAGTTTCCATTTATATGAATAGATTTAACTATTTTGACTTCACAAAAATATTCAAAGATTTGATGAAAGGTTCATAATTTTAACTTATTGGTAAAAAAATAGTTGAACTGAATAATGCCATAATTTATTTTTACAAGCGTTTTAAGTTCAAATATATAACAAAAATCTTTAAAAACAAGAACAGTTGCCAAATAATAAAATGTATAATGTAACAAAAAATATTTAATTGAACTTTTTAAAATTGTTTTTTGGATTGCAATGATTTATCGTTACATACAGTACATATATAAATTAAATTTCATTATGTATCCTACTTAATATCCAGGTACTTAAAACAGTGGCCTACCATAGAGTAGTGACCATGAAATTATTTTTATTTAGATTCTGAGGAAAAAATTTAATTTACTATTATATATGTTTTTTTTCTGCCTGTAAATAAATAATTTTTCAACCAGAAAGCAAGTTTTAATCGTTAACCTTAAGAGTTTTAGTAGACAAAATTTTGTTTAGTTTGTGTATTTGAAGTAATTTTTTTAAATTTAAATTTATACTTATCTTAATAGTCGAGGAAACCTAAAAAAATTAGTTATATTAATGCAATTAGTAAATAATGGCTTTTGTTAATTTAGATTTTTTATTTTTTTTTTTGTTATAATTCAATGAAAAATAATTATAGAGCACTTAAATTTTCATAGAATACTTGAATATAAGCAGTTTTGGTATAAATTTCGAATTAATTTAGTTCTTTTTCTTCTTCAAATACCTTTGTTAAATACAAGTAAAAATTATTTAAAATTTTCAATTTTTTTAGAACCTTTGTAGATTCAACTTTTTAATAATTAACCAAAATTTGATACAAAATTCCTCATAAGATGTGAGCATTACAAAACTGACACTGCTAATACGTAGGCCACTGTTGTAGGTGGGTATTTAAGAGTGTAGGATAAACAGGAAATTTAATTTTAAAAACTGTTCTGAGCAGAGTATTATTATTTGTGTTTTTTTTTTTAATTTTTCCCAAGGTAATCCAAAAATCAACAAAAAATAAAAATTATAATAAATCTTTTAAACAAAATGCCATGTGATAAGACATTTTGCATCATTTGAGATACTTCTGAAGAAAAAAATTGAAGCTCTTGCTCCAAGAGAATTTAGAAAAAAATGTTTATATAAAGTACTACCAGTGAAAAAATCTGATTATTTTTACCAACCTTAAAAAATTTTTTGTACAACTAATCGCTTCTTTGCTATACTCAGAATCTTTTAAATACAAATATATTTTTTTAGTGGTCTGAAGTTTAAATTTTGATAAAAATTGAAAAAATAACCAACATTTTTGATTTATATTGGATTAATATTACCCGTATCCTTTTATATGGTAGACATTAAATAGGCAAGTGGTGTTTTATTCAAATTAAAATTATTGAGTTTGCTTATTAGTTAATGAATGGCAAGATTTCATACAATTTTTATTTCTTTATTAATAAGGTAACTAAATAATTAACTTAAATCACGTTTAATATACTAATTAAGTATTTTTTAATCAATTTAATTTTTTAATCTAATTATTGAAATTTTAAATTCACTACACAAACTTTTAAATTTAATAAAAATATATATACATACATACACAACATAATAATATAATGTTTATTCATGGTAGATACCCATTAACATTGATATTAATAAAAATAATAATACAAAGTTTTATATTACCTAAGTGTAAATCAAGTTTTGTAATAAAAAACAATTTGTTGCAATAAATTTATCTAAAACATATGTATCTATATAGTTATTTATTATATAAAATAAAAAAAGATTTATTTATAGATATTATATTACTGCATTAAGTATTTAATACAAATGATAAGTAGGTAATAGTACCTAACTTAAAATAAAAGTAAATCATTAATATTTCTCAATGTGTTTGTTTCTGAGTCTAACAGAATTTATATACTGTACATTTCAGGTTCACTTTAGATCAATATGAATATGAATTATAATAGAGTTATAGTTGGTACACAATGTATTTCACTGAGAAAACAATGTAAATGCAATTACAAAATGTACTTAATATAAAGATTTAAGCATACACAACATGTTTAACTTTATAATATCTATTACAAAATGAAAACAATTCTGTATCAGTATTTTTCATTAATGTCATCACAAAATAAGACAAACATAATCTAATTTAATATAATATGGTATCAAATTTTATTTGAAGTACCTATAACTCAAAACCCTAATCCTGATACTTCAGTGATTGATCACTAAAAGTTTTGAAATATGAAAATAAATGAATTAGAAAATATGTATATAAAATCATAGAAATTTATTGTTTTGTACTATACAGTAAGGGTAATTTTAGCTTATTTCTGGACTGAGCGATTTTCCTATTTGTACTATATTATTTGAATCGTAGATTTGTACTTAGAATTTAATCATCAACAATTTCACAACAATATTTTATATCTTTTTTAAGACTAATTTGTTTGTAATTATTATTATTAAGTCTAAGTATATTGTTTTTAAAGAAATTAGGTAATATGGATTGAAAATAAAACACCCTAGTAGTCACCCTATAGTTGGTACCATACAAATTTCAATTTATCATCAAATATAAAAATATATACTATTATATATAATAAACTATTATAAACTGTTAAATAAATTATTCATAGGTCAAATGATTAGAACAATAGGTAGGTATGATTGGTAAGATATTTTTTTTAAAATTTAAATCCTAATAAACCGAAGAACAGATGTTCAATTGTAAAACTCTATACATTTGAAATTCATAAAGTATCTAAAATACTAAAAAAATTATAGTTTTATACGTAGTCATAGATAATGCATGTCAAAAAATAAATAAAAACATAGGTAAGAATATTAAGTATTCATCCATTTTTTGTTTAAATAAAATAAAATAAAGAACTACACAAAGTTGTTATAAATTAATAACACCTATTTAAAATACACAGATGCAATTATAAAATCGGTAGGTTTACTCAGGTTAAAAATGATTAACGATTGTTGGTTGTACATGATAAATATACACAAAAAACAACATTACAAATAATAAAGTCATAAGACAATGTAAATCTCTAAATTAGATAGCTTAGATAATTTAAATCTTCATTGTGCAAAATATTTTTTTATCTCTTAGGTAGGCAGGTAGGTATCATGATTTTTATAATACACCCATGTATTATCCCAAATATTAAATCAAATGTTGTAAAAATATGAATATAACAGGAAGATAATTTAATAGTAACTTCCGCGACAAAGTCTGTATTGAGAATTGTAATGGAATTTAGTTCAAGACCTACATTTACATAATAGGTGTGTTGGACGATCCCGGAAAGTTTAAAATATTTACTCATCTGATCTATAGACTATAAGCTAAATTAACTGCATACACATTCAATGTAAAATAAATTTTACCTGTTATTCAGTTATATTCATCTAGTTTGTTTAGTTGGTCGTAGATAAAAAAAAAAACACTAATATTACGTTTTCTACTCAATAATCGCGATGACAGACTGCCATTTTGATACTTTATGTTCATAACAATGAAAATAGAAACGAAACTGATATTAAAATGAAAATCAACAGACGTTAGAAACGTTTTACAATTTGATAACATAAACTGATAACGATGATAAGATAAAAAACTTGATTAAAATAAGTAGGTTAGGTTTGGTTAATATATAATTTAATATAATTATTCATTATGTATTATCTGTGGGTTAGGTTAAGTTTCACGGTTTTTTTGAAGCTATATGAAATGACATTTTCTGAGATTTATAAATTGTGTAGTACTTGTGTACTTATCTATGGTACTATAGTAATTACAACAACCGTTTCATCGGCAGCTTGTGAATTTACATTTTCATGCATAAAAATATTTAAAAACTATTTTAGAAATTCTATGCATCACGATTTAATGTCTAGTTTAAATATAATTTCAATAGAAAAAAATGAAGCAAAACAATTGAATATTGGTGACATGGGCGCCCGCAGAAAATTTATCAAGGAGGGGCATAATAAGTTCAACACCAAAAAGTACTTAAAATTAAATTATAATATTTAATTATCAAGATTATATTTGAAATTTTAAAAGACCAGGGGAGACAGATGCCCCGTTTTGACACCCCTCTCGGGGTGCCCATGGTTGGAGATGTTATTAATTTTCTAATGAACATTAAAATAAATAAAATATACATTTCAATGCATAATGTTATTTTTTCAATTTATTTTAACATGTTCATACTATATATTTTCAAAAATGATCATTACTATTTATGAATTAGACATTAGTTTATTATTTTGTTTTTAATTTATTATGTTTATTACAAGAAATAAGTAGACAGTCAATTATGAATTTGTAATTATTCTAATATTATTTTATCTCATTATGTAGAATGTAGATAATTCAAAGTATATTATATATATATAAAAAAAAATGTTCTCAAGTTAAACAGCACAACTATTATGATATAATATATGTATTATGGTTTAAATAGAATATTGCAAATTAATTAGATAATGTTAAAAGAATGCAGCTTGGATTTTATTTTATGTAGATAGGGGCCTAAAATTATTATTTTTTAAACTTTTTGTGTGATTGAAATAATATTATTAGGGCTTGTAAGTTATATATGAGTTGTATATTTTTCTGTGTGCACAAGATTAGCAGACCAGTTTAGAAATTCTTTCTATACAATGATGAGTTTAAAAAAGAAAGAAAATATAGAGCTTATTTCATTATTTTATTATAATATGACAAATTCATTGTTGACAAAGCATCACTATCAATCGAATTCCGCTTAGAATTGTTTTTTTTCGTTAATAACGGTTTATCGTTCCTTACGGATATACATACAATTTCCCTTTTACTATACCTTCCCAAATTTTCACCTATAACAGTGGCTGCACCCGTCCTCATTATCCTAGGACAGCATATTTTTTTTATAGCTTTAGGTCAATTTTTAGGTATATATATTCTTATTGAGACACTTAAGAACCAGGTTCAGTGGTGTAAATTGAAAAAAATAAAATTAATCAATTGATAGGTATACATATACTACAATATGAGTATTAAAATATTTTTCTGTTAATTTAGAACGAACGTATTTTTTATGTTTCACAGCTAATTGATTTAAAACGTCTTCCGGCTATAATATTATTTCCCAAAAAACAGTCTCATTAATGAATATAAATACACGAATGTATCAAATATCGTGATCAATATTGTAATCAGTTGTTACTTATTAGAATAGTCATAAACCACAATCCACGGTTTGTTAAAAAATCGTGATAAATGATTGTAATAATTATAATATAATATATCTAATAATAATCTATTTGGTTCTCTGGACGAGTTTTAGAAGTGTTTTGTTCATCTAATTTACTAATGATACCTAACGTGCTCATGATAAAGATAAATAATTATTTACTTTTTCTGTTATCTGTTATTATCACGATTTAAGATTCAAGTATATCTTAAATCGTGATTATTATGCATTTCGAATAGTATGAACAATGGAAAAAAAATTCACAATTTTTACAGTAGAACTAATGAAGTATACAATAATATGAATAAATAAACATGTGAAAAAAAGCAGGGGGGTTAACACCCAAACCTCCCCTGGCTATGCTATTGTTCAAAGACATACGCAAAATCCAATTTAGTAGATAATAACTTTTTGGGACCAAATAACACAGTAATGGATAATGTATTTGTTTATGGAAATAATGTAGTAGTACGAAAAAATATTGTATTTATATAAATAGCGCAACAAAATTAATGAAATGCGAAAAGTAAGTTATAAGTAAGGTTCAAGGGAACAATGTAATTGCTGATAAATTAAATATCATAATATTCATAATTTCCCAATAAAGACAGAAATTGAATAAAATATTGATGTCGAACTGGAATACCGAAATCTATTCTAAACATAATGTATACAAAGTGGTTCCACGACAGAATATCTTGATAAAAATGTCCACGACAAAATATCTCTCGTAAATATTAATTCAAAATGTTAACCTTTATTATAAAAGTTAAATATACAAAATTTAAATAAATATTAGTATAATATGATTATTATTAAAATTTATAGAACACAAAACAGTTAATTAAAAATGTTTAAATAAATATTAAAAATTAGAAATAAGTCGTCTGTGGTTGTGTAACATCTTGTCAAACAACTTTGACTTTTGTTAACAGTGCAACGCCAAATTATTATTTTTTCACTCTTTTGGTGTATACTAAATGAAGCTAGCCTTCAAATATTAGTAATTTATTGCATACGCTTTTCGGCTTTGGATAAATTCTAACATTTTATTATTTAAAATTATAAAATATATTAATTAAATAACTCAATTAATGACTATTAGCTCACGACACGCGTTGTAGGTAATGAAAATGACAATTATAACATTATCAAAATAACGAATAACACACAATCACTTTAGATAAAGTGCGATTATTGTTGTATTATTATTACTTCTAATCACATGTGTTTATGAAGTTAGTCCCCCGAATTTGTCTGATTGATTCGAAATGTACCTATACCAATATTTTGCAAATTATATGCAAATAATTGCAAATTGATTTTTAGGATTTGAAAATTAGTCCTCGAAGTTTTATAACCAAAACCCGTTTCAGAGACCAACTTCTCGCAGTCCCCTGACATTCTTCGATCGATTCGAAAAGTATGCCAATATTTCAAAATTTATTTCCAAATAATTGCAAATAGATTTTTGAATTTGCAATTCAATATTTTTTTTTTTTTTATGAATGTTTTAAAAAATGTTGAATCAATCAGATAGTTCATTCATATAATCATAAGCACCCAATCATTTTTGAATTAAAATTGTTTTTTATTTCATTGGCACAAGAATGATCATCAAAACAAATAGTCGTTTGATGTTAACATTTTTTTTTTTTGTTTAAATATTGACATACTTTTTGAACCGATCAGACAAATTGGGGGGGGAGGGCAACTTTACAGATAATAATCGCATAACATATCTAATCGCAACTTTTATAATAAAAGTTAAACATTTTAGGTTCAAATGTTTAATTAATATTTACGCGGGATATTTTGTCGAAAAGTTATTTAGAATTTTTTTTTTAAATTTAAGAAACAAGCAGCACTAAAATTTTACATGACCATTTTTTTTGTCACCCTTATTTTTGAGATTAAAACGACTACCTACTTTCGATTTTAAAATGGCAATTTATAATAAAAATTCTAAAAATAGACGGAGTACAATTTTAAACACATTTGTTAGGTACAACTTGAATAATTGTTTTCACTTGCTAACTCAAAATAATGTTATTAATTCTAATCTTATTTAAATTTTGCCACTTTGAAGAAAACTCTTTTAATTCTAATTGAAGTGCATTTAATTTTATTCAAGGTACCTCTCATGTAGCAGTTTGGATAATGATTGGATTTTCAAAATATTACTCAATAATCATTCGTGAAAATATTTCGAAATGTTTTAATATAAACTGGTAAAAATATCATAATTAATATATTTTTTAAATACGCTAAAAATGTATTCGGAGAATAATTTAAGATAATTATGCATTTAATTATGTATATTAATGTATATTTATAATATAGCTTAATAACATCACTTATTGTATTAAATCGAAAGTATTCTTAAATATCTATTTCTGATGAGTTTTTGAAAAATGTATAATATTGGTGGAGGAATTCTATAATATCATGCTATATTCTTTATTTAGAATGTGATTTCAGCATGACTGAGACGATATTGAAGGACGTGTTCATTACCTAGAAAAATAATATTGATAGACTTATATAAAATTAACACATTCGCTGCAATTGTACATGCATATTCGTTAGGTATATATAAATATTAAACGATGATATTTTACGCTAGAAAAAAATTGCAAGTTAATGATGATTTTCGGTGAAATTTTTATCATCAATCCGTTGGCGTCATCCATTTGCATCGACAATAACAATAGTTTTTTAAATTTTATGTTCATCTCGGTCCAGTTACAACAATACATTCTGAATTTGATAGATTCTTTCTATAAAATAAAACGAGCTATATTATTACAGACCAACTATAACATAGTAAACAATTTTGACCGTACTTTAACGTTTATACTGTTCACCAAGTAGCAGATAAAAAATAAATCGAAGAAAAGATAGGAAAACGCCGTTGCCAATTTCAACATACTGAGAAACGATAACGATTCTGCTGAAATAAAAATCTACCAACAAAACCAAACGTCATATTATTTTTACCACTGATGAATATAATTATTATAATTATAGGTCATTGATCTAAGAAATAATCGTCGGGAATCAGAAATCATCACCTAATCAGAAATCGGTGAAATGTGTCAATAGTGTCAATGCTTAACAAGTGATTAGTTTCTACACTCTGGATTAAAGTGAGTAGGTTACTTGAGAATGGCCTGTTTTCTTTATTTTTATGGCCGACGCGAAAATAATGACTTGAATATTTTAATACTAAACTGCAAATTCTTTCTAATTACGTACTTTCTAAATATTTACACAATTGTTTCTTTGATTTCTGATAAGGTAAGTGGACCAACTTCACGACGATTATTAAGTGATCATTAACAGTGGCGCAATTAGGGGAGCTAGGGGGCTTAGTCTTCTGGGTTATTTGAAGCCACTTCAATACAAAGGCATTTGTTATTCGTCAACCGCATTTATTTAATATTAGGTATAATTCGGCTCAAGTCCCCTCAAGGTTTATGAGCTAATTACGCCACTGATCATTAGCCAATGCCCTATTATAGATAGGCATATGGTATACGTTGGTATATGAATTCCAAATAATTATTACCACAACAAATGAATACGATAAGCTTATGATTGCGCTGGAGTTTATAATAACAGATGAAAGGATTATAATCCATATTATGGAATAATATGATTTTAATTCCCTGAAAAATAAATAATCGAAATTAAATTAATACACACCTACAAACACGAATTTTATTATTTTGAAACAAATAATTAATATTTATAACTATGTTCAGACGTTGGCGGATTCAGGGGGATGATGATGGTGAACTCCCTTAGTATACTCTTAGACCCAATATACTTTGAGCTTCATTTACATCCTTATTCTTTGCCTTGTATGTATTTTCAAGATTGCCCTCTTTTTTATCTTGTCCTGGATCCGCCCCTGAATGTAGATTATAAATAACGAACACTGGGTAATACTTACAGAGAGACCTAACTAGTTGTCAGAAAAATGATAAGGGAATATTGTAGTTATACAGCGATTTACAACAAATACTAACTTCGAAAAAACTAAAAATCTGTCAAGTACATCTAAACCTAATACCTACGTCCTAAAATTCGTAATTTGTATCTAAAGTGGAAATTTAAAACTTAAACATTTTTTGATGTGGAAATAAAGGAGTAGGCGGTGAAATGAGAATAATCACGTTGGCAGGTCACATTTTGAAGTAGAAAAATAATGCACAAGAACCATTTCTATTTTGAAAAGAAATAGTTGGCAACAGTGAAATATAGTATCTAGCCCCTTATACATTTTCTAACAACTAGCAATATCTGCTTACAGATAAAGTTTTTGTTGATCGTTAAGAATCGATTTGAAATCTTCATAATTCTCGTCGTTCGTAGGATCGTTTTTATTGTTTCCTGAAAATTATATACTGTACATAATCAGCTGTTAATAATGCTTAAACTTCAAATAATTTTCATTGTTGTACGCGTTTTAACTGTTTTAATAAAATATTATTGGTACAGGTCTTCTTCAACAATAAAACAATATTGGAATGTAATCCAATAGGTATACGTATTAAAGAATTTATATTTGATAAAAATAATTAGAACTTTCATAATTTTATTAAAAATACCTCAGTGACAATAACTAAAGCATCCCCCGGACTTGAACTAAAGGGAACGGCTAATGTAACTCAGTCCCTCCCCACTTGAATCACTGCAGATTACCCCGGAAAATACTATGACTATAAATAGTCCGCCATTCCACCGCCACCAAAACACAAACATTATAATTTTCGAGGTTTCACCATAAAAGAAGTATGTACAATGTATACGGTAGGTTAAAACAAAGTAATTGCTAACCGAGTGTCAACCTTGTCCAGTGGCGTAGCCAGGGTTTTGGGTGTTGTAAACCCCCTCGTATTGTTTGTTTATTATAGTTATAAGTTAAGTAAAGAAGGTTTTTGACCCCTAAACCCCCATAGACTTCTAAAACACATCTCTGTTGATAAATATTGGCTACCCCTTGATCTTGTTTTGCATTAAACTTACTATTCTTATGTTACCTTGGTCGTCTGAATCGAGTAATACGGTCTTGTTAAAGCCGACGTTTTCGAAAGCTCGTGCGATCATCTCGTACCGGGCTAATATATCGCAGCAGAACGAAATGAAGAAAACGTCAAATATCATGTATACGTACACCAGAAATACGGTCACCCAAAGTTCGGCGGCGTAGAACAGTAGATAACGCTCGTTGTATGTGTGCACGGATACCGGAAATCGGAAGTTGATGATGTTCTCGAAACGTTTCTGCCGCCGCCACTGGCCCGTGTCTTCCGCGGACAGTGAGTTGGATGCCACAGGGTACAAAGCCCATTCGACGGCCGCCGCCATCGCGAAACCGATCAGAACATTGGTGATCGTTACCGACCGGCTGCGGTACCAGCACAGAACGGTCACGTGTCTGCGGCACTGTGTACCGGCCAAGAAATCGGAGCGCGCTACGCCCAACATCAGCCAGATGCCGTTCACTTTGCATACGAAAGTGGCAGTCTTCACCAGACACTGGGCGTCAATCAGGTAGGAGAACAGCAGCTGTACGCGGACGGTGTGGTCGATAGCGTCGTCCTCTCCGACCGAAAAGAGTCCCAACGCTCCAAAAACAATGATAATCTGAGCGACCAGAGTGAACATCATACCGGAAACGCGGCCAACGTTCACGTCACAAATGGTGTTGCCGTTCGGATTGAACAGATAATAGAATCCGAGCCGTTTGAATAGCGTCAAGTTGACGGCCAAGCTGAGCGATTCGGAGGGCGGCGACGCGTTTATCATCATACGCTTCTTCGGCTGTCTCAACAAATAAAATATTACAGAGGTTATAATATGAACGCGTAATGTAAATAATTCAATTCACACATATCGAAAAAATGTAATAGTTATGCAAAATGTTCGTGATTCTTACGATTTTCATCAAATTCTGATTCGAGAACATATACCTATACAAAAAAAAACGTAGTTATCGATTTTCGTTATTTTTATCTTTCCATAGGATCATCTTATCAACATCTTATAAGTACCTATATAATTGTCTATCATTTATCAATTGTTAAATATTGTAATCCGCATATGAAAAATAAGTCGATAATTTCAAAAAGCTACAAATACCTTATAATAGGTAACTCAAAAAAAACCACTTTGTTTGTATGGTTGTGCGTATAAAATTGACAATCGGCAATTAGCCATTATTTGTGTACATGGGCGCCCATAGATGAAATTTAAGAATGATAGGACGGTAGGATACGTAATTGTATTTAATTTACATCATTTTAGCAACGATAAACCATTGCTAATGAAATACGATTCTGAATAAAGTTCGGTTATACATGTTTTGAAATGCCGTATTATGACGATTTTCATCAAAATATGATCTTAAAACTCTAATAAAAAAATTACTTCATTACCATCAATTTTTTTCCTTATATCTACTAATAACAATTTAAAGTAAACCAAATTTTTAGGTATTTCTGTTTGGTCAAACAATGTAATTACATTGTACCTACCTACCGGATAAAAACTAAAAACGAAAAAAAAAAACGCGAAAATTTAAAATGCCTATAAATAGTTCAAAAATTAGCAGAATTTTTAAACAAATTTTATTACGTCTAGAAAGTCTAATATGTGTAACAAAAAACCAAAATGGATAATTACAAAATCATTAATGTCAATGGTATTGATACCATTCTTTTTACATTTCCTGGTTTTGCCTAACTATTAAGTGAACTAAATGGAAAACCGAAAAACCCCTGATCAACAACTAGGCAAAGTTTCTTTCAGAAAATATGCTATTCTAAAAATTTGAAACAATATTTCTGGTAAAGAGAAAATCGGAAAACATTTAAAATAATGGAATTGAACGCCATAAATTTGGCAGTTTTTTTCTGGTATTTCCCTGTTATTAAGAAAACTAAGCGACAAATCTAAACACGAATTTCTTACTCGCCAACTAGATCCGAAATACAACAAAAAAGGTATTTGTCATTTTTTGGTTGGAGCAATATTTCTAGTAGAAAAGTCGATCAAAGGCACAAAAAAAAAAGAACGCATAGAAAAACTAATAGATCCCTCGCTCAGCTGGGAATTGTTTTAAATAAACAAACAAGCTTTGCATTCATAATATTATTGATATTATAGATTGTTAACTTAATTCTTGAAATAATTTGTTTGTTTCGTGGATTTTATAAGTATATTTTATAAAATATATTCTATAATATTTATGTCATGATAAATAATTATATTATAAGTTACCTATCTATATGCACGTATATTGTGGTGTTATTTTCCTTGTACACGCGGAGTGTGTTTTATTTGATTCACAGGTCCATCGGTCTTCTGACAACAATAGCCAATGAACCTAAATTCTGAATAAACATATTTAATTTGTTATGTTTCCATATACATCCACCTTCCGATATTCCAGTAAACCAATACCTCTCGTGACTCAACTACATGAACTTAAAATTAAATTCAAGTCACGTGAGCAAGGCTATTATTATTAACTTTTTCACACGCATAATTATGTCAGTATGTATCGCGCATTTAATATTTAAACATATGATGAATAACCTAAGACGCATTTACGAAAGTTCCGTGATAAAAGTATAAAATATAAACTTATAATTAAATATACATTTTTTTAATTTTTATACCAAGAATATAGAAATTTAAATAATACTATTAAAAAACCAACGCATAGTTAAGAATTTATAAATAATATTATTGTTTTGAGTATTATTGTATTGATTCGAAGACGATCATATAAAGGGAATTTTTTGGGAAAACTCATCCAATAAAAATTAGACATATTTTCAAAAATTTACAAAACAGTTAGGAAAGACTTAGAAGAAAAAAATCAATATAAAACTACCCCTATACAATATTTAAACATAAATGTATTAATTGTATAAGTGTATGGACCCTATGATGTCCTGTAAAATGTTGGTTAGTGCTAACCGTGAGTTAAACCACAACATTTTCCCGATTTTCGGCCAATTTAACTGCTGGTTAACACTAACTGGACATTTTAAGAACCGACCAAAGTATATTATAATACTGTAACGAGCAATTTTTAGAAATTTGATAAATTCTATGTAAAAGTTTAGAAGTAAATTTACTGTAAATGCATCAGATCTTTACGATTCTGAGTGTAGTTCAGTGATGCTTTGTCAACAATATATAAGCTATATTATAGTAAAATAATTAAATAGGCTCTATATATTTTCTTTGTTAATATTTATTTAATATTGTACCGAGTTTCCCGGTTTTTCTATGTTTTTCCTAGTTTTTCACATTTGCTGAGAAAACTTCGGAGAAAGTCGAAAAACGACAATTTATAGTACCTCCCCAGTGAAATTTTCTTTCAAAGAGATTGCTAACATTAAATGTTGGAGCAAAATTGCTAGTGAAAATTCGTCCACAGAAAAAAAAATTGTAAAATAATACGATTTTTATTATTCAAATATATTTCATAAATTTTCCCGTTTTTTTTTTCGGTTTTTCACATATGATGATAAAACTTAAGGAAATTGAAAAATTACATTAAAAATGTAATTTTCGATTTATGGAGACGCAATGCGAGCTGGAACAAAACACGCCACTAGTTACTTAAGGAAAACACGGTGATCAAAATTTTAAAACTTACTTGTTCATTACGTGACTGTTATTTAGTAATGTCATAGGAATATTTCAACATTTAAAACGGAGATAATTTTTTTTCTCAATTCATGCGTATCAGTATTGTAAGTATAATTGAATTATTATTCTCACACAATGCCTCCCCGTAAAGATATTACTGATTCCTAATAAGTGTGATCGTAACTATGCTGAAAAAAATTTACTTCTCAACATAGAAAATATTGTACCCCTATATACATTAGACTTGCTCACGTGTCACGAATAGAAGGCCATAATACCTTTACACGATTGCCGTATTATTAACGTCATAGTATTCACCAAACATTTAATATTTAAATATATTAATAAAATATTTAAATGTTACGGACCTATATCAAGTTTTACTATATAATTCACCTCGGGAGTATACAATATTTTATATTTTAACTTTAAAGGTTATCTATAGTCGTTGAGTTTAGTTTTTTAACTAGAAAATTATATTCTAAAAAAACGGACGATGGGTGGGTCACTATTGTAGGTGAGAAATTGGGAAGATATAGGGAATCATGTATGATGATTGATGAGATTAAGACTTATTATTATTCCATGATTTTATAATAATATTGTACAATTTATTTTATACACATACGAGTCATAATGTGACATATATAATTATACCAATTTAACATAGACAATTGTTTTATAAATTATAATAAAACTACAAAAAAATATTTTAAGAGTATACCTTATCTATCATTTAGTTATAATTTCGTGTGAAAAAGATAAATTGAGAACAGAACATCAACTGTGAATACGCCCCTAATGGAAAAACCAGGGGCAATTATTCTGGATCGCATATTATTAATGCTATATATTTAAATTACAAAAATATTAAAGTCTAGGTACTAAAATATGTAATAAAAATATGTGCGCTAACAAAAAATATTACGGTACTTAATTATTATTACGTAGCATTTGGTGGCTCGAAGGTAGTTCTACGAGGCTGAATTCTCGTAGGTTTTTTTTTTATACGAAATTAGGTAGCTTGGTCAGCTAGGCTAGCGTTAGAGAATCAAGTGAGAAAATGTGTACTAGAAGTAGAATAATTAGTTGTTTTTTGTAAAAGGCGATTTATTTAATAATAACAATATCATAATAGTATTGAAGTATGTGGATGGAGAATATATAAAATGGGGTGACGTGGAGGTCTTTTACCGATAAATGGGTGAGTAAAATAATTTCGCCACTCACTCATGACGTAAGTTTGAAAAAACAAATTATGTAGGTGACCAATTTTATTTTAGCCCATTATTGTTGTTAGGTAAAATTTATTAATATTATTATAATATTTTCCTCGTTAAATTTAATTATGACTTTGCCTATCTGTAAATGCTGTGCACAATTATATTTTATCTGTACATCGAGTTAGAAAGAAATATGATTTAATAGGCAGGGAACCTGTAATAATTGACAAATATATTGTTTATTATACGAATATCAAACCGACAATATCAATAGAACATTTTATTTTACTTAATTATATACGCGCTACGGTATTTATATTCGTAAACTTTTGATATAAACAATAATTATTTTGTTCCTAATAAATCATATCCTACCATTTTATTCACTTCGCGAACATTATTTATAAAGGAAAAATGGCATGCAATTTTCAGAATAAACAGTTTATTTAATATGTTTTATAATTTTACGTGTCGAGGTGACATGGGGACAAAAACATAATACTTATGTGAATATACTGAGTCTGGTCGTATATTCGTCGGCCGTTATTATTTAAAACATATATACCTACCGGATACCCATAATATTGTTATACTATTGTAATTTTGTCACATTCAATATCAGTTTGTACGCCGATGGTCGATCAAATAAAAGTTCCACATAACATCTCTGTTTGGAATAACAGTAATTTAATTATTTTATTTTAGAATATATTTATGTTTTTCTGCTATAATACAGAGTGATTGATTCTCTCGAAGATAAGTAGTTATTGTTTCAGATTTTTTTTTTTTTATTTATGAAACAAGCAGCTTTATTGTTACATTAGATGCCATTATTTTTTGTTACCTATATTTTTGGGCATGAAAAATCACTGCGCAATTTTGATTTTAAATTTACAACCTATATGTATTAAAAATTACATATAGGATTAATTACATATTAGATTTAAGTTTAGGTTAAACACATTTTGTTGTTGAAATGTTGAGTATATAATTTTTGAGTTTGGGTAGTTATGGGAGTAATAGAGTAGGTATTATTTAAACATTGCTCGCCGCACCACTCCACACAAACCGCTATTTTACCTCAATTCAAACTGTCTAAAAAATAACGTTATAATATACTCAACATTAAAAAAAATTGTATACACAGTTCAGTGTTGTCAGATTTGGGGGGAAAAACGTTTGAAAATTATCAAACTTTGGCCATAATTTTTAACAGATGAATACGAGCTACCCGCTTACCGGATATATCGTTATGCTGTATAAGGTGCGTCATTTTGGAGGGGAGGGGTGACATGAGATGCATTTGTCCAACCCTAGATTTTGAAGTAGCTTTAGATCGACTGCCGGGTAATCATGTATCGGCCCTAGAGACATCAGGGCAGGAGATAGGGAGTACATGGGAACTGTTATGAGGATTAAAGTTCAGCGTTAAGTCCTTTGAAAGTTATATGTAAATCTAAATCAACAAGATTATTTATATTCGAATGACTATAACATGTTAACACAAGCAGATTTAGTTTGCTTGATATAAATTGTGAACAGTATGGAATTATATTTAGAGAACTTGGCGATCGAAACGAACAGTTTTTTTTTTTTTTGGTATGGGTTTAACAGTATTATACTTATTGAGCCGGTCATTTAATTGTTATGTTCTACCCTAGCAAATATTGAAATTGCGCCCTTGTGTCGTGTGGTGTAAACAGGAAGGTGCTTCTTGTATAACGCGTCATTATTAATTATTATTATTTTTGTGATCGTTTTCCGCCGAAATGTTTGTACACATTGGTATTGTTTGAATTTTAAACATAAACGATATCGATACCTATGTCGACATTCAGCATAAAGTATCGATTGCCTCGATATATCAGTGAAAAAGTATCGATACGAAAATTGATGACATATCGAAATAAAGTATCGATATCTACATTCGATATGTCACTATAATATTTTTGCCATCCCTAAGTCTATGACCCGCCGTTGCGTAACCATTCTGTACTTCTGTATACATATAACCGCGAACGTCGCACCGAATTATGTGCAGTTCTTTTCGGGTTCCAAGTCCAAATCGATATGCCCAGCAGTAGGTACCCAATCGAAATCTCTGATAAAATTCCGAACGCACTCGCATCGCGGAATATTTCATAACTTTATTCAGTTCACTGAAAATTCGTTTTATTAACCGTTCTCGTTTCTATACTTTTATAGTTTAAACTTGCAGCAACTTAATTGAACCTATAGTAAAAATGGTATGATTTTCATTTTATTTTCGATACTTACTAACAATGTACAATGTTAATGATAACAAAATAAAACTGGGTTTTAAAAATAATGCATATAAATTTAATGGATGCGTATAAAATACTTCTTAGATAATATTATGATTTTTATGAATAATTATATAGGTGATATTGGTGACAAATTTATGAAAACTAACTTTTAACTTTTTTTATTCAAACGAAAAGTAAATTGTTAAGTTACTCTCAAAAAAAAAGTAATTCGTTAAGTTGAAAGTTATAAGAAAACTAAAAGTAACTTACAAACTATAATAAAGTAACTGATTTTCGTAACTTTGTAACTGGTTACTACCTATTTTTGGAAATAGTATTTAATTGTAATATAATCAAATATAATCTCCGAATATTCAAATATTATCTGTGAAATATTACCTATTTACTATATTTTAATTTGAAAAATTGTTTTCTTCAGCGCGAATGTATTTCTGTACACGTTGGTCAAGCGGGAGTTCAAATTGGAAATTCCTGCTGGGAATTATATTGTTTAGAACATGGCATTCAACCTGACGGTCACATGCGATCTGAAAAGGCTAACAATGATGACAGTTTCAACACTTTTTTTAGTGAAACCGGTGCTGGTAAACATGTTCCCAGAGCTGTGTTTGTTGACTTGGAACCTACTGTTGTCGGTGAGTTGTATTACGTTTTTCTTGTGTAATTATTTATTGTAATACATTACTTATTTTATACAATTCAGTATTATTTTAAGTATATATTAGTTAATTGTATTTTATTATACATTTATTTTAAAATCATTGTTTTTTAAATAGGAATTTTGAACATAGATTTAAATGAAGAGTATTTTTTTAGAAATGTTGATACACATAACATAATATCAGTATATCAGTTTTATTATTTATGAGTTATAATTAAAATCTAGTTAAAATTGAGTTAAAATTTAGACTACTGGATGTAAATGATGATGGGGAAAAATTATTGTATGATTTAAAAACCTACTCCTACAGTCAAACGTTAAACGGTAAAACTGATATTTGTGCATATAAACATTTTTAGAAAGATATTTTATATTCAAAAAGGGGGTGTCTGTTTAAAAAACAAAACTACAAAAGTATGTATTTATCATATAATATTACTTATTTAAGATGCATTGTGGAGTAGCTGTATAAACTAAAAATGGTTTTAAAATAAAACATAAATGATTCCACAATGATTAATAAAAACTGAAAACAAATTCATATAAAATCTTCCGAGAAAATTCCCGGTTAATCATAAATAAAATCACTGGGCTTACAACCGAACTTCGCTCTGAATCGTATTTATCATTGAGTACAGATATAAATTAGATAATTGTGTGTATCTAACTTTTCCAGCTTCCTGACTATTTTGTTTAATTCATATATTTTTTGGAATTCGTTTTTTAGACAACTTGAGAAACAAGCCGCTTTAAAATATATGATCGTTATTTTTTTGAACGAGAATTCTCTGTTAACGGTTTTGTAAGTGGGGTGAAAGCAGTATGGATCACTATTTAAACGACGCACGCCTTGTCGTCACACAAATGATGCTCCAATACTCCTCTTACCCACACAATTTAAAAGTAAAATACTCGTATCTTGTCAATAAGGAAACACCAACATTTATTCAAAATAATATTTCATCTATTTACGGAACTTTTGAGTTCTACATATAACCTAACTGAGTTGCTATTTGAAAATCAAAAGTGGTAAGTGGTTCAATTCCTAAAAATAAAGATGACGAAAAATGTAAAATTTTAGAGTTGCATGTTTCTTAAATTTAAAAAAAAAAATAAATACATTTTTAAAAAAGTTTATACTTTCTGAAATGACGATTGTTTTACGTTATGTTAACCACCCTGTGTAATATATTTTAGTTTTTACTAAATAATAATAATAATAATATAAATAGGTAGATAATTAATTTGGTTCTAAAACATTGTGTTATATTTATAGATGAAGTACGTACAGGCATATACAAACAACTTTTTCATCCAGAACAATTAATAACTGGTAAAGAAGATGCAGCCAACAATTATGCTCGTGGTCATTATACTATTGGCAAAGAAATTATTGATGTTGTACTAGACCGCGTTCGAAAGCTTTCCGATCAATGTTCTGGTCTCCAAGGGTTTTTAATTTTTCATTCATTTGGTGGTGGAACTGGTTCTGGTTTCGCATCATTACTAATGGAACGTTTAAGTGTAGATTATGGGAAGAAAAGTAAACTTGAGTTTGCTATTTATCCGGCACCACAAGTAAGCTTTCTAAAAAAAGTAAAACACCTAGTAATATTGATTTTATAATATATTCTATTATTCTATAATGTACTGCAGTGATTCTCAATCCATAGGCCGTGACTCACTTATGGGCCGCTGGCAACATGATACTGAGCTGCGGACGCTTTTTGAGGGTCTAAGAAAATAAAATAAAGGTTAAGAGTGATTTAATGCTAAAACTATCGCGTTTTAATCCTGATATTCCCTCACAAACAATATAAAAAATCGCATTGAATTTATTTAACTTTTACCATTAGGTTTTTAATTAAATACAATAAATTTCTTTTCTTTATACAAAATTATTTTTAATCTTTCTGGTACAGTATATTTTCCTAAATACTGACATATTTACACATTATATATACATTTATTTATTCGTCATATACGTATATAGGTGTCTATATTTGTGCGGTTTATTTTATTATCTATATATTAAGTTAGTATCTAGGTTTCAACGTTTTTTTTTTTACAAAATTGGTGGTTTACACAACCGAATAGATTAGAAACCGCTGTTACATAGTATATTTTAAAATCAATGCTAGTATTGCTAGTAGGTAATTATTAATTATTATTAATTTAAACAATTTTCTGTTTAGGTGTCCACAGCGGTAGTTGAGCCGTATAATTCTATTTTAACTACTCATACGACTCTTGAACACTCTGATTGTGCTTTCATGGTAGATAACGAAGCGATATTTGATATTTGTCGCCGTAATTTGGATATTGATCGGCCATCTTACACAAATTTAAATCGTCTCATCGGCCAGATAGTGTCTTCAATCACAGCTTCGTTGCGGTTCGACGGTGCTTTAAATGTTGATTTGACCGAATTTCAGACCAATTTGGTGCCGTATCCACGAATACATTTCCCTTTAGTCACATACGCACCGGTTATATCAGCCGAAAAAGCCTATCACGAACAAATGGCTGTTGGTGAAATTACTAATGCTTGTTTTGAACCAGCTAATCAAATGGTCAAGTGTGATCCTCGTCAGGGTAAATACATGGCTTGTTGTATGCTGTATAGAGGTGATGTGGTGCCAAAAGACGTGAACGCTGCTATTGCCGCGATAAAAACTAAACGCTCTATACAGTTTGTGGATTGGTGTCCAACCGGGTTTAAAGTAGGCATCAATTATCAGCCACCAACAGTTGTGCCGGGAGGTGATTTAGCTAAGGTACAACGTGCTGTTTGTATGCTGTCAAATACTACGGCTATTGCCGAAGCGTGGGCTCGTTTGGATCGTAAGTTTGACTTGATGTATGCTAAGCGAGCATTCGTTCATTGGTATGTGGGAGAAGGGATGGAAGAGGGTGAATTCTCAGAAGCTAGAGAAGATTTAGCGGCTTTAGAAAAAGATTACGAAGAAGTGGGTTTGGACTCAGTCGAGGGAAATGTAGAAGAGGAAGAATTTTAATATTATATAAAAATACCATATCCATTACCTATCATTTAAAAAACAATATATAATTATTATTTTATGATTTATTTTTAAATAATTAAGTTTTGATGGTGAATTATTTATTTATGTAAAATAATATTATATGTACCTACCCTTTGTGTATAAATAAGCAATATTGTATTGCGTTATAAATTATGTAATTACATGCGTTATTAACGTAAACGTAATTTTATTTTACACAGATACTATTTGATTTAAAAAAATATCTTGTTTTATATTATTTTATTTAAATACTATAATATATAGGTATACTTACCTATTTACTATTATGCAAAATTCGCTCTGAATCGTTTTTTGTTATCAATGGTTTATCGTTGGTTACAGATGTAAATTAAATATTTGTATGTAGGTACCTATCCTACCTTTCCAACTTCCGACCTTCAATAGTAGCACACCCGTTCCCATGCCATAATAAAAGTATCTTACTTTTAATTAATTATATTATCGACAAGTGTGAGTGATTATAACGATTTGATTTGATTATGATAATAAGTATTATCTAGGTCTTTAGGAAGCTACACAATTGCGCATATTTTAAGTGCACGTGAGTTGGGTCGTATAAAAGAGTTGGAAACGGGCGTTGAAAACATGCATAAAACTTCGAAAAACATCTCCTCTTTTTCTACCATCTGTCTGGAATGTAAGAAAGACAACAATAACAAATGCAATTTGAAAAAACAATGTATACGAGCGATGAAACAATTGATTTTTAATCTTAGTAAGTAGGTACTTATTCATTATTATTAAAATTCAATCTTTTTCTTTTCGTGTCCGGCGCTGATTATGTCATGGTCAAATTTTATGTGCGAGACAGTAGATTACTACCTCGACTGCTTGATTGTTGCTAATTTGACTACACTAAAGCCAAGTCGTTCTTTTTGCATTCCACTGGAACCATTCTACACCGTAATAGGTGGTCGTCACTCTGGATTTAACCGCAATCACAGAGTACGCCTTCTTCACTATAGCTCCATCTGAACATGTTGGCCCTTGTTTTGGTTACCCTTGCTGTCAGTCTATCTAGTTTTTTCCATAAGGGCCATGGCAGATTCTCTCCAGATGATAAATATTCCACTGGAGGGACAGGCGTTTTCGCTTGCAGTATTTCTTTCCATCGTTGTATTCGAATTTGCGTTGGGGTATCACACGTTTCTTTTGTTATTTTCATAAAACTTCTCCGTGACTTGAGTCGGGTTAGAGTTTCTATATAGCCGTTCACCGGATATCTATGGTCGGTTGCTTGCTTTCTTCGTTCAAGACACGTTAATGCATGTCTTCTTATTTCTAGTGGTGCTATTCTATTTAGACTTTAAGTATTAATATTCAATAATATTGCAAAAATGCGTTTAGAAAATGCAGCTGATAAAACGAAAATAGCACAGCATGATTTAGGTACCATAGGACCAGGACCACTAGAAATAAAAAAAAAAATATAAGAAAAGAAAAATTAAAATATCCTCTTGAGAAATGTAATGATGGTAGTAAAGATATTCCGAATTTTTGAAATGCTATTGTTAATTTTATTAGCAAGTGTAATATTTTACATAATTTTTTTATTATTTTCAACTTGATTTAGTTTTTATTTTATTGATTTGAAATTGATCATACCGACAATTTAAAATAATGTTAAAAATATAAACAACGATTTTCTTAAATTTCCAAATTTGGATATTTTTACCGATTTAAGAGTAATATGTACTGCACTACTGTTAATATTCCACAGGGTTGTTACCGAAAGCGCGGGTCCTTGTCATTTTCGAGTAACTACCTATATCACGCTGGTTAGCAATGTTGTAAAATTTGATAACACAATCTGATAACAATGATAAGCTTAAAGAATTTGATAAAACAAAGTTTTTTTGTTTTTTACATCTCTATCTATACAATTTTGTTCAATGTTATTAATTTAGTACATTTTTTTTAATTGAGAATTGAGTACTCAATATAGTTTTATTAAAAAATAATGTATTACTTTACAAAACATACTGTAAAATTATTCAGTACTAATCTCGTAAGTCGTATAGAGTAATGTAATAACCTATTTTGTTTATTCAATTCAATTGAACAATAAAAGAAAAATAATTACCTATTACTTTTAAATTGTTTAGCTTGCATTTAGAAAATATGCAGATAAAGCTAAAGTAGCATCTTTGAAAGGCGGTGAAAATGTTTTAAAAACGACATTACAAAATAAATTTCCTAAAGCTAAAGAAATTAAAATCAAAGATATTTCAGGTAATTATATTTGTTAAAAGTAATTTATTAAAATATAATCCATTAAAAAAATAGATTAGATAATTTTTGCTTATTATAATAGTAAGTAAGACATTAATTACAACAGTAGATACAAAATTAAATTTAAGAACATGCAAGTACTTAGGTATAGTTTATGTGAGATTTCTTTTATTCTTTTAAATATACTTGGTATTTTAATTTATAAATAAAAATTATGAAAAAAAAAAAAAATGTATGATGCACAGACAAATATAGATTGTAGAATAATGTTTTTGGGCTTAATTTACACAGTTTAATTAAACCATATAATGTATACCTACGTCTAGATAATGTTTATTACAATGTTTTAATATTACATTACTAATTTATTTTAAAATGTATAGGTGGTTGTGGTGCAATTTTCGAAGTATTTGTTTCATCAGTGGAATTCAAAGGACTGAGTATGGTCAAACAACATCAAATTATAAATGAAGTATTTGTAACCACTACTATAATTATTAATTTATAATATTATCCTACTTTATATGACCGTATTTTAACAATGTATATTTGGTATTAGCTGTTGCACACAGCCTTGCCTGTGACAAAAAAAAATGGCCAAAATATCAAATTATTATGTGACAACCAAATTCTATTATTAAAACTATTCATGTTATAGATGTCCCATACGGCCTTGTCCGTAATATCTAAACATCACTTAGTCGGATAAATATACTTTTTTAAATATAAAAGCAACTATATTTGCTTAAATTTAAAAGTTTGATATATATGGTGTCGCAGACTTATTTATAGAACTATTAAGGCCTACATTTTTGTCATATATTGTTTTTATTTCTATAAAGCTGTTTAGGCAACATAAAGAATGTTCTTTTAAACAATAATTCTACCGGACTTGCTAGACAAAATCAGTAATAGCTTAGTTAAAACACCTACTACATTTATGTAATTTATAACATACAGCACTCAGAGATAATATACCTAGCTATCTATCAGTGAAAAAATGTTTGAATCAGATATTTGTCTCTAAAGATTACCTCCTATATACAAACACGCTACTTTTATGTCTTTATAATATTATGTGTAGATTTTACTTTTCTGAATACATTTGTTAAAATAAGTTCGCTAGGTATTTTAAATATTTTACGTCCCTGATTGTTGATGTGGTATATGATTTTAAGTTTTGGATTAATGCGATCCAGGGTTCTACATTCTAAAGTAATACATACCAGAATTTGACAAACTGAGATTTTATAATTTAACTATAGTACCTTAAATTATTACACAAAAACTAAACTGAATACTGAAAATTAAATTTGTAATTATTTTAGGTTTTAAAGAATGAAATCAAATCAATGCATGGAATACGAATACATACAGAAATTCCTGATGAAAATAACTAATAGACATTGTTTTAATTTATAAATAAAAAATTAGTTAAACATTAAAACATTATTTAATGATGTGTACACATTTTATTTTTTTATCAAGTATACTGTTTTAATTTTATTGTTACATGTTATATACTTATAACCATTATAGATGTTCAAAATTGTTCTATTGTTAACTAGTCTGTTACATTTTTTACAGTTGTTGAACCTTTGTAACCAAATAAAAAGATAAAAACTAGTAAAAAATTTACTAACCCACCAAAAGTGGTGACTAGAAGTAGACTTCAGTAGACTAGAAGGTGCTTGACTTTAAGAGGTTCACCACAAGTTTGGTACAGTGTTGGTTTTATCTTGTATAATAAGATAGGGCATCTTTGAGTGATTTATTCACAGTCTGTTTAAAATAACTTATTGTTTTTAACTTATCTTATTTTTTTATTTAATAATATATACTATTTGTTTCCTAAAAATTAAAATGCTATTTAATCCTAATAATAATATTACATATTTAGATCTATTTTCAGTTTAAAAATTAGTAGAACTCAAGATTTTAGCACTGTATGTAGTATATAGTAATATGTAGTTACCTAATTGTAAAATATAAATTATTTGAAATTAATTTAGAATATATCTAAAAACTCTCTAGTATCTAGTTTATAAATTGTATAAATTATTTTTATTACTAAATTTATACGGACTTGTATGTGGTTCAGTGAGTTCTATTAAACTTTATTTAAACTGATTACCTACTATAATATACTGAATGTTTATCCCTATAAATGCTCTGTTAATTGTTAAGCTGTGTGACTGTATCTATCTTGATCTATTTTATAGTTTTAAATTTATAATCTAAATTGAATGTATTTACTTATTATTAGGGATTTAATGGTCTCTGAATTTACAACAATACTATATTTTACACCATTTAAAACAAGATCAAATATTTTATGCAGTCCTGAATTGTTTAATGCACTGAATGGACCCATTCATCATTACTAATTCAACTCAAACATCTTTCATAGTTGTTTAAATTTGTATACATACTTGGTATTAAAAAGTTGAACAATCTGTTATATATTTTATATTTTAAATTGTTTTTTATTCAAGTAGTTTAAATCTTTAAATAAATCAATATGAACAATGAAATGTTTTTTTTTTTTGCTTTTCCTATAATAGTATAATCATTAATTTTAAATTTAAATTATTATCTCAAGGTTATAATAATATAATATACCAGATACCTGTATTACAATTATGTAAATAAATAAAATTGATAAGTACAATAAAAACTATCAACATTTTACATTTAAATAGGTACCTACCTAATAAAGATAACATATTTATTTAACTTACACAAATTGCCATTCCACAATTTAAATTATAAATTAACTTTCAGAACCTTTTTTTTAAATAAAATATTAGTAGGTACCTACTTTTTAAATGATAATTTTTTTAAAATTAAATTGGACATCACCAGCCAATATTACAATTGTGCGTTCATATATGCACATTACATCTTTTAAATAATCACATTAGTTTATTTTTATTTTTTCTATACTTTTCTATACCTAATCGTGGCCTAAAATATCTATTTATTTACCCATTATATATACCCATATATATATTTATATACCCATTTCTAGTACTGATAAAACTCGATAAAATAATAAAATTAAGACAATACTTTTACCTATAGATATTGAGGTTAAGTCGGATATTGTATAATATATCCAAGCAATTAGATTATTTTTCAAATGAAAACTATATTTTCTAAATGTGGAAAAAATTGAATTAAAAATATCTATCTTAGAAGTGAAACTTTCCAATATTGTTAAGTTTACACTGAATGATGTCTTTTTTGAAATACTTGATTGTAATTAATGTTCTTTAATGAATCTATGTACCTGTGATACCTTTTAATTATTTGGATGATATGCAATGTATTCTTGAAGTATTTCGTCAAATTGATAACTATTGATGTTATTCTTGTAAACTTATTGTCCTTTGGTAAGGTCTCAAGTCAATATTTTGTTCAGTCAATATCCATAGCGATCACTGAAGAAAAAAAAAAATTCAAAAGAAAACAAAACAGTTCAAAATTATTTCATAATATAAACGAAAATAATAATTATATAGGTAGAGTAGTTATAATAGGCACGTTACTTTTACGACAAGTTTTGGCTAATTGAATCGCATTTCCGCTGCAGAACGGGTAAACGGTGACCCCGTCTGGAAACCGACACCGGTCGGCAATATGCTTCGGCCAACACTTCAGGACAAACCGAATAGAAGCCCTCTGTAAAACAATAATAATAAAACAATTTATAATATTAAGCGAACACAAGATACGAAGCACGATAAATTATTATTAGGCAGTGAATATAGGTACCGTGGTCCAGAAGTATGCCGGCGTCGAACCGCACAAAAAGTAGATGCTGTTGTGTTCAGTACTTTTTGATGCGGTTCAGTTCTGCGATCGTGGTCTCAGCGAGAAAAAACAACAAATATTTATTAAACACATTTCGTTGCGATTATTATTGTGAATACACGATTTACAAGTAATCAAGTATAATATATACCCCGGTGTCGTCTCTGCAGAACTTCTTGACGACGTCGGTATACTTCTGAGCTTCTATTCGGCTGTATGCCATTCTCTTTGCTGAAACATCGAAATAGATTATAACCATGTGGTTTTTTTTTTCAAATTATAAAATTACGGAAAAAGTACTTACCAGTAGTCTTGATTGTACTATATATTTTAATAATATCTGAATTATTACAAAACTGCATATTATTTCACAACGATAAATTATAGGTGCGACATTTCACATACCGTTCGTGGTTAAATATTTTTATCTCGTCAACACCACTAAGGGGGGGGGGATTCTGAAATAAAATACAACAATTATTTTAAACGTGTTTCGGCGGTTCAAAACGATAACAATTTGTACTTACAACCATGTCGTTTGTCATGCAAGAGGTGTTACGGCTTACCGAGTGATTTTGCTCACCGACCGTCAAAGCCCCCGCAGTCTTCGCAAACTGTGGGACTTAAAAGTCGTCGACCAGATTAACGGATGCGTTAATCATGTTATACAAACGTGTACTAATCCATAAAACAACCACGCAAATGAATTGTAAAATTGTTCTGTAATAAAATATATAAATCTCTGAAATAAAATAGGTGCAATCATTTCTAACACACTAAAACTATTGTAATTATAATACCATTGAACTTTTGAATAGGAGTGGTTGTGTTAGAATTACGGGCAATGGAGTTGCCAGTGACAAATAATAATATGCCAACAACCAAATTTAATGATAAAGGAAAATAGGAGTATGTAATTCAGTGCCCTACTACCGTGAGCCATATTGCCGTGGCAGTTCTCGGCAATTTCTTAAAAAGGTACAGCAAAACCATCATCAGCAGAATACTGTAGATGTAGGCCACCATGGTCGATATAATTTCAACACCTCTGAATATTACAGCAAAAAAAAAAAAAATTCTTAGTCCTCGATTGCAGCTGTAATAGGCGATCAATTTTACAAGATCAAAAAAAAAATTACTAAAACCATAAAAGCACCGCAAGGATATTTACTTGGTTGCCGGACTCTCGTCTTTACAGGCGACCGTATCCACGAAGCAACAGGTAACTTGCTTATGAGTAGTATAAAATAGAGAGTTTACCCTCAGGCGCAGAAGCAAGGTGCAAAGAGCTTAGGTGCTATACCTAATACGTGGCTGCCCGAATTGTCCACCTCTTCATCGACCATATAGACCGCGCTCACTTCCTTATCAGCTGTTATATATTATCAGTTCTTATCTCTTATCAACGATAACATTACCAAGTCTTTATCTAACCCATGCCAGGTGCTGTTCTTTAACATGGCCGCCCGAATTGTCCACCCCTTCATCGACATACATTTTTTCCCCACCCCTTTTTTCAAAATATTTTTTTTTCCTACATGCACCACGTACTCGACCTATTTAGACCACGCCCCCTTTACCCAAGAGACATTATCACCTACTCGAATTACCTACATCGTTATCATATGCCTATGATTATTATTTTATAAGAGTATGTATTACGAAAGTTTTCGTCACCGCGGGCTCGTTTTACCCCGCCGACACTCTATCCATACCCACTGCTAAATATTGCCCATACGACGAAATATTATCGCGCACATTATTACGAACCGAAATGGTTATTAGCACCGTCAAATGTCCGGACATTCCCGCAAGAGCCAATGTTTCCCCGCCCGCCTATTGGGCGACCGCCGGCCAGCGCGTATTGCTTTTCTCGGAATGTCAGCGGCTGCCGGTACAAAGGTCGTTATATAATTATGTCTTCGCGCGCGTCACCATACCGAATCGTACAACCTAAACCACCCCGCACTAACCCGTACGCCGTATTCGTCTACATCGTAATTATAAGTACGCATACGAAAATATTATTTTATACGTAGGTATTACATAATCGTCATCGTCTTTTAAAATAGATTTTTGTCAAAGAAAATATAATTGTTATTATTGTACATAAAATAAGTTTTACATTTTCTTTGTAAATAATTGTGTTTTTATTTAATCACTCGACAGTATAGGTTAAATAATTTTAAGTTACACAAACATAAAATTTTTACAAGTATACGTACATTTTGTTCATTCGCGGTCTTCTATCATCTTATTCTTTTATATGGAATTCGCGCAAGTCTTAATGATACGGTATTGAATAGGAGGGTTTTAAAAACGAGACTGATGTAAATAGCACAAATATTTGTTCATTAAATATTAATACAATACATAGGTAATATTGTGACTGAATAGGTTGTTGTTGCGACCGTTGTTCCTAGTCATTTGAATATTGTGACGTTGTTGCTTATGGAAAATGTGCAGAAAACTATAGCGTTAAAAAAAATACTACTACTATGGACTTAATGTGTACAATTTTTTTTTTTTTTTTTATTAGATATTAATGTTACCATACCTCACACCCGAAATCACAGACTCCAAAATTATTTCTTCTATTTGTTGTAAATTATAAATTTAGATGATACCTAAACCCTCCAGAACGTTCCATGTATTTTTAAAATCATATGATGGCTTTACCATTTGATACTCTGCTAAATCGTATGATTTTAACCTTATATCTGTGTCTATCAAGTGGTTAAAATTATTACTTAGAATTTGAAAAATTAAATTATTCCAATATATCCTGCAAACACTTCTAGTATTATGTATTAAACTTTTTTTTTTTCCATTTTTTTCTTCCAAAATGCATGTTCTGCATCACATTTTATTTTATAATTTTACTCATATACACTCCTTAAAACTAACTCTAAATCTAAACTTGAATATTTGATGAGATCACCTGTTAACCATTGAATATTTGGGTTATTAAATTTCCTTCTGATATAATAACTCCATTTCTGATAACTTTTCCATGTGAAATGTTATTTCCCACAAAAGTCCTCCTTTTTGAAATTTCATTTCTCATATAGAGCATCTATGTTACACTGTATAGCAGAAGAATCCTCCATCTACCTTGTACGCATACGATTTCGCCTGAAGCGCACAAAACTCAGTTATTGTTCTTCCATCCGACTCATCAGAGAACAAATCAGGTACCTTCTTCCTCTCTGTAACGTAGCACGGGTGGTCTTTCGGTAGGTCGTGTCTGTACACTCCAAAAGTCCAGGTTTATTCAGCAGGTCTAAGTAAAAATCTTGAGTCTTGATATGATACACCAATGAATCTGAAAAACAATATAATACATATAAGAAAAAAAAATGAAAATAATAATTTACCTGCATCGGTGTAAATCAAGCTGATGGTGTCTTTGAAATGCTTCCTCATGACGTTATAGTGGTAGTCATACACTTTTGTTTTTGAGATGTCCAATACGGCAAATCCAATATACGAGATATCGTAGATAGGCTTGCAGAAATGTATTATTTTGCCAGCGATATAGCACATAGATTTTCGTTGTAAGTCGTGCAGTGTTTAAACGTTGTCCTGTTAATTAATTTTTGCACTCTTTATTCATTAGATACCAACTCTATATTTATTTTCAGTCTCAAAGATTCCATCGTCTTACCTAGAAAATCATGATAATATAATAACAGACAAGTTTTTAATAATAATAATAACTTACCAAATACTGCATTGTTCATGAGTTTGTAGAAATCTTTTTCAAAATCATTAGCTGCCTTCTTCCTCATCTCAGTATTCAAATCAATATATTTTTTCAACCATGGTGACTGTTCAAATTACATTACTCTATGCACCTGTAACATACATAATACAGAAAATATAATAAATACAATTAATAGAAAAAAATAAAAATGTTTACCTTTTTTACAGTTAGCCTGTTTCGCTATCGCCTGCTTCAAATTTCTATAGTGAAAATGTAAATTTTTTTCTCCTTCAACATATCCATCAGTTTCTTCACCTTAGAGCCAGGTGGAAATCCGTTATTTGGAAGGAAAGGAAGGTTATTGTGATCCTCGTGTAAATGTTCTGAATACTCTATGTCCACCTCATATACCCGTCCTATAGGCGAAATATCATCTAAATCATTTATACCATTTAATGTAGGCTCTATCCACTTGAAGCAGCCGTGGGACATGTACCACACGTACATTGCCCACCCGTACAAATTTTTACCTAAAACAAACAGTAAAAAATTATAAGTATGTGATTGGTATATAGTTGTTTTAAATAATATGTATACTTACAATCCTGGTATATTATCCATGCATTTTCTTTAGTTTTGTCATAGTCTTCCACAGTATAATTGTTTGCCTTCCCATATCGTTTACTCGCCTGCACCGATCCATCGCGTATCCCTAAAAAAAAAAATAATAATTGTTCGATTAATATTGTAATTGTTATGGAAAATAATATAAAAGTTTTTACCTCTTTCAAACATCAGCGGCATATCGTAGTCTGTTAGAAGTTCCAGACTTATCTTTGTGTACTTCAGCATGCACTCGAAACTGAATCCGGGAGATCGTCATCTCGGAAATTTTCAAATACGTCGGCCAACAACAACACGTCAATTTTCAAATACAAGTCGCTGTACTCCCCTAACGTTCTACAATCAAAGTGGCACGATACTGTTTTCGCGTGTCGGTATTCGTCATCGTCGATGTTCTTCTCCGTTAGCGTGCTGTAAAACCCCTCCTTTCTGGGTAATACGTCTTCTTCCAAATTGTCCCAACTCTCCGTATACTCGTATGGATATACACCCTTCCTCGTCACCAAGGGCATATCCTCTGTTTTAAATATTTTTTTCGTCTTCCGGAACTTCTCGAATTCAAATGTGTTGAGGTATGAGGCGAAAGACGCGAGACTCAACGCCATAAATCTATTCGTATCGATAAATCCTACGGTGAAGGTATTGCTCACGTACTTTGAGAACGAAATACATTTTTCTTCGCTTTTAGGTATGACGGAAATCGTCTGCGCATCGTACCCCAGCTCCGTGACGATGACATGCTTTTCGTAATTGCTTAGATTATGGAAGAAGCACGGTATAAATTTGGGTGCTTGCAATTTCAAATTACAAGTATTACACAGCGTCTGCCTAAATTTGCCCGACAAGTGGTTATAGTCGACGACTTTCGGGTTTGCGACAGAAAACCGCCGTTGCACAAATTACAATGTTGACACGTAACATGACTCTGAACATCCTTTGCAGTCATGATAATCGGTTAATTAGTCTTCAAGAATTTCTCGACACGTAAACTCAACTCCACAATCTGCTCTAAAAAATATTTCGCCACATTCGGTTCGTCATCTGTCCCTCTGTAAATAATCGGCTCGGTAGGTATATGGAATTCTTCCAATAGTTCTGTATGTACGTTGTCTTCCGCCTTCACGTAAATCCCGCACGACATTGCTCTATGGTTCTGGATTACGCCAGTACTGCTTCCTTTCTTCTCGTCCGTCTTTTCTAAAATCGCCTCGAAATCAGCGAATATTACGATAGGGTGCCTTTGTGTTTTTCTCCAAGCTTCGAATTTTTATGTTGATCCAGGTCCAGGCATTACGGGTAATATCGGATTACGTTCGCGGCAGATTTTTTTGTGTTGCTCGAGTGCCGCCTGTCCAATTCAATTTATTTTTAAGTTTCTGGTTGTCGAACGACGTGAAACAACGTTTACAAAAAATTACTTCTCCGTTGCGTAATGCTTTTTCGTGATCGCACTAGACGGGAAAAATTTGCTACGTAGGTATAATGCGATTTGTCTTTTTCTACAATTAATAGTAGGTCAAAATGGTCCGTTTTCTCGTCATCGACTACTTTCAATGGAAAAACGGTGTGAACAGTCTTTTTGTTTTTTTCTCCTTTCTTCAGTCCGTAAACATTTATTTTTTTCAAATTTTCCTATTTCCGTGAGCGGGGTTGGGTACGTCAATCCGCTAAAATCATATTTGTTCTCGTGGTTCACGTATTTTTCGTTTACTCGGTAACTATTATGGTCCCCCGTTATGTATTTCGTTAGAATCACCCATTTAACCCTTAGACTACCAACGGGACACATGTGTCCCATAGAGGATAATACGTGTGCCATTTGGGTTTCTTTACTACCATATAAACATTGGCTGTTGTCCCACTGGTTTAGAAGGTGAAAAATTAAATTTTGTTCATAATGCATGATCGTTTTATATATTATTTTTGGTATTGAGTCTATTATATAATACATATATATTATGTATACATGTACAATAATACTTGATAATAATTTTTATCTTATTTATTTGTTTGCGTTATTTTATCTAACCGATTAAAATGTACACTCGATTGCGGAAAATTTGAGAAAAAGATAAAAATAACTATACCTAGCTATTGAATTATACAATAATTTGTAACAAATATTACGTTCATTATTATTTCACTGTGTTTTCATGGAAAATCAGCAAGAGAGGTTATACTGAGGATGAATTACGTGAACTAATGGCGGAATCTGATGACGATGTACTAGATGCTCAAACAACAAAATAAAGAAGAGAACTAAAATTACATGCACACTGTGTAAAGTACCCTTGTGCAAACAGTGTTTTTACACTCTACCATACATCATAATATATTTCTATTCAAATTGCTGTTTTATTTATTATATCTTCGGGTAGCGGGATATATGATAATCTATATGATCCATCTATCGGTTGGAATTTATAAACTCCTAATAAAAGGCCGTCTATCGTCTGTAAGGAGAATCTATTTCCTCGCCCCCGATAAATATCCTCTTTAGATATTAATTTCGTGAATTTTTGTTCAATTATGTCTTCTATCTCGCTATCTAGGAAAATCGGTCTGACTGAGGTCTTGAACGGCTATTCACGGCGGAATTTGTTACATGCGGTTTATAATATGTTGAATCGAGTGTCAAATTTATTTTAATAGAATTATTTTCAACGGCGGATTTCAGAAGTTGAATTAGAGCTGGCTCGAGAGATTGAAGAAATTGTTTATAATTCAGAATATTCAGAATAGCATGCGTTTCCTACCTACGGGATCGAAAAAAAAAACCAAAACTTAAATTAAAAACTAATTCCTCCGCTATGTGGTGGTACTTAATACAAGAAATCTTACATTCATTGTTGCAAATATCCATATCGATTTCCATAAACGGCTTGTTATTTTCCTCGTCGGTAGTCCATGGTACGGTTAGGTTAGGAAAAAACGGTGGTCCCCAGAGAGAACTATGAGGCAGTTGAACACCGGTATGTAATAGAATCACTACTGAAGATCGATCGTCCCGTCGCTGTGCTCATGGATAATAAATAATAGCAATCGATTAACAAAAGTAAGTAACAATCGAAATGGTCGATTGTTAACTATCGATTGTTGTACAGTATCACCCAATGAGTTTCCACGAACGACTGTATGTATCGATATAGGTGTGTGTGTGTGTGCGTGTAATTAACGATCGTGTGTTTAACCCGTTGGTCGATGCATAGTTATAACAATTATATTGTCGTTGACAAAAATCTATTTTAAAAGACGATGACGATTATGTAATACCTACGTATAAAATAATATTTTCGTATGCGTACTTATAATTACGATGTAGACGAAAAAGGCGTACGGGTTAGTGCGGGCTGGTTTAGGTCGTACGATTCGGTATGGTGACGCGCGCGAAGACATAATTATATAACGACCTTTGTACCGGCAGCCGCTGACATTCCGAGAAAAGCAATACGCGCTGGCCGGCGGTCGCCCAATAGGCGGGCGGGGAAACATTGGCTCTTGCGGGAATGTCCGGACATTTGACGGTGCTAATAACCATTTCGGTTTCGTAATAATGTGCGCGATAATATTTCGTCGTATGGGCAATATTTAGCAGTGGGTATGGATAGAGTGTCGGCGGGGTAAAACGAGCGCGCGGTGACGAAAACTTTCGTAATACATACTCTTATAAAATAATAATCATAGGCATATGATTACGATGTAGGTAAGTCGAGTAGGTAGGTGATAATGTCTCTTGGATGAAGGGGGCGTGGTCTAAATATGTCGAGTACGTGGTGCATGTAGGAAAAAAAAAATATTTTGAAAAAAGGAGTTGGGGGAAAAATATATGTGGACGAAGGTGTGGACAATTCGGGCGGCCATGTTAAAGAACAGCACCTGGCATAGGTTAGATAGGAACGTGGTATTAATGTCACTAACAAGAACTTGGTAATGATATCGTTGATAAGAGATAGGAATTGGATTATCGGCTCAATTTAAAATCAAACTAACGCAGAAATGTACATAAACACTTTCAGAAATATCTCAGAATAAATTTGGGAGAGGTAACATTAATTATATACATTTTTACATGATTAATCATTGCATGCGAACAATTATTCTCGCAAAGTTTGAAAAACATTTTGATAAATTTGAATTACCTATGAGGAGAATTTTTTATTTTTATAAATACACCTTTAACACCACCTATGTGGAGGGATGGATCAAATAAAACACAACATTTACAGAAGGCACCGCTAAAATGAGTAACAATTAACAAATACAGTCCTATTGGTTAAGCTATGTAAATAAAAATGTTTATTACTGCCAATACCAATATCAGTTTTAAAATTCTATGAACTACTAATCATCCGAGGAGATAAAATCATTAGTTATTTTAGCATTATTGTCAACACATTTACCAACAAAAAGATCAATATCATGATTATTGATTGTGGTTTGGGTTGGTTAATTATATCCTAAGTACACCAAATAGAAACTATCTATACTCTAAACTCTATAGTGTATTGATAAAGTATTATATACTTCATACTGGGATACTACAATTACAAAAAAAACCACGCTAAAACTGGACTTGGCTTTTTAAGAGATTAGCGTTACTACCGAACTGGACTTTTTTTTCAAAATATTTTGGACCGGATCGGATTAGTCTTAAAAAAAAAATTGTTTAACCAGACTGGACCGAACATTGATAGGCCTTGCAGATCTATAACACTTACATATAAAAAGGACACGGGACTCGCTGAACCTTCGTCAAAACAATAATCAATTATTGTCGTTACCGTGGTGACGACTGTTCGAACAAAAATAACACGGAAGATATTGCTGGCTTGAATTAACTCCGCCAGAATCATCATTGACCAATTGAATACATAAGAGTAGTATAAAATAAAGAGTTTACCCACCGGCGCAGGAGCAGGTGCAAGGTGCAAAGAGCCCCGGTGCTGTACGTAATACATGGCCGCCCATACAGGTGCAAGGTGCTATACCTATTACATAACAGTAGTATATAAATACCGATTCTGGTTATAATTTCAATAGGTGTTGGGCCAGAATCGGTATTTATATACTACACATAGGTGGTGTTAAAGATGTATTTATAAAAATAAAAAATTCTCCTCATAGGTAATTCAAATTTATCAAAATGTTTTTCAAACTTTGCGAGAATAATTGTTCGCATGCAATGATTAATCATGTAAAAATGTATATAATTAATGTTACCTCTCCCAAATTTATTCTGAGATATTTCTGAAAGTGTTTATGTACATTTCTGCGTTAGTTTGATTTTAAATTGAGCCGATAATGGTGATAATAACGCCATATTTTACGATGTCAATGATAATATGATATAAATATAAATAAAACCGATAGCAGCAGATATTTCATTGTTTATTGGAAATCAGGCTCTAGTGTTTACCCCCCCCCCCTCTTTTATTTTTAGTGGTTTACCTGAATGTTTGTAAGAAGCGTTAAAAAATTCGAGTCAAGCTGGTTGCAGGATGTCGAGTGTGATTGGTTAAAATTATCCAATCCAGTACTGAATACATTAGCGCCGTGTAATGCCGTGTAGACATATTTATTCAATTGTTTTTTCTCATAGAACATC